CAACAAAAAATTACCTGATCTGAAACACGTATCAAACCGTGCATTTGAAATGTACATTTGACTTAAAATGAAATACATATTTAGATCACATCGATGTGTTGTCTTTTGCAGTCTAAACACTGTATATTGCAGAAAGTAGCTGATGAATGTAGGTTTCTAAAGCTAAGCGGGGCTGTTTCACGGACCTCCCTACGCCATATTTAAACTCCGTGATATTAATGATAAAGTGAAAAATAGGAAACTGATTTTGTTATTGTATATTCAAAAAGATTTATCTATTTAAGTTACAAACAGATTTATAATCAATAAACAGCTAATTTTAATACAGCGAAAGCACAAATCTTCTGCATTCTACTCACAGGTAACAAACAAATTTACACTCTGGTGCTAAACGGAACAGCGTTATTGCAGCATGGTGATCCAATTCGTTTCTTAATAGAGAAACGATCTGTCGTATTCTAGAGCTGCTTAGTAAAATAGAAATAAAGTCCTTGTTGTCGTGAATGATGCAGAATAACCTCCTCGGTCTCGAAATGATGTTTGAAATATAAAAGCCTCGGCTAACGCCTCGGCTTTTATCTTTCAAACAACATTTCTCGGCCTCGGAGGTTATTCTGCAACATTCACGAAAACGCGGACTTTATTTCTTAAATAACCTCGTACTGGAATAATAAAAATATTATTTGAGCACTATATAAGTATGAGTGGGGATGGAATTTTTTTTAAGGAATTCGAGCTCGCTTTCAAGAGCTGAATATTGTACGGGGTATATAATTACAATTTTCGGTACGATATGTCAAGATAAACGAAAAAGTAAAATTAATACTACAAAACTATAACTATGGCAAGCCCTGTTGCTATTATTTGGAAAATAAAATCTATCTAAAATTACAGAGATATCTCTCATTTTAGAGAGATATCTCTTGAAAAATAGAGATATCTCCCAACTTAAAGAGATATCTCTCATTTTTAATAGATTTCTATTGAGAAAAGGATATCTCTTGAACTTAGAGAGATATCTCTTATATTTAGAGAGATATCTTTTTATTAGAGAGATATTTCTTCCACTTGAAAAGATATCTCTTTCTCCTTGAGAGACATCTCTTTCGTGAAAAGAGATGTCTCTAAACATTAAAGATATCTCTTTCACCTAGAGAGATATCTCTTTCACTTTTGGTTATATCTCTTAAAGTAAAAGAGATATCTCTCTTAGTTTATCTTAAGAGATATCTCTTAAAGTGAATGAGATATCTTTCAAAAGTGTCTAAAAGAGATAGCTCTCAAACAAAAAGAAATATATTCTTATTGCAAAGAGATGTCTCTCTTCATTAATTTTATTTAAATTCCATTTAAAATGACTTCTCCCTTTACCGGAAGTAAGCTTTTTTTATAGACGGACGTACATTAAAGTCTTTTTAAATTCGACACATTCATGATATTCTACACTATACTATATCTGTCTAAGTTAAAGAGATATCTCTCTTACAAAATGAGATATCTCTCTAACTGGTATAAAGATATCTCCTTAAGTCAGAGAGATATCTCTATAAGCTAAAGAGATATCTCTCTATGCTAGAGAGATATCTCTCTTATTGATTGATTGATTGATTGTATATTGTTTAACGTCCCTCTCGAGAATTTTTCACTCATATGGAGACGCCACCATTTGCCGGTAGAGAGCTGCAAATTTTGTCCTTTACTCGGCACTCAGGGGCATTGAGCAGGGAGGGATCTTTTTCGTGCCAGCACCTTCTTCAACACAGAACCTCGGTTTATACGGTTTCATCTGAAGGACCGGTCTCCACGTCCTGCAGTGGGATTCGAACCCGGGACGTAAGGTTCAACTCCTTACTTCGCGACTCCAGAGCAGGCGCTCTAACCACTGCGCCACGCGGGCGCCACGCGGGCGACTCTCTCTTATTGAAAGAAAAAGTTTATTTCAGGAATGAATAGTAAAAGGGCTTGCCACACAAAACTGTTAATTGCTGTATAGAAATGCTCGACGCCAGACTGAAAACCCCATAAACTATATATGTATGAACTTTCTACAGTGTAAATCATAGGTGCTAATGCATAAGCTGTTAATCGTCAATTCTACTTCTGATACAAATTTTAAAATTTTATTTTATTTTTTGAATTAAAATTTCATATAAATGAAAGTGTAAATTGAAACTTGTGAATTAAACAGCCATGATAACCCCATTGTCTCCGACTTCCAGGATTTCCTTCTTCTTTGTTAGAACAGTTTACGTGATATTTTGCTACATCTACCAAGACCTACATTTGAAGAAGTCTGGCTGAAAATTCTTTGACTTGTTAATTTTGCCTCATGTGTGACCCCTCGATTTTCAAACAAGTTTGGTGAAACTTTTAATTAGCTCTACTGTTTTGTAACGGACTTATCCTAAGATATTGGAAGAAAAAACTGACAGATTTGTCATTTCCTTTTATTCTTACGTTCATCTTGATTTTTTTTTCTAAAATAAATCAAAATCAGACCAAAAATGTCCGAGGAGTAGAATTTTGAAAATCAGCTTACTGTTATATCTAAAACATATCGACATTTATTGAAAGTATATCTGTGAAACAAATTTACCCGAACATTAAAATCGCAGCAAGAACTGTCACGGAAACAGACTTTTGAAATATTTCAATGAAGCACAGTTTTAGAAATTGTTCCCTGCATTCGATAGCCGAAGCGAGAAAATTGAATCTCACTCATCTGCCAGTCCCTCTTTCACAAAAACTTAAAACCTTTGTCATGAATTTTGAATAAGGTAAGATAATGCTTTCATATTTTAAATGTACGTTACTTGCGACAAAATCTTTCTAAATATACTATGATTTTTGGCACAATGACCTTCCTTGAAATTTGTCCTCCTTTTCTAAAAATTTAACATTACTTTTACGTTGTTCATAACTTTTGATAGCGAATAGAAATTGCTTTCACATTTTACATGTACAATCCCTGAGACAATATCTTTCAAAATTTACCATGACATTTGGTCCCCTGACCTTGACCTTAAAGTTTATTTAAGTTTTAATTTTTTCATTGACTATAACTTTTGAATGAGAGAAGATAGTGCATTAACTGAGACTAACTGGTTTCAAACATGCTATGATTTTTTTATCCAGTGACCTTGACCTTGGAATTTCACTTAATCTAAAAAAAAACCCAAAACATTGTTTAGAACTTTTGAATGACAGAAGAAAGGGCAAGTGCATTATCTGTTTCAAGAAGTTTCCAAATGCTATGATAACACCATTACTTTGACCTTCAAAGTTTGAACTAGTTTTCAAAAATTTTATCATACTGCTGCAATTTTTTTAAGGAGAAGATAGACCACTTGAGTTTTGCTCAAATGGAAAACTTTCACTTCTGAAATGGCAAAGATTCTTTTAGCCATGAACAATATGAGGATAAGATGAAATCTGCACCCATTTCACTTTAAGATTCCATGTACTAAGACTTGATTGGAAATCATTAAGTTGTATTAGAGATGAAGTTGAAATGTGACATACATTTCAAAAACAGAAAAAGGTGTGGGAAAGAGTCACCTTATAAACTCAAGATTGCCTACACAAAATCATATTCAAATAATTAGGAAGAAATTAACACAATGCATGCTCAGGAAAATACATCATTATATTCAGTAGGTTATGATTACATGATAATAAGTATTTGGCAGTCCACATAGGTTAAAAGTGCTTGGATGGTCTGTAAATTAGCATGATAGGGCATTGTGTGGTGTATTTCTTATTCTAAGTAAAAAAAATTGCACATGCTTGCTTTAGCAATTTGTGGTTAAAAGCAGGAAAAAACAGATTTCTTGCATTGACGTACATTACTAGGTTCTTTTGTAATTCAATATTACAGTAAATTAACTGTCGTCAGCTCTCTGAATATGAGTCTTTTGGTAACCATTTTTTTGATAAAATACTTTGTGAATGATTCGTTTTGTGTACTCTCAGATTATTTTATAAAAAAAAAAATGTCACACCTATGGAAACAGTTTTCATTGCTCAAATTAGGAAAATGAAGAAATCTCCCTTTTTCAACATACATGTACATGCATGTATTATGCCAATTCAGGCATCAAGGATTCTTTTCATCTTATATATTGAGATTCGCAAAGTTTTGGAGAAAAAAGCAATTAATTAATTGCATGTGCATAAACTATTGGTTAAGGGAAAGAAGGGGACATAATTTGGATTTTTTTTTTCAAACCTTCATTTTTTGCGAGTGATGTCCCTGAAACAGTTATCACACACGCGGACTGGTTTTTTAGCCAGCGCGAGCCTCGCTTCTTTGGATGAACAATCGTTACAGAATATATTTCCACAGTTTCTACAGTGATGCTAAAGAATATACAAAAAAAGAAGAAACAATTACCAACACTTCAATGAATTTTATATCACAAAATCATTATGCATAGTTTAAAATGTAAATCTGTATGTCAAATAACAAACATCATTTTAGATGCTAAACATCATGACATTTTTTTTTTTTTTTTTATAAAATTACATCATGACATTTCTATATAAAATTAATAATTACTTTTTTTAATGACACCAGTTTAAAAAAAATAATTATGGACAACCTGTTACATGAATAATGCAATTTGGAATGTATTCAGCACCATAAAGATAGAAACAATATTCCAACATACATAAACATAGGCAAGAAATTATATAAGATCTCCATTCATTATTTGCTTGAAAAAAAAAATAATGACACTCTCTTCCTAAAATATAGAAATATAAAATTAATGTAAAATAATTTCTAAGTATCTTGCATCCACAAATCATTCATTTCAAACTAATTTTTCTTAAAAAGTATATCGGTGTTACATGTAATTTCACATTTTGTCTCCTTGTCCAAAAAATATAATTTTGCATGTTTTTAAAACCTGTAAAGTAAAAAATCATGAAATAAAAAAAATAGTTCTTATCAAATATATTTGAATAGAAATATAAAATGCAAAGATCAGAAATTTAAAATAAAACTATATTCAGTTCCTTCAATGCTCTACAATGCAATAATACTTAAATGCAATAACAGTATGCGATATTAACATACAATATGCTGCCTATGTATATATCATAACATAATTGGGGATATGTAATTATAATTCATAAATCCTCCACAAATTTTTACAAAAATAATAAAATTCTAAATTTTAAATCTTAACAACAATTATTATCATCTTTTGCCAATTTCAATAAAACAATTGTCACACACTCGTACGGGTTTTTTGGACGACACGATTTTGGCCTCTCGTGAAGAACAGTCATTACAAAAAATGTTTCCGCAGTTCCGGCAATGATGCTGAAATCAAAGAATACTTAACATTTAGGTTTTTCTCAAAAATTGTCATTTTACAAAAACAGGAACCTCAGCACTGGAATCCTACACGAAATCTAAAGCAAATTCTCCAAAACAAATTTGCCTCATTATGAAGGCAAAGTGAAAAAATAAAGGAAATTTTGATTAAGCATCAGGAAGGGACAAGGAAAAAAGCTTTACATTTCCTGCAAGAAATGGGAATTAAAGCTGTGGGCATGATACAATATAGTAATAAGTTGTGGGTGGAGTTATAAAGAAGTGTGTGTGTGTAATGAACAACTGACTTACCCGTCTGACCGTGACAGAGAATCCTTTATTACACCCCATACACTCTTTGACATCATTGTCATCCGCCCATTTCCTACTGCTCACCTTTGTAGTGGTGATCTATTACACAAAAAAATCAAATGTAAGGTACTATATCCTTCTAAGCCTCTTTTCAGTTTTGTATTCTTTGCAAGCTAGCTCTTACATCAATAATTTTATGAAAATATTTAAGAAACGTTATCTTTCTGAGCAACACTCAGGATACAGTTTGATAAGAATTGATAAACATACATTATTGGTATATTTTTTTTCATGTTTATAGACAAAATTTGCAACAGCAATGAATACAATATCTGGCATGACTTGTCTATAGATGTACCGTATTTATTACAATTCAAACAAACCCGAATCTAAATCTTTCATTTTTCTCTTTCTTATCTTATTTCATTTTTTTCACTCACAAGCAAAAATCACATGAACTAATGGCTATAAAAGACTATGTTGACAGGAACTAAAATTCCAAGTCTGCAACACTTCCCAGTAAGTATATGTTTAACTTTAGATAAAAAGAACAATCTAGAATGGTTTTATGTGCTTTAATACAGTATTATTTAATGACCAAACTAAACTGGTACCTGTAGAGACTGGTTCTCTCTCCCCAGTTCCTGTAAAGCCGCCTGAGTATCGTCTAGTTTACGTTTCAGATCTGTTGACTTCTGTCTCAATTTTTCACATTCCTCTTCACTTGTTAAACATCTGTATTGTATAAATATTAAATGTGCTGTTAAGGTTCTTGTTTTTTTTAGGGGGGGTATTGTTAACGTACTGGACAAAATATACTCTGTTACAAAATGTGTAACTCTACTGCATCCCACATCCCACTATGTTGTTGATATTTAATTAAAATTCACATTCAATCAGGTTAGAATTGAATAAGTTTTCTGTTGCTTTTAATTATTAATTTATCTATTAATATCATTTCCATTCATTCATCAACAGAATGAGCCTTATGCTTTTGAATCTGCTATAAAGCTTTCTACAGATTTCCCTGCTTCAGAATGTTAGGTAGTGCATGTAGACATCATTTAAAATAAACATGTACCTCAATAATAATGACTTATTATATGATTTATTTTTTATCAACCAGACAGAATGTATACCTGATATATGTAACTCACCTTTCAAGTAAAATTCTTCTTTCATCATTGTTATTTTCTAATTTGGCCTCCATTTCTGCAAAAAATTTAAGTCTAAAGTACCATATTTGTTTTAATGCGTATATTTTCATTGCAATAATTTATCCAGTTCCTCTGTTCTTAAAAATTATCTTTCTTGAGAAATGAGTTTTAATTAAGAGGACCACATTTCTCTACTCTGAAATCTGAATTAATAACTATATAAGCTGAACATTAAGTTAACTTATTAGCCTCAGGGTTATCTCATCTGAGTTGATCAATCAGTTGACTCACCAAGTTTCTCCCCTATTATGTGTAGATTTTCATTACCAAGTTTTCTCCTCTGAGTTGATTGTTTAATTGATTTACAATGTACCATGTTTCTCCCTCTGAGATATTCAGCGAGTTGACTCAACAAGTTTCTCCCCTATGGGTTATTCATTGAGTTGACTTACAAGGTTTCTCCCCTCTGAGTTAATCATTGAGTTGACCTACTTAGTTTAGCCCTTTGAGTTGATCATTGAGTTAACTTACCAAGTTTCTCCCCTCTGAGTTGATCATTGAGTTAACTTATCTAGTTTTTTTTTTTCATCTGAGTTGTTCTTAGAGTTTACTTACCAAGTTTCTCTCCCTGAGTTGCTTTTTAAGTTGACTCACCTAGTTTCTCCCCTCTGAGTTGATTGTGAGTTGATTGTTGAGTTGACTCACCTAGTTTCTCCCCTCTGAGTTGATCGTTGAGTTTGTTCGCCTCGTCGTAAGCTGTCTGAGTGGACACAAGATCTCCTCGTATAGTGGTCAAGTTCTCATTTAGAACTGACATCTGAACTTCGAACTTTGCCCTTTCTTCATCCGCTTGTCTCTGAATGGCCTCGCGCTCTTCTTCAGCAGCAGTCTAATGAAAACAGAATGCGGATCAGCATTGAATTGAATACTGTAAATCACTTTTTATTCGCGAGAACTTTATTTTCGCGTAATTACGCGAGACAGTGTGCTCGCGAAAATTTAATTCTCGCGTATAATAGTATTCCTTAGGATTATATAGAGCATTAACCACAATTCGTGAAAATTTTGTCTTGCTAATCAAAAGTCAATGACTATCTCGCGAAAATAAGGTGTCGCGAAAATTTAGTGATCTACAGTACTGTAAACCAACTTTTATTCATGACCACTTTATTTCGCCCTTATACCAGGGGTTAACTAGTTCGCGATGATTAATTTTTGCGATCAAGCCTTTTTTGGATCTGTTATTAATAAAAACAGAGATTTAAGGCTTGTTTCATGGCGAAAAATATTTGTGATGATGAGAATCTCACAAAACTCGCGAAAATTTCTAATATGCAAATAAAAGTTGGTTTACAGTAATAAATTAATACTGTATACTGATGATAAACCAAATTTTTGCAACACCTTTGTTTGAAAAATAGTTATTTCATATTTATTAGCAAGATACTATAAAATCACATATTTTCAAGGACTATATGAACTTAATGAACTAGCTTGCCACTTTAGAGGAAATAACATGCAGCAATTCAACATTTGTCTGTTATAAGGAAATGTATTAAGGCACGTAAATATAATTAACTGATCTATTACTATAATCTGATAATTGTTTGAAATAGTTAATACTTTAATAATGATCAACTTGTCCATTTTTGATGTTATCTGAATGGCCAACTTTCAATCAACTAGTACAATGTATGTGGGTGTTGATCATAATTATAGCATAAAATACTTTTATATATCCTGTTTTATTTTTAGTGATTACAATGTAGAATGCAAAGTCATGCATGTACCCGTACTAACATTAGTCATATAAGGCCTTCTTAGTGAGGGGATGTCTGTGTGTGTGAGGGTAAGGCAGGGGATGTGTGTCTCTGTGTGTGTGAGGGTAAAGGAGGGGATGTGTGTCTCTGTGTGTGAGGGTAAAGGAGGGGATGTGTGTCTCTGTGTGTGAGGGTAAAGGAGGGAATGTGTGTCTCTGTGTGTGAGGGTAAGGCAGGGGATGTGTGTCTCTGTGTGTGAGGGTAAAGGAGGGAATGTGTGTCTCTGTGTGTGAGGGTAAAGGAGGGGATGTGTGTCTCTGTGTGTGAGGGTAAAGGAGGGAATGTGTGTCTCTGTGTGTGAGGGTAAGGCAGGGGATGTGTGTCTCTGTGTGTGAGGGTAAAGGAGGGAATGTGTGTCTCTGTGTGTGAGGGTAAAGGAGGGGATGTGTGTCTCTGTGTGTGAGGGTAAAGGAGGGAATGTGTGTCTCTGTGTGTGAGGGTAAGGCAGGGGATGTGTGTCTCTGTGTGTGAGGGTAAAGGAGGGCATGTGTTTCTCTGTGTGTGAGGGTAAAGGAGGGGATGTGTGTCTCTGTGTGAGTGAGGGTAAAGGAGGGGAAGTGTGTCTCTGTGTGTGAGGGTAAAGGAGGGGAAGTGTGTCTCTTTGTGTGAGGGTAAAGGAGGGGATGTGTGTCTCTGTGTGTGAGGGTAAAGGAGGGAATGTGTGTCTCTGTGTGTGAGGGTAAGGGAGGGGATGTGTGTCTCTGTGTGTGAGGGTAAAGGAGGGAATGTGTTTCTCTGTGTGTGAGGGTAAAGGAGGGGATGTGTGTCTCTGTGTGAGTGAGGGAAAAGGAGGGGAAGTGTGTCTCTGTGTGTGAGGGTAAAGGAGGGGAAGTGTGTCTCTGTGTGTGAGGGTAAAGGAGGGGATGTGTGTCTCTGTGTGTGAGGGTAAAGGAAGGGATGTGTGTCTCTGTGTGTGAGGGTAAAGGAGGGAATGTGTGTCTCTGTGTGTGAGGGTAAGGCAGGGGATGTGTGTCTCTGTGTGTGAGGGTAAAGGAGGGAATGTGTGTCTCTGTGTGTGAGGGTAAAGGAGGGGATGTGTGTCTCTGTGTGTGAGGGTAAAAGAGGGAATGTGTGTCTCTGTGTGTGAGGGTAAAGGAGGGGATGTGTGTCTCTGTGTGTGAGGGTAAAGGAGGGAATGTGTGTCTCTGTGTGTGAGGGTAAGACAGGGGATGTGTGTCTCTGTGTGTGAGGGTAAAGGAGGGGATGTGTGTCTCTGTGTGAGTGAGGGTAAAGGAGGGGATGTGTGTCTCTGTGTGTGAGGGTAAAGGAGGGAATGTGTGTCTCTGTGTGAGTGAGGGTAAAGGAGGGGAAGTGTGTCTCCGTGTGTGAGGGTAAAGGAGGGGAAGTGTGTCTCTGTGTGTGAGGGTAAAGGAGGGAATGTGTGTCTCTGTGTGTGAGGGTAAAGGAGGGAATGTGTGTCTCTGTGTGTGAGGGTAAAGGAGGGAATGTGTGTCTCTGTGTGTGAGGGTAAAGGTGGGAATGTGTGTCTCTGTGTGTGAGGGTAAAGGAGGGAATGTGTGTCTCTGTGTGTGAGGGTAAAGGAGGGGATGTGTGTCTCTGTGTGAGTGAGGGTAAAGGAGGGAATGTGTGTCTCTGTGTGTGAGGGTAAAGGAGGGGATGTGTGTCTCTGTGTGTGAGGGTAAAGGAGGGGATGTGTGTCTCTGTGTGTGAGGGTAAAGGAGGGAATGTGTGTCTCTGTGTGTGAGGGTAAAGGAGGGAATGTGTGTCTCTGTGTGTGAGGGTAAAGCAGGGGATGTGTGTCTCTGTGTGAGTGAGGGTAAAGGAGGGGAAGTGTGTCTCTGTGTGTGAGGGTACTGGAGGGGTTGGGTGTCTCTGTGTGTGAGGGTAAAGGAAGGGATGTGTGTCTCTGTGTGTGAGGGTAAAGGAGGGAATGTGTGTCTCTGTGTGTGAGGGTAAAGGAGGGGATGTGTGTCTCTGTGTGAGTGAGGGTAAAGGAGGGGAAGTGTGTCTCTGTGTGTGAGGGTAAAGGAGGGAATGTGTGTCTCTGTGTGTGAGGGTAAAGGAGGGAATGTGTGTCTCTGTGTGTGAGGGTAAAGGAGGGAATGTGTGTCTCTGTGTGTGAGGGTAAAGGAGGGAATGTGTGTCTCTGTGTGTGAGGGTAAAGGAGGGGATGTGTGTCTCTGTGTGAGTGAGGGTAAAGGAGGGAATGTGTGTCTCTGTGTGTGAGGGTAAAGGAGGGGATGTGTGTCTCTGTGTGTGAGGGTAAAGGAGGGAATGTGTGTCTCTGTGTGTGAGGGTAAAGGAGGGAATGTGTGTCTCTGTGTGTGAGGGTAAAGGAGGGAATGTGTGTCTCTGTGTGTGAGGGTAAAGGAGGGGATGTGTGTCTCTGTGTGAGTGAGGGTAAAGGAGGGGAAGTGTGTCTCTGTGTGTGAGGGTAAAGGAGGGAATGTGTGTCTCTGTGTGTGAGGGTAAAGGAGGGAATGTGTGTCTCTGGGTGTGAGGGTAAGGCAGGGGATGTGTGTCTCTGTGTGAGTAAGGGTAAAGGACGGGATGTGTGTCTCTGTGTGAGTGAGGGTAAAGGAGGGGATGTGTGTCTCTGTGTGAGTGAGGGTAAGGCAGGGGATGTGTCTCTGTGTGAGTGAGGGTAAAGGAGGGGATGTGTGTCTCTGTGTGAGTGAGGGTAAGGAAGGGAATGTGTTTCTTTGTGGGTAAAGGAGGGGATGTGTGTCTCTGTGTGTGAGGGTAAAGCAGGGGATGTGTGTCTCTGTGTGTGAGCTAGGGTAAAGGAGGGGATGTGTGTCTCTGTGTGAGTGAGGGTAAGGGAGGGAATGTGTTTCTTTGTTTTAACAATGTATTCTTTTGATAGAGACTGGTTCTTTTGGTTAGCACAGGACACCTAATATTTCAGAACCTGCATCCTCAGAGATTGCCTAATGTTCATGATACTTTACATAATTTTAAAGTTTGATACAAAGAAGAATACTAGTTTGGTTGTTTTCATCTTTTGAGTCTAAATTTTGCTTTATCAAGCTGTGCTATCTACCCATTAGAGCATTATTTTCGATCCACTCAAATTTAGCTTCTAGGACATAATGTGAAGAAACTAGGGATGTCAACGAGTACCCGGTTAACCGGGTACTCGATCGAACCACAGGGACCTGTAACATACTGTATTTGATTTTACATAATCACTATATGTATACAAAAAGAGACCTGTAACATACTGTATTTGATTTTACATAATCACTATATGTATACAAAAGATCCTTTTTTGTATACATATAGTGATTACGTAAAATCAGAAACAGTATGTTACAGGCCCCTGTGGATCGAACGTCCAAGTATCGAATACTGAAATCGGTACTCAGTTTCTCGGATGTATATTTTTGAATATTTCTAATCTTATTTATTAATGCATTAAACAATCTGTTTTAAAACGTAAAATGCTCAATGCACTTGTACATACAGTAATTAGGGTTTACTACGACTCTAAATGACCGTTATCGCCTGTGGCAGTAGTTTATACAGTAATTATCGTGACCAAGTACCTGGGGTACCTGACTTTTCTCACCTTCGGCTGCCTTCTTCCCTTATTTTTGGTTTGGCTTTAATTATTTGTTTTCACTGAACATCGTTTAAGATCCATTATGTTTAAATAAATGAGATAATTTTGTCAATTCTATGAAAAGTCGTAAATTCTCGGGAAAAGAGCGGATGATATTACACATGCGATTGTTGATATGTTTGTGTTTGATTACATGCCAATACAACTGGTTACAGGCAAAGGCTTTAAAAAAACTGATGTCCATTGTTGCATCAAAGTACAAAATACCGTCCCATAATACCATATAAATCTCGGATCGAACAAGTGTACGAAAATCGTAAATCCGCGCTGTTAGGAGAACTTGATCAAGTTCAAGTTGATACTCTGACGACTGATACCTGGTCATGAAACATGACAAAGGGTTACATTACAATTACGGAGCAGATTATTTCTTTAAACAAAAACACTGTGAACAACTTATGATTTTATTTCTTGTGTTTATCTGATAAATAAATTGAATTAAAAAATTGTTATATTAAATTTCGTCAGGCACGAAGTGCTCATCATTGTTACAACAGAAATACATTTACGGATAAGCCTCCTATCAGAGCATCTAGTTTTATTTCTACAAGAGTTTACAATGTTTTACAGTCTTCAAATTACTTGTTCATATTTATTTACACTTTTACCGAGTACCCGGGTACTTGATCGGAAAAACGTCCGAGTAACTGAGTACTGAAAATTGACCGATTTGACATCCCTAGAAGAAACCTATCGAGCAAGACAAAATTTCAGCAATTTTAAATTTAATCTAAATGTAAACAATCTGATGGACTACAAACAGCAGATTGGACTACCAAGAGAAGATACTTTGGTATCTCTAACATTGCAAGTTGATGTGCAAGATTCTTATTCTCTAAGTATTTCACCCTTGATATCTCAAATCCTCCAATACATGTATCTTGAGGCAATCTCTCAGCCCCATTGCTTATGAGATAACAAGATTTTACTGTATTTTGTGTATCTTTTTTAAGGTACTCCAATCCTCAGGTTCTGAAAATCAAGCATTGACTAATTGAAAATGCTCACAAAAATGTCTCTGAATTTTCAAAGTGACGTGTTTTTACCCATAATAACTCCTCAAACTTCATCTTTCAATTTAATCATATTATATAGAGAAAATTAGTAAATCTCAAATATACTTTCAGGAATTGCAAATAAACACACCTTCTATACATTTTCCAATTCAAATTTGATCAATTAACACATTTTAAAAATAAAAATTATAGGTATCCAGGCTTTTGAAGAAATTCCACAATTTTTATACATATTATGTTGTTTCTTTTATTTACTTTGATCATTTTACAATGCAAAGTGTATAAAGATTTTCCTATCGTTGCAAAGCTCCATAAATCACTTTTAATTTCATATCATGTTAATAAACATTGCTATCTATGGTTAGATTAAAATGAACATTAATTTGTTGATATATGCAATTCTAAAATGCCTTTACGGTGTAAAAATTTTGACTTTTAATTAGACCTTTCTGAGAACTTCAAAGAATCTTGAATCACATTGAGAGGCATGTAATGAAAATTGTTGCATGAAAAGATTTAATTTTCAAGCTTCATTTTGAGACTTTTTGAATTAAATTATAAATTAAAGAGTTGTCCTTCCTAGCTGAGGATCGGAGTCCCTTAAGTTTGGTGCAATGAAAATCATTTCGGTATACAAAGTTATACTGTATATCAAGTAAGTGGAAATTTTAGAGCGAGGCAAATTTAGCGATTTGTCCTTAAAAATTGATAATTAATTTTTAACGAGATGTAATTTTAGCGATTTTAAAAAGCTCATTAAAGAAACTATTACAAATAAAGCGCAATTAAATTTTAGTGGTATTCAATTTTAGCAATCTTGGCACCCTCGCTAATAATGCCAAAATTATATCCTCACTAAAAATTCTGCTTATATGGTAGTTCTTTACCAGTTTAGTGTGCAGTTTGGTGCTTTCTTCTCGCAAGGTCTGTTGTGTGTTTCTAGATGCCTCTAATTCCTCTTTTTGTTTAGACTTCACCTAAAATTAATTTTTAAAAAACTTCAATCCAGAAGGGTTCTTGTACACAATTTATTGTCTTGGTCATATTTTATATATACAGTAATATGTAAAAACATGAATATTTACTGTTAAATACATGTGATAACAAGTTTCTAAAAGACTTAGTTTTAGCAGGATATAAGTTAAAGTGCTAAAAATTCATAAAGGCAATTTTTAATATGATTTAGTCACATTTACATCTGACCAGTTTTATTTCAATCAATTTTCAATTTCAATCATCTTTCATTTTTACCTTATATGGTAAAAACACTCCTACCTGTTCTAGTTGTTGGTTAAGATCTTTAATTTGATTGGACAATTCCAGTTTCTGGCTAATAAGGAGATCTTTAGCCTCTTCAAGACTTTTAACTTCCTGATAATGAGATTATGGTTAATACATTAAAATTAACCCAGTTATCAATAAAAAATGACAAATGAATGTAGGTCATGATGGCCTATTTCACCCTTCATCATTTCAGCTCCTTTGGTGTCTTAAATTAAGACCTAAAATATTGAATTCCAGTCACATATCAAACACACATGCCTTTGTTTTAAAAGATGAAATATTTGTAGTTATCTCCTATTCACATGGAGAGTTTAATTCAATACATGTATATCAAAACTGTTCAGTGCAGTGTCTAGCAGTATATAGGTGATAGGTATTTGTATTTTACACAGGAGGTAAGAGGTTTATTAATCAGTAATTAATCGGTTTATTTGAAGCCCTGACCTGTTTCCTCTCGGACTTTTACAGTGACTATTATATTATCTGTAATTGATCAGTTTAACTTGAGGTCTTGACCTGTTTCCTCTCTGACTTTTGCAGTGACTATTATATTATCAGTAATTGATTGGTTTTACTTGAGGTCCTGACCAGTTTCCTCTCTGACTTTTTATAATATTATCGGTAATTGATCAGTTTTACTTGAGATCCTGACCTGTTTCCTTTCTGACTTTTCTTTATCCAGACTCTTGGTCAGGTTCTCTATATCTTTTTCATAGGAATCACTGGTGATTTTTGTCTCTCCATATTTTTTCTCCAGTTCTTCAACTTCTGATTCCAAACTTTCCTGAAATTGACAGGTAGCAGCTGTTAGTATTAATTGTGAAACATGTTAGATGGTACTTAGTGTGCTCTACTCTGCCAAGAACCTATATGTTGTAATAACCACACATCCTGATTTGAATACACAAATCTAAATACATGCAATATATAAAGGTATCTATGTCTCTACTGGCAATAATTCAATGTTTATAAAGAAGAAGGTATAGTTTGGGCTTTATTGTGCCCTAAAAATTTTATATGTTTAAAAAATTGTCAAATTGGTTTTAACATGAGTTGAGTGATGAATATGATAATTCAAAATCATTAAAGAATATGGAAATATGACATCATAAATATGGTGCATTTCTAAGTTTTATGCAAAAAAGCCTCAAAATGATTTATTTCTGAGCTTTTTTTTCCTTTCACAAATAGTATCTGCAGCCATTGCCCACATCAATTTTTGGATATATTGTGTAAAATGCTTTGAAAATTCACAAATGCATGAACCGTATGTTTTCTGAAAGAAAATTCAATTAAAAAATTAATGTTTTCTGCAACTTTTACGGAAAAATTACGGAAAATGCACAAGTTCATGACATCACAATTAGCACTTAAGAGGTCATATTGGAAAAACAATTTGCACGTTTTTACTGCATGGAATTTCAATAATTCAGAAAGGATGAAAAACAGTGTTTTGTATTGAAACTGTACCTTGTTCTTTAACTATGTACCTTTTCTCCTTTGTATTTTTCTGCCTTTTCTTTGTATTCCGACAGTTCTTTGTCTAATTGAACCATCTGTGTATTCATGGCACTTCGAATCTGAATTTAATATTTTTTACATGTAATAATAGGGGTGAATTATTTACATGTGTATATAAATTAAAAGTTGAATATCCATAAGTTAGCACATACAAATTTGCACTGCTGTAATATGTACATATCAGTTCCTTATTATGCTCATAAACATATTCCATATAGGCATACTGTATTGTCTTTTTTAAAACTACTTCAGTGGAATCATTTGAATTTACCTTATAGGTCACTTTTTCTAAATACATGTGCTGTACTAGTTTAAAATACACTGGATTGTAGGAATATTAGTGTGAGCAAATGCCTCTTTTTTATGAAAGACATTGCAAGTAGATCATAATTCTTTACCATTATGCGTCTGAGTAAAAGATCAAAGAAATCCAAAACGAATTACACCCCCACGTAATTTCATGATTTCCCTCTATTGAACCTCACAGGGCTTTAAAAACAGACATTTTTTGCAGCTCTCCTATGCTATGCCAAAAGATATTCAAAATGAGTTTGCAGTGCAATTAACTTTTTTCAAGGTGTATTTTAACCTCCATTTATCAAATCCTAAGACATCTCAAAAGTTTTTTTCTCAGTATCATCATTTAAAGATAATGAGACTTGACTTTACTTAATTGCTTTGCCTAAAGTTCGCCTTTTCTATACCTCACTCAGCTCATCAAAAGACTGGTTGAGTTCCGTCGTTTTTTCTTTGGAGTCAGTTAGCTCCCTTTGAAGATCTTCCATCTTTTTTTGAAGATCTGTATTTTCTGATTTCAGTCCTTCAGCTTCCTTTACAGATTTCTCTAACTTCTCTTGGAGGTCCTAAAGAGTGAGAAATAATTATAGGATTTTTTATGTTGTTTATCTTGGCTACTGTTTACATGTACATGTATGAAGCATTTTAGAGAACAAATTTGTTCCTACTACAGAAACTCACCAAAAGAAAAAAAAAAGGTAATTATGTTTTTATTTGTTTATTGTTTAAAGAAAAAAAAGGAGCTTAACGATCACCTGTATCCCATAAAGACAGCATTCTAATTATTTCCTCAAAATATTAAGAAAGGGATTTATTTTTATGACAATAATGATTTGAGATTTGAACTAAACAGCAAACCCTTATACTATGACATTATACCTGTTTCTGGTACACTGTCAATCAACAATTTGAGATCCCCCCCCCCCCCCAACACACACACACACAAATTTTCAGAAAAAAACTCATTTAAGTTACATATCTTTTCCTACCTTAGTCTGTTCCTGGAGTTTTTCGGCCTCGGTCACTTTCTCTTGTACCATACTTTGTAGCTCCTGTGTCTTCAGATCACTTATTTCCTTCTGCAAGCAAAATTTTCAGTAAAAGTTGTAAAAATTAAAATGAAAACTTCCCTGCATTGACTGGAATTCACTCCAATTAATAACATATACACAAATTAATTCAGGGTTCCCCATCTTTTAAAAGATTAGTTTCCTGTGGCTAAACATGCTTGAAGAGAGTTTTACGAGATCAATAAAAATTTTGTCATAAAGCAGACAAAACCAAATGTTGGGGTAAATATAACAGGTTTTAATTCACATTCTTTTTCTTTGCAGTCAAGACGGTCCATTGAGACCTCTGCAATTCATATTGATAATCACTGAGATTGAATTGATTTAATTCATCCTAATTACAAAGTTTTAATTCAAAGAGTCTTGTACTAAATAATTTCCAGGACATCAAGCGATCATCTACCTGCTGAGCCAGATTTTCTTTCTCATCTTCCAGTTCCGACTTCAACTTCTCAATGGTTCCTTCCAAGTCTTTCTTCCTTGACTCAAAATCAGAAATCTGAAAAAGAAAATAAGATACATCTTTTTCAAATTACACTATCAATGACTTTACCTAGCTAGCTTCTTGGATCTTTACTTTTTCTGGTTGAATATAGCATTATACTGTACTATAAGAAGAACTGAATGGTGACAGATCATAAGATAAAAACTTGGTCATATTTGTGGCAGGGCAGAACAAATAGAAGCTTTCCTGACTTTTAAATGTGTATATCATAAGTTTTTTGAAGAGGAAAAAAAAACCCACAAAAACTTGATAATGTGAAGAATGTTTGGTCATTATATAAATTTGAACAATTCTGACAGCCACATATTTAATCATTTTAAAATAGTTTATCTTTACTTGCTATCATTGACAAAATAAAAGGTTTTAGACTATAGAAAGTTCCTACCTTGCCCCTGAGAGTATTTTCAGATTCTGTCTTGGAAGAAAGTGATTCCTGAATCAAAGAAACATCAAAAGTTTTGTTATTAATCCATGAAACCAACAGTGTCTTTCTTACAAATATTTTATCTCCATACTTTTAATATGATAATAAAATTGTAGAGAAAATACAGTGAATCTTGCCTAATCTTGATGTTGTGTGCTCTAAAATCTTGCACAATGCAATGTAAACTTTAAGTAATTTTCAATAAATTCAATTGTTTAACAAGTTGTCTAAGTAACCCAGAATGTTGTCTACTCCAGCCAGTTTGTTTGGGACCAGCCGAGTGTGGATCAGACAAGTTTTACAGAATATGATGAGAAAAAATCTCAAAGCGAACTACAAGGGATTCTCTGTTTTAATGACTTGTTCCATCAAACAAACCATCAATCTGTATAATTGTATACATGTATGTACATGTGCATATACATGTACATGTGCATATACATGCATTAAACATAAAATCTTTTGGGTTTTATTTGTTATAGCAAAACACAAAATTAATTATTGCCTTTTTAAGGAGAAATCGCTGTAAAATCCAGCCTACCTTCTCCTTGTTGAGCTGGGACTTGACATCATTGAGTTCCACTGAGATGGCATTTATTTCTGATCGCAGTTCCTCCTCCTTCTTTTTGGATTCACTCTCTAATGTTTTCTGCATCAAAAAAAAAAATTAAACAACACCCACAACAATGCTGATTGAAAATACTTTTACAGTCTCCAACATGGTATTTGTTAATGGCCACTACTTTAACAATATCCCCCATACTGGTCATGAAAAAACAGTTCAAAAATCAAAACAATCACTGTAAATTTGTGTATAGCAAACAGGCTTGAAGCAAATATATTTCCAATAAATAGTATACTTTCAAACAGCAACAAACAATTAAAATATGATGACAATTGTAATTTTGCCCATCACTGAGGATTCACAATATCCACATTTTATTTATCAAACTCTACCCACCTTCTCCTTGGCATGTGTGTTCAGTGTATCCCTGAGTTCCTTTTCTTTAGTTTCGATGGCAGCTTCCTGTTCCACAATCTTTTTCTCTAATCCGGACTTCTCTTCAATTAATTTTAACTTCTCATCTTTGACTATGTCAATCTAGAAACAGAGTGAATAAAATTCTCAATGCAGGTAGTCTTTAGCATCTACCTTTTAATACAGGTTATCAGCATACATGAATGCAATCATTACTAGTTATCAGTGTACATGTATGCAATTGTTATTACTATTATTACTGTTTAAATGTGTATATTTATACAATGATTGGGTTTTTTATGTACATGTATAAAATTATCATGCAAGCCAATTGGTGTACATATGTGGAGGTTGGCCAGATAGCTCAGTCGGTAGAGCACCTGACCAGAGTTTCAGGGGGCCCGGGTTCGAATCCCGATCTGGTCCACTGCATTCTTCTCCTCTCCCATTACACTTACATGAAATTATTACTAGAACATTGCATTGTATAAATTACACAAAGTGCCCATGTGTAATAATCTACATGCAAGTATACTCCACTTAGGTCAAATATGCTTAGCCTAATTACATATAACACCTTGACCTTGATAATTTATTGGCTCCAGAGTCCAGACATGCTACATGTACGTAGTTATACACGCACCAGGAATTTCTGAAGATAATGTGTCAAAGCCCAGACTACAAGATGACATTCTCTATTAAATAATTATCACCTCTACTCAAAATAACTAATATTAAATGAACAGAGATTCTGTGAAAAAGCAATGTTAATGAATATTACATGAAGTCTGTGGGCTGATGTTCACTGAGAAAACTGCACCTGTTATTATATGTATGTTACCAGGGCTGTTAATTCATGTACTGTACCTGTTGTTTTCTGTAGAGCACATTGTTTTACATAATTATTCAACCTGTTGTCTAGTAGTTAACCTAAGGTTAGAGCACCTGAATGTGTTTTTTTGCACTGCATCTTTTGTTTTATGTATCGCACCTTTGCTTTTATGTACTGTAACTGTTGTTTCGTGTATTGCACCTATTGTTTAATGTACTGCATCTATTGATTTGTTGTTTACTGTAGTTGATGTTTATGTAAGCCTGTTGTTGTGTGTTAACCCCTACCTGCTGCTGTAGACTGTCTTGTTTCTCCTGGGCTGTCCTCTGAGTCTTCCTCCCTTCCTCCTGTAACCTCTTCACTTCTTCAGCATGACTCTGCTCCATCTGAACAAACAATAAAGTGCCCCGCCACAGCATGATACGCCCATCAAATATTGTTCAATAATCATACATTGGTTAGGATGCAAGAAAATCAGGTAGCCTTGATTAACAGATTGACACAGATTTCAATTATTTAATTTCCTTTTCTTATTATACATCTCTAAGAGACTTACAGTGTAGGGATATTATAACAAATAATACTAGTGAGACATGACTGCAATTTGTTGCAAATATATAAATTTAAAATTGAAATATAATTTTTTGTATTTTTCAATGAACATATGTATAATTATTTTTAATCATATTATACAATACTAATTTAGTTTTAATCATACACTAGAACATCAATTGAAAGATCTTTATCTGGACTAGCCATTTAACACAAACATCTTTTTGCCCAACTCCCTGGATAAGTTAAGATAACAGCTGCATCAGATCAGAGATTTCCTGACAATAAACTCATTAATTTCTCTCTAATTTGTCATGCAAATTTCTGCTATCAAAATTCTTCCCCAGTGCTGTGGGACAAACTGAATTCCTCTCAAAGCATAACCATTTGTTACAGATTGCTGTAAAGTATATAATGAAAAAATAAGTTTTTACTTAATTTAATGTTTTTTAATAAGCATACAACTATATTTTTACATTTTTTAGGATTATGAAATTTAGAATTTAAAAGACTTAAATTTTTTAAAAAATTCACTTTAATTAAAGGTCACAGTGACCTTGAAATAGGCCGCGACACACCTTCTACTTTAGATGTATACGTTTGCCAAGTTTGAAAGCTCTAGGTCTAATAGTTTTCTAGTTATGAGCCGGACAGGATTTTTCCATATTTGGCTATAGCATCTTTATTAAAGGTCAGAGCGACCTGTTTTTGTGCGCGACACACCGTCTACCCAAGAAGTATAAGTTGACAAAGTTTCATAATCCTAGGCCTAATAGTATTCAAGTTATGAGCCGGACAGGAATGGACAGCTAGACAGACGGACGGACGGACATAAAGCCTATAACATAATACGTCCCGTCTTAAGACGGGCGCATAAAAAAAAAATCATGAGTGCACAATTTACAAATAAAATTTATACATGAACATTAACACTGTGAAGTCTTCAACAGATAATTCTTTATGGAACATTTTCTCAGGTTTACCTTCTTGACAATAGCCCTTTGTTCTTCTAACTTAGTCGCGGCATCATCCCTCTCTTTTGTGAGGGTCTCCAGTTCTCTGGACTTCTCTTTTATGACTTTATCCTTGGTGTCCACATCAGATTTCTGTTAATGAGAAAAAAACACACATAAATGAACCAGAAGTCTCTGTCGAGACTGTAGCTCTACTGTTTTGTACTTATACCAAATGAAGAGAAAAGCAGCCATTTGGACTTGAAACTTTACAAAAGCAGTAAATATAATAATGATCCTTGAATAAGTCTCTCTTTGAAGCAACTTGTGTGCCAAATTAAATTGAAATAAGACCAAAACTGTGGGAGAAGTAGCATTTTGAAAGCATTTCAAAGAAATTTCTATTTTTAGTTACCATGGCAACACCGTTCATTGAAATCAAAAACCGATGCACTACATCACTACATTACTATAGACCAATACTGTAGGAGGAGTAGCGTTTCAAAGGAATTTCACAGAAATTTCTATTTTTAGTAACCATGGCAACACCGTTCAACGAAATCAAAAACCGATGTACTAAATTATGTATCTTGGTGTTGTCTACTTGTATGCCAAGTTATATTGAAATCAGACCAAAACTGTATGAGGATTGGAATTTTAAAGGAATTTCACTGAAATTTCTATTTTTAGTAACCAAGGCAACACCGTTCATCGAAATCAAAAACAGATGCACAACATTGTGTATCTTAGTGTAGGCTACTTGTGTGCAAAGTTATATTGAAATCAGACAGCTAGACGGACGGATGGACAACGAACACCTTACTATCGCATTAGCTCTTCTGGTCTCTGACCAGTAGAGCTAAACTATTACTCTTCAAGTAATATTTTACGAGAATTCAAGTTCTTTAATATTCTACCTTAAGTTTGTTTTTTTTACTTTTAGGACAATCAGTTTGTGCTTCTACATATTTCTTACAGTCAAGATGGCCTTTTCTATACCCATTTTAACAGTTACAGAAAGAGGTCATAGCTAAATAATAATGAAAGTAGACATAGAGTTAGCTGACCAGTTGAGTTATCTGTATTCCTAGAGCCTTCTTTTCTGTCGTATGCTTCTCTACCTCTCCTTTTAACTTGCTCACGTCTGTTTCATGTGCTTTTTTCTCCTACAAAGAAATTCATTTTTTTTTCCAAGATTATTTTACTTTGAAATTCCTTCTTAACAAAGATTGTTCATATTATGTGAACTGAGTGTTACTGAAAAGGGCGGCCATTTTTTTTTGGGGGGGGGGGTGCCATTTTATTTATTATAAGTTCTTTTCAAAGAGGAATAAAACAGTGAAAACACTGCAATGAAAATCACAAACAAAATGAAAACCAATAAAAAAGGTATAGAACATATTGTAAATTCCAGTGAAATCAAAAGAAATATTGTTTTGAATAAGCAAAATTACTCTAATTGACTTAAGACTGTCTCAGGTTCCATGAGAAAATACAATCAAATTCCTACTACTTACAAAGTGCTGGACATTAAATTAAATATTTTTTTATATATATAAGAGTACTCATTGAGTAGTACCATGTTATGTAAGTAAAATAAATTGGCAACTTTTGGTGCATTCCTACTCTTATGATAACTAGAACTGTCCAAACGGGACAAAATACCCCCCGCTGGGTTTTTCAGAAGTAAGTTTTTCCATATTAAAGATATGTATCACACATGAATTATGAAATTTTTCTTCCAGTGACCTTAAACTTCCCCAAATGACCTTGGGTTAGGGTCATGACACACCCTAACGTCATGGGCAATCTTTGTGTGAAATGAGAACCTACCAAATTTATCCAGAAGAAAGATACGGACCAGACACAAATTATGAAATTTTTCTTCCATAGAACTTGAAGTTCCCCAAATGACCTTGAGACAAGGTCAAGACACACCCTTAGGTCATGGGCAATCTTTGTGTGAAATGAGAACCTATCAAGTTTATCCATAAGAAAGATATGGACCGGACACAAATTATGAACTTTTTCTTCCAGTGACCTTGAACTTCCCAAAATGACCTTGGGTCAAGGTCATGACACACCCTTGGGTCATGGGCAATCTTTTTGTGAAATAACCTACCAAATTTAATCCATAAGAAAGATATGGACCGGACACGAATTATGAAATTTTTCTTCCAGTGACCTTGAAGTTCCCAAAATGACCTTGGGTCAAGGTCATGACACACCCTTAGGTCATGGGCAATCTTTGTGTAGAGTATTCTACCATGGTTACTGAAAACTTCTACCAAGTTTATCTACAAATCACGAACGTCATCAAAAAATTATCAGACACAATCAAATTAACAATTCAAATGCATGTTTGGCTGTAGAATACTTGTTTAGACCGCATCGATGTGTCGTCTTTTGCATTATAAACACTGTAAATTGTATAAAATTGCTGATGAATGTCGGTTTTTATAGCTACACACCCTATTCCACGGACCTCCCTACACATTAAACAACGTGATTTTAGCAGTAAAAAAAGAACATGATTTTGTTTTTGTATATTCATTTTAACTGATCGATACGTATTACGAACAAATTTGTAATTTAAAAAGACTATTTTTAATGCGACGAAAGCTCAAATTGTCTGCATTCCATATATAGGTAAGTCAACAAAATTTCTCTCTGGTGTTAAATAGAACAGTGTAATCGAGACATGGTGACCTAATTCGTTTCTCTATAGAGGAAACAATTGGCCAAGTTTATCGCCCTTGGTAGAATAGAAATAAAGTCCTTGTTGTCGTGAATGATGCAAATTTTTCCTCGGTCTCCACTGTTGTTTGAAATATAAAAGCCTCGGCTAATGACCTTGGGTTTTAGGTCATGACACACCCCTAGGTCATGGGCAATCTTTGTGTTTAGTAGTAGATGTCCCTCCATAAGAAAGATATGGACCGGACACGTTTGCACAGACAGATGGATGGACGGATGGACGGACAGCTAGACAGCTGGACGGACGGACAGACAGATGGACAGACAGACAAGGTGATTCCTATATACCCCCCCAAACTTCATTTGCAGGGGGTATAAAAATATTATATAAACATGACGTATTTTAAACAAATAATACTTATTAACAAAAAGCTGCAAGTCACTAATGCAATAAATACTCTAATGAATTGTGTAATGAAAATCTCCAATCACATTTTAGAATATTCTGTTGAAGTACACAAAATTAACACTTTGATACAGTAGGTTTCCTTATACTTACAGAGTTCAGGTTCTTTTCCATTTGAGCCTGTTGTTTTTTCAGCTCCTTGTTATTCCCCTTCTCGGTGCTCAGCTGACTTTCTAGATCTTTGACTTGGGATATACTTTTGTCATAAGCCGAGGTCTAATTGATTTAAAATGAATAATTCATAATATAAATCTATTTCACATCTTTTCTATTTGTTGTCATAAACCAGGATCAAGTTTCTTTTTTATCTAATACATGTACAGTATAATCTGTCTATTAAGAATTTATTTACAAGATAATTTCAATTATAATTTTTTTTTATTCACATGAATCTCTAGGCAACTTTTCATAATGTTCCTTATGCAAATATAATGAAACCTGGTTTTTAAGACCGTCACAGTAAAATTTATCCCAGGGACTCCCTTAAAATTAATTTAGTTTAACCGTACTTGAAATTTTAAATTTAAAGGCATATAGTTTGATATAACACTGTTCTGTGCAGAGTACCTTCTCTTTGAGCTGACGTTCCAGTACTACAGTCTGTTGTGACAGTCCGTTGATCTTTTCTTGATGTTCCTTAACAGAGCTCTCTAAGGCTGCAATCTTCTCTTTCTTGGAAGTAACTTCCTGTGAAATCTGTAATTTTTTCAAAAGAAATAAAATTCTTCACCCCTAGCTGTGAAAGTAAGACAGTACAGCAAAACTCTGTTATAACAAAGTCACTGGGACCTATGATATTACTTCGCTATATCCATAATTTGTTACAACCGTATAAGAAATTCATTAAATTTATATAGATGGGGATCCAAGATAACTTCGCAATATCCGTGTTCATACTAAACGAATTTTGCTGTATACATGTATACAGTATTGCACATTTTGGTGCTTATTCTAATGGTATACAGTAAAACTTGCTTTAGAGTTAAACAACACTTAAAAGTATTGAAGCGATTAAGTACTTCTACGAACAATACAACTGTGACCTTAAAAATATTCTCACAAAAAAATAAATGTCCAGAGTGTGGATTCCAGATGCTTTATATTAGCATTAAATAACTGAACCTGTTCTATCTGTTTCTGAGCCTTGGCAAGTTCCCCAGACTTTTCCTCTAACATGTTCTGTGACGTTTTGATGTGATTTTCTAAGTCGGCCCGTTGACTTGTCCGGGCTGCTTCTGCTGCTATAAGGAGTTCACTCTGTTAAAAGAATCCACAAATCAAGGAGTGTACAACATTGCTTTTTTAATCTTTGATATGAAACATTTTAAGAAAATCTCCCCTTTCTCCCTCCAAAGAAAAAAACCAAATAAAATAAAAAGTGGGGAAAATTGTACAGGAATACAGTTTACCTTTGTATTTAAGTCACCCTCAAGCTGTTGAATTTTCTGCTGTGCAGCCTGAATTTTCTCTGATTTTTCTTCCAAAACTGACTTCTGTTTTTGTGCTTTGTCCTGAGCTGTCTGCAGTTGACCTTTGACCTCATTCAGTTGTTTGTGCAGATTTTCCATTTTCTGCCCACTCTCTGACTTTTGTGTGCTCAGTGTCTGCTCCAGATGAGATATTTTGTCTTGGAGTATTGTCTGGAAAATACATGAAAATCCAGTTTATCCCATTTAATATTGGACAATACAGTAGAATTTTGGTTATCTTAGATACTGATGTCTCTAATACCATGGATATACATGTATATGTTGAACAAATTTGAAAGTCTCAATCACTTATCCTTTATGCATACATGTATTTTACACCCAATATCTGACAGCTCTAACTTTTTTCTCGGTCGATCCGTAGTTTGAAATAAAAATCGAGGTTTGACTTTATTTGTATGTATGCATGTTTCAATGAAACAAATATGGGTTTAATTCTTAATTCCAATACCTTTTCTTGTTTTAATTGATTAATTACAGTCTCTGTTCCCTCACCAGCCTCAATCTAAAAGAAGAGGTCCATTATTAATTAATTAAAAACAAATTCAAATTAGAAAAACTCCATATTCACACCTACATATTATAACATAACATAATCTCTGTACATCTGTACAAAGGAAGATAACTCAGAAATTTTCAGATACATGTCGTCACTAACCTTGGCTATGAGATCGGTCCTCTCTGACTCCAGTCTACCCATCTCTTCCCTCAGTGATCCAAGCTGCGAATCCAACTCTGATATCTTCTGGTCTCTGTGTACATCATTTATTATCAAGGTTAATTTTGTATTAATATTTTGAATGTTTTTAATAAACAGTTTCACGGATAAACATGGTTGTAAATGAAAATATATATGAAACACTCCATAATATGCAATGCAATATGATATTAAAATACTAGCAATAATTGAATATTTAAGCTTTTCCTTAACTCTTATCTTAAACTGTTAAAGAGTGGGAGGGTGGGTGGGGGGGAGGTCAGTTATCAGTATCTTTACCTGGCTGTAAGTTTCCTAGTCTCCTCCTCTAACAGCTGTTCTTTGTCTCTAAGGTTTGTCTTCAAGTCATCAGATGCTGCACACTAACAACACAGATTTCATAATATACATAGTGACAACAATAAGAGTCTACTTTGTTTAGGATGATGAAATAGAAATTTAAAATTGTGTCAAAGATTTTCTGACCTACCTCATTCTGGTAGTGCGTTGTCATTGTGTTAAGCTGCTGCTCCAAGTCTGAAAGCTGGGAATTTTTGGTTTCAGAAGTGGCCTGGATCTGAAAATTAAGAACGTATAAAGGAAGTTTCTGTGAAATTAGTAATATGTGTACAATACATGTATCTATGATTTAAAGTTTCCATCTGACATCTACTTGTAACCTTAACTCATCATGCTTATAGTCTTAAAGGAAACATTGGCACATGAAGAGAGGATTATATAATGATTTTTGTGGATGTTGTACTAATCAGTTGAGAGGACCTTCAGTTTGCAAAATTATCTCCAATTTAATATAATAACATTCATCAAAAAATTAGAATTGAAGACATAAAACAAAGAACATATTACGCCCATCATCTACCTTTTCACACTCTGCCTTGACCTCATTAAGCTGTTGTTCTTTCTGATGCAGTTGTTCTTGTGTCTGGGACTTAATTTCTGTGAATGTCTTTTCTAGGTCACTCAACTGTTTTTCTCTCTCTTGAACAATCTCCTGAACCTATATGTATAAACAATTTAATCTATCAGTCTAAAATATCAAGATATCAAATTTCTGTAGTATTTCTTCTCTCTACTTTCTCTAGAAACAAAAAGTCAACCTTTGATAAGAGCAGTCTAAAAATGATATACATGTACATTTGAAATTAAATTTAACAGAGAGACTGAAGGAAATACACTGGAAATACATGTACCTTTTGTAACTCAGCAGATGTTTCATCCAATTTTTTCTGCAGAATTTCCAAGTTTTGTTGTGATTTGTTAAAATCTGAATCTCGACTGTCCAGCGCCTTCTGTAATTCAGCAATTTGATTGGACTTTTCCAATAACATCTGATTCACTGAAGTGTTCTGTTCTTGGCCCTGTTTCAAAACGTAAGATAAAATAATAAACAATCAAAATGTCTTTCTAATATTCATGGAAAAATTCATTAGATTCTGAATTCTGTACATAGATGCAGAAACATACCGAGTACCAATGACGGCAAATTCTTTACATTCACATCTGTCCCTAATAGACACGTTCATGACATTCACATATTATTTCCATGTCTTATTATAATTAAAACAACTTATACCTATGCATGCATTACTTGAATTTGATTTGGGAAACAAGATCAATTGTGCAAATTAAGAAGAATACGTTTCCTCTCAAAAGAGATCAAAATCTTATTGCTCTGTATAAAATAATTCTAAAATTGAAATTAAAATTCCAAATTGACCTGTTGAAGGTCAGACTGCAGCTGATCAAACTGGTTCTCCTTCTGCTGTAGCTGTTGCCTGGTCGTCTCCAGCTCTCCATTCACTTCATCAAGGTCACCCTGAAGCTTGGATAAACTGGTATCCCTCTCTTCTATAAGACTGTGTGATTTCTCTAATTCCTCCTTCACCTACAAGAAAAATTTCAAAAACTATTGTCAATTTTTTAAAATTCTAAATTGTTATTATGACAACACTTTATCTACCAATCATGATTTACCCAAGGATGTGACCAAGAACTAACTGCGTTTTTTTTAAAACAACAACTACATAAACATTGAGCAGAGTGCATTATTTTCAATTTTCAGCTGCAAAATTATTCATTCATTCTGCATATTAGATGGTTTATGATATATTTATGGATCTCTGAATTTCTCTCTACTAAGTTAATAAACTGTATTAAAAAAATCTTGGATCCACACCTTATTCTGCTCCTCAGTCAGACTCTCTATTGTGGACTGTTTATCTTTGATTTCAGACAGGAGTTTTTCTGTGTATTCAGACTTTTCTGATACTGCTGACTTCAATCTAGGAATAAAATTCACGAAAAAAAACATTACAAGGAAAAGACGTTAGTACATAAACTAATATATGTTTTCTTAGATTAATAAAATGTCAAAATTTATCAGAGTTTTTAAATGAGAGGCCCATGGGCCACACTGCTCATCCTGATCTCTATTAAGGAAAATGTAAAAATCAGTTTCAAATATTTAATTACAATTATGGCTACATAATGCATGATGCCAACAAATTTTCTTAAGAAATTATCTACACTTTATAAATTTGATTCCATAAAATATTTGACAGATCAATGCTTTACTTCTCTATAGAAGATTTTTAGTATTCCTTTGTAAAAATTTTATCCCCCATTGTGGCCCCTCCCTAATCTGATGGGCCATGGTTTGAACAAACTTTGAAAATGCTTACACCTAAGATTTATATTTTCTGTTCAAGTGGAACAGAGAAAAGATTTTTAAAAGATGTAATTGATTTTTCACTATCCAAAATTATCTCCCTTTAGATGAAGGCTGTAAAAAATGAATTTCGCAAACTTGATCATCCCCTATTTCCGTCAAGAAAACTCTTTACACGGAGAGTTTCTTTGAAAGACTGGCATTGTTAATATTAGTTTATGTATGAAACCTGAACATTATGTGCAAATTTTTATAACTGGTTAAAACGATAGACAAAATGTGATCAGAAAATTTCATTGAACTTTTCAAGCTTTCTGTTCAGGAGACCTAACACTAATCTGTACATACACTTTTCATTCTGTCTGTAGACTGTACTTACAACTGAACTTCCTCTGATTTTGGAGCACTGTTCAACAGGGTTTCCAACTCTGCTATTTTTTCAAGTTTTCTGTTGGAACAACAACAAAATATTAAAAAAAATCACAAAACAAACTTTGAAAATTGAAGTCTATATACTATTTACATGTACATCTATGTACTTTCTATAATTTTCTTTAATCACCACTAATTTCAACTTTAATTCTTCCAAAATAATTTCATTTACCCCTATTCTTTAACCCCTTTCATTTGTCCATGGTTTGAACAAACTTTGAAAATGCTTACACCTAAGATTCATATTTTCTTTTCAAGTGGTACAAAGAAAAAGATTTTTAAAAGATGTAATTAATTTTTCACTATCCAAAATTATATATCTTTAGATGAAGGCCTCAATGCTCCTCCTCCAGAGCTGTCAAGTTTGTTTGAAATTTTTAACCCTGTGTAAGAGATTACAGAGGTCCTCCTCCAGAGCTTTCATTGAACTTTTTAACCTTTCTGTTCAGGAGGCCTAAAACTCCTCCTCCAAACCTGTCATTGATATTTTAACCCCGCCTACTCTCTATGCTACTCCTCCAGAGCTGTCATTGATATTTTAACCCACCAAAATGATAAGAAATTCACAAAACAAACTTTGAAAATTGCTCCTCCTCCATGTACATCTAGTCTTTCTATAATTTTTTTTAACCCCGCCTTTCACTCTCTAATTTCATCCTCCTCCTTTAGATCTGTCATTGATATTTTAATCCCACCTACCCTCTATGCTCCTCCTCTAGAGCTGTCATTGATATTTTAACCCCGCCTATCCTCTATGCTCCTCCTCTAGAGCTGTCATTGATATTTTAACCCCACCTACCCTCTATGCTCCTCCTCCAGAGCTGTCATTGATATTTTAACCCCGCCTACCCTCTATGCTCCTCCTCCAGAGCTGTCATTGATATTTTAACCCTGCCTACCCTCTATGCTCCTCCTCCAGAGCTGTCATTGATATTTTAACCCTGCCTACCCTCTATGCTCCTCCTCCAGAGCTGTCATTTTCTTCTTTAATTCCTCCTTCTCTTTCTCTTGCTCCAGAGTCATGTTGTCCATCAGCTTCTGTACAGATATCAATTCCTGCTTTAACACTAGGACATCCTCTGTGCCAGGCCTACAAATCAAACATTAAACATATGATGACTGAATGTAAAAAGTCGTCTGAATAGAATTTCAGCTTTTTAACTTTGTGCCAGCCATGTTTTTTATTTCCTTTCTTCCTGAATAGAAAATGAATTCAAAATATCTGCCTTCAAATGAAAGGTATGCAAGTTAAAAATTTAAAATACATGAACATGAGCATATACATGACATTGTACAATCTATACACTATATTCCTGTGTGGCAATTTGGATATGTGGTGCATGTACATGTATCTACTATTACTGTATACTTTAATTAATGTAAGACCTAATTGAACAATATCTAAATTAAACCAATGTATCTACACCATTCAATGTTCATGCAAACATCAATCCTTCTATGTACTATCAGATTAACAATGAAGCAAGCCCACTGATGCCCCCACTTAACATGACAATTAATGTATACAATAGATGATTTCTTTTACATCCATGAATATTGGGCGTCCTGGGGGATAGGGAGGGTGTGACTGTTTGAAATGTGGTGGTCATTAAGTCTTAACAATGATAAGCATGTGACCATTTGTGCAACATTTTGACATTTATTATATACTCAAGTATACTGTTACTTTTTTTCCGCACTGAAAAAAAAAATCATGCAAGTTCATTTATTTCCAGTGATTAGTACCTCCATACATGTATATATCACAAATTAATTTCACTCTGAAGAAACATGAGTTTCTATTATACCAGTAATAATAAATTATTGATTAATATGCTGAAATTTGCAAAACTTTCAGTATCATGTGGATTTTTAATACAGTGTACTGAAATTGTAAATTTCATTGATTTCACAAGCTTAGAGTACCACAGTACATGTACTAAGCAGAGCTACCTTTAGTAGATAGTACCTCTGATTAAGCTGTATTTCTAAACTTTTCATCTGATCTTCTTTCTGTTCCATTTGTTGCTGAAAGGAGAAAGTAAAATTATGCTTTTTAAAAATCTGAATTGAAAAAAAATATGATTCAACACTGATTATCAAAATATATTTTTGTTTAATTTGAAATTTTAAAAAAATGAGATTCAATACTGAATTTGACATTGAGAAATCAGTTACAAAAGATCAGATTTCTTGATAATGTTTGGACGAAAAATGAACCTTCAAGGTAAAAATGTGATCTTCGTGTGCGCCTCTCTGACTCTCGATCTCATCGGCCCGAGCCTTAACAGCAACTAGTTCTGAAGCCTGTAAAAAGTTATAATCATTATGGAAAGGTTAAAATCAATACAGCTGAATTTCCATGTCTAGAACATCAATTATCTCAAATACCATGGATATGTCAAAGTGATTTGAATGTCCTAAGCCCATAATTAACTTAACTTCTCTAAAATCACATATTTTCGAAGGGTCAAATTTTCGTGGTTTAAGAAAAAAATATGAGTTTGTTGGGATTTAATTTCGTGGACAAGGAATTGTTTAGTAGTCATATCTATGAAAAATTACATTTCATGGTAGACATAAATTCATGGTTTGCTTCATACCTTGAAAACCACCAAAATTTAACCCCAATGAAAATTAGTGATTTCACAGTATTTAAGCAATTTACAGAGGATATCTGTAATTTTTGGATATTTTCAAAGTTTTTTTGCTCTGTCTCATTGAGTTCAAGATAATGAGGTTTGATTTTTCTTAACAAATTATTTTATAACCTTTAAGTTAAGAAAATATTACTTAGTACTTTCATCATTGCCAAATTGTAATAGACGTCAAGTTTGACATTAACATAAATTGTTTTTTCCTTTTAATTCTGTATGAATGAGTACAAAAATAATGAAATTTTTATCCTAGGTGGATATTACATGTAAATATAATTCAATTTATTTTAACCTTTGGTTTATCTAGAAATAATTACATCTGAACCTATCATGACCACATCCTTCAAATGTGAAAATTAAATTTCCTCTTAAGAATTTTTCCCTTCTATTTTATATGTACTCTTGACTCTCAGTCTAAAGCAACAGCAACCTTTTTTTCCTATCCCAAAACAGCCTAAAGCCTTATTAAAATTTAGCACTTTTATCCTTTTATTTTATAAACAATTGATAGATAAAATGCTTTTAAATTTTTTGCCCTAAATTGCCTCCACATTGCAGAAGGAAATTTGCAACAACATATAGTATTACATGTACTCATGAATAAAATATTTTAAAGTGCATGACTTGGAAAAAAAGAAATACACTCAGAAAAGAATTATTTTTTTAAGTACTGCATTAAGATTAGAACTTTGAAATGGTACGTTTTGATTTGAATCATCTAAACTTGGTGTTGTTTGTGCAGAAAAAAGAACTTGACATGTGTGTTGTTTGTCAGAGTGATTACATTCTTCGGTTTTTTTCTTTCTTTCAAACTCCTGCCGTGGGTGGTTTTTATCCTTGACACAGATGAGTAAAATTTGATAAAAACAGACTTGTTTGGGATTTTTCTCTAAAAAAAAATTGATTTACACTTAATGCATCACGGGTATAAGAACAATTTTTCTAACATTTATGATATATGTCAACTAATGCGGCAAGAAGATTGATTCATACACTCCAAAAAGAATTATTTTGTCAAGTACTGAAGATTAGAACTTTGACATGGTATGTTTTGATTGAATCTTCTGTACTTGTTGTTGTTTGTGCAGAAAAAAGACCTTGACATGTGTTTTGTTTGTCACAGTGATTGCATTCTTGGGGTTTTTTTTTTCAAAATCCTGCTGTGGGTAGTTTTTATCCTTGACACAGATGAGTAAAACTTGATAAAACTTGATAAAAACAAGACTTGTTTTGAAATGATTTACACTTAATGCTGCTTGCATCACGGGTATAAAAACAATTTTTCTAACATTTATGATATATGTCAACTAATGTGGCAAGAAGACTGAAAAGTTAGATCTCAATTTTACTAAGAAACCTATGTCAAATAGCCAGATGCTTTAGTCAAACAATAGAAAGTTGACCACAGAGTATTAATTCATAGATTTTCAAATATTTTTGTGGATGGTACAGTAATTTATAGACTGTTACTAAACAATCATGTAAATAATAGCAACAAGCACTTATACATCTAATGAACAGGCTTATAATCACTAAGGGCGAAACGATTACACGTGTAAACGGCGACGTTTCGATTAAATGCTCTAAACGTTTACAAATTGAGTAAACGTTTACACGAAGGTTAATGTCAATGTCTATCAGAAAAAAAACCTTTTATCCAAACAAGTTGTTTTATTTCATATTTACCAAAGAAAACACACTCCGTGTCTGTTACAAACATTTTTTTCTGTTAAAATATTGATACCAGAAACGTAAAATTAACGAGAAGTGAAAACTAGCGATGTATTATTTTATTTTTCCAAGTTTATGTTCTAAAATGAATTTATTGATTAGAAAATTAAAAGTATCATGCTTATAACGGTAAAATGTTGAATATAGAGCTTTGAAAAATTGAACGTAAACTGGAACCCTCAATCTTATATATCGTATTAGGATTACTATCTCATTTCAGTTTTGACGCTTCCTACTCTTTCGTCATAAAAACCAACAAATAAACAGTAATGACAACTCGTACTTACATTATAGTGAAAGAATGGTTTATTAAAATAGTTTTTCATGAGTAAGTAGCCATAAAAATTCAACACAAAAAATTCTCCCGTTTAAACGGTAACGTTTCGTTTACTGCTGTTCGTTATACTTTAAACGTTTACAAAATTCAGTAAACGTTTCACCCTTAATAATCACTGTACAATATTTATTCCCTAGCTGCTCAGGCACGTAGCAAAAGGGGGGGGGGGAGCTGGCCCCCCCACTTTTCCCCCAACATTACCTTTACCTTTACAATTGAAAATGTCCATTGAAAGGTTGGTTGCCCCCCCCCCCCACTTCTTACCACAGTATACTAATATCAAGGAAATGTAGTATTGTATGGGAAAGAATTGGAAGTGAAATGAAGTTGGCCTTGAAAAAGTTGGCCACTACCCCCCCCCCTCCCCCCCCCACACACACACACACATACAAAGGGATTTTGGAGTTTGGGCAATGACCTTTTTTTTTCTTTTTTCTTTTTTTTTTGCTTGTCAAATTTTACAGGTAAGTAAATTTTTTTTTTCTCTGGTTGGCCGCCCCACTTTCAGAAACAATGCTACGTGCCTGCTGCTACCTGCATGTACTTCGTATCCTTGAATCATCATTTACAAATAAATTTTGAATGAAATCATTAAATGTATTTTTCACCATTTTATATTAATTTTTTTAACACATAATTATAATGTTTTCTAAATACTTGAAAATGATCTATCAGTCTATCACCTTAATTCATTAACACATACTTAGATCACTAAATTTTCGCACACCTTACTTTTGAGAGATAGTCATTGGCTCTTTGTAAGCGAGACATAATTTTCACAAATTTTGTTGTTTTTTCTCTATATAATTGTATGGAATACTTTTAAACGCGAGAATGAAATTTTCGGGAGCTCATTGTCTCACATAATAACGCGAAAATAAAGTTCTGCGAATAAAACGTGATTTACAGTATTCAGCCCACGCAGCTAAAAAAAATTCACCCATGTCACAATGCACTTTGAAAAATTACGCACTTTGAAAAAAAATTGCAAATTGTGTTAAATTGGTTTATTCCCCGACACACACACACAACACACACTCAATTAAGGGGCCCTTTTACAGGTAGACTTACCTGTATGAATAATCTACCAGAATTTAAATAAAATAATATGGATTTTTAATTCATTTTTTTTTTAATTTGAGCACTAGTAGGAATAAATATTTTGTATACATATTATTTAAATAAATAATTTTAGAAGCACAAAACGTATTTATTTAAAAACTATGAATTATCTTGAAGTTCTATCGTTTAGCAGCACTGATTTTTACATTATATATTAAATAGCACTGTTTCACTTTCATATCTGACACACATATTTACAATATTTACAATTTATTTAGCCCATCTCCATATGTTTCAACAACTAAATTTATAAGGGATAATACATTAGCCTGTGTTTTCTTGTATTTACAGCTTGGACTGCATTTTATATTAATTTTTTTAACACATTACACTTATTACGATACTTTTGTTTATTAAAAATTTCAAAGTGAACTGATACCAATTAACAGGTGCTTCATCAATTAACTTATAAACTTAAGAATTCCTTAAAAATCAAAGTGATCTGTTTTTATCTCGAATCATCTATATTTATCATAAAAATTGAAACATAACTTCGGTATTTTATGATGGTTTAAAAGAATGTTTTAATAATTAAAAATGATAAATAAATGAATTAAATTATACAAAACTTTATAGAAACACTTTATTTATCATACATAAATATCTATATTATTTTAAGAAAAAAAAATCATTTTTGTTAATTTATTAAAGAATTTGAGAATGTAACACAAAAAAGGGAATAATAATTTGTAAATTCTCAATCAAATTACTATTGAATAGTTTGGAAAAAATAAAATTAAAGGTACAATAATTTTTCTTAAATCTTAATTTTATCTATCTATCTATATTTTTTTCAGTATATTTTGGAAAATTAAAAAAAAACAACTCTTAATGAAAATGAATGAATAGATATCTGATTTATTAAATATTGCATCCAGTTTAAACACAAAGTCTACCTGTACCCCTTGAAATTGAAAATTACTAGTTGTTTTTTCAAATTGCACACCGTTAAATTTGGGACCAAATCAACACACTCTGAAAAAATAAAATTTCTTTTCAAAATGCATTCATATCTACCATATTAACGCACTCTGAAAAAAAAAATGGTATATATGGCCTGGTAAATATTCTTGCAAATTTTAGGTATGATAAATATGCACACAAATGCATGTTTTGCAAAGATATACATAATAAAGGCATTGAAAATCGGGGCTTATCTTAAGGGGGGTCCACTTTTAATACGCTACTGACAGCTATGTACAATGTATGAGAAAAAATAGTTGGGCTGAGAGAAGAGACCTTCTACTCGTCTTCTCCTTGTTCTCAATGAGGGTATATCAATACATGAAGATTAAAAACTTCCCTTGATTAGTAAAGTTGTATTAATACAAGAATGAAGTCCCCTATCATATCCCCTGATTTAATCTAAACTGTCACACAAGGTACTCCCCTTACCATTTCGCCAGATCTGGTCTGTAGTTTATCCCTCTCCTGCGTTATATTCTCCAGTTTACTGTTTAACTCCGAGACTTTGGTTTGTAGATGGTGGACCTCAGAGCTCACTAAAGAAATCACAAGATTCAGATCAGAAAACTGTATTGAAAGAAGGAATGAATCTGACACTGTGTATGACAATAATTCTGCTACATTTTTTATTTATTTTTGGCTGCTATTGCAGGGGGATTTCTGTGATATCAAAATGTGTCATAAAAGAAGAGAAAGAAAGCAAACTAGAAGAAATCTTAATTTGATTTGATCAAAAGAGCACATAACATTGGGTAATTGTTAGAAATAAAAAGCTCTAGATGCTGTAAAACACATACATGACAAAGAGTGTCTTAACATGAAAAATTGTCTTGTTTGTTTTATAAAGTCATAACTTTCATTGTTTCATCTAAGCTATAGCATAAATCAACAATTATTCACACATCTATCATTTCCAAAAAGTCTCCCAGAAATTCAATGTTGCAAGGTTCAAGCAGCCAAATATTTTAAAATACATATAAAAATGTTACATATAATTCATGCTTGTTCAAAAATCTTGTAAAACCTTACACAAAGTTCGACTCTCTTCTGACCCCCTCAGCTGCAGTCGATTCATCTCCAGCTCTGATCTTTCCTAAATAAATATAAATTTATTATATTTTTGTTTAATTGTTGTAATTTTACTTATTTTCAAAAATCTTAATGGCACATTGACACTCTTGTTTGAGCATTCAGCAATATTTCATGAATGCAAAATACATGTATATAATATAATTGTAAAGTTCATGAGAGATTCAAAACAAGAATTTCTTCCTCTTTAAATTTTTCTTTTACTATAGTGCTAAAACAAACAAGATCATACCTGAGCAGATAATGGAATAGCCTTGGCCCCTCCCTCCACTGGGACCCTCCCCAGTTCTTTTTTCAGTTCCTCTGTGTACCATCTCTCCTCCTTTAGGGAGGTTTTAAGATCCTCAATTTCTTGTCTCATGGCCAAAACATCCCCATCTCTGCAAAATAAAAACATACAGACACCCTTTAATACACAAAATACAATTGAACTAGGGTATCTTGAACACTGATATCTCAAATATCTTGGATATGTTGATAATTGATGACATGTCCAACAACTTTTTTTGCAGAATTTGCTTTGTATATCATCAGATATATCATAGTTCCTCCTTAAGGACATACGCAAGGTACCTTACCTACTGATAATTTTTCAAGATATTCTATATCTAAATTTTTAATACCATTACATGTTCTTATACAAAAAATCAGAGTCGTTACCATTTTAAAGTTTCGTGCAAAAATTTAGTTGCATTTTTCAACCGCTTTGAGAAAAATTACAAAACATAAATCCCAATTTTTTTCCCACAAAAATTGTTTCAAACGAGGTTTTATCAAATCCATATATAGACATTATTAGTAATGACTTTGAAAACTCTTTCAGTCCAGGGAAGAACCCAATAAAATTCATATGTTCATTAGCCTTAAGGATTTTTGAGATAACCAGATTTGACTGTAACACTTCTTAAATAAATATCTATCTGTGGTTATAAATGGGAAGCCCTCCTGAACAGTTAACACAAAATACTATTTACTGGATGAAAATGTTTTGGCCTGTATTATTTTCGCCCTTGTCCCTCAGGGCAAATTCAAAATAAAACAACATTAGCTCTTAATTAAACAGAACTTTAAATTCAAAATAGGGCAAAATTGTTTGCAGGTAGGAAAGGGCAAAAATTAACCCTGACTGTATACAGTATTCATTTTGAATAATATTAAGTGATTATCTTAATTATTTTCCTATTATGGAATATAGCCATTTTCTTCATCTTTACCTGTTTTCTGATGTGACTGCCTTCTCATCATGAGTGGAATCAAAATGGGCCTGAAGCTCCTCTGGAGAGGGCAAAGATTTCTTACAAATGGGGCACAAAAATCCCTCCTGAAAAATTAAACATCAAACTTGGAATTCAATTGTCTTTAACTAGAGCTTGTTACGTTTTAAAATAAAACATGCACAATTTCAGATAACTTTACCTATTACTTCCATTTAAAGTTTATATTACAAATAATAAAGAAAAATTTGAATCAAAATTTAGTTTTCACAATGCCATTTACTTTGAATTTCCAAGGAAAATTATATTTTAGCTTGATTTACATCATTTATTTTAGTCTTTAACAGAGTTATACCCCTTGGCTCTGCTTGCTTTCATCATGAGCATCTTCAAAGTGTCTTTGTAAGCCCTCGGCTGATTGGAGGGAGATCATACAAATAGGACAAACAAAACCCTACAAAGCAAATGTTAATACATTAATATGTACATGACATTGTATTAACTACAAAGAAAAAAGGGCATAAAAACCGACAGAGTTTTGGCATCAAATTATTTCTAAATTCTTACAAATACTAAAGCTTTTAACATGTTTAAAGCAAAAATTATAATTTTAACTCATAAAATTATGTTTCCATTCATGGGTTTTGAGGATTTTTTTAATTAATTTTTATATTACATGTAAGTCTAATTTATGCAAATTGAAATTCTGTAGTTTGTAAAAGTTTTCTTACCTGTGCCTCCTCGGTGGAAACTTTCTGGGGTGAGGCTTGTGGAGGCTGTAATGTAAATTACAATTTCATATTATTTCATTCCATTTATTCATAGTACTTGATTAATGCCAGCATATGATCACAGAAAAATTTTTCTATAAAAAAATTATTAAATGACTTGAATGTATCCTACAGACTCTGACAATAAATTTTCATATTTTTCTTGTCTTTGAATTAATTTATACAAGTATTGACAATTTAGTCTGTGTACATGTATTGTATGTCATCTCATCTTCAAGATTTGTGGTTTTCTTGTGCTAGAGCTGAAATTTCAAGAACACATATCAAGTACAATACAGTACACTTATAGACTAATGCGTCTTCTAATCTTGTAATCATTCACATTTCATCAGATTTTTTTTGTACATTGCAGTCTACAAAAACAATAAAGTGGGGTAAACTAAGATTGACATGTTTGTTTAAAATCAAAATAACTTTTCTGTAAAGTGTCAATTTGAAAATGAACATTGCCATCATGTGTATCTACAACAGCATGCAATTATGCACAAAAGATTGAAAGTAAAACAGAAGAAGCAGACAAAGCAATGTGCAGACATTTTTACAGTTCATAGTTCAGAGTGAAATGCCAGAACCAAACATAATTCAGTAAACCCCAAACTACTCCACCCTTCTACATGTTTTACAAACTGATTTCAGATGGGGGTTAAAAACTTATTACTTAAACCCATCCCACCCCCTCCAAAAAAATTGATTTCCTGAAAAAAAAAATGATGATCACTGATTGATTTGTGAGTGTAAATAATTTTTTTTTTTTTATCAATGATGGTGAGTAGATTTTTAGTAAGTATAAAAGGGAATGATCTTAGTAGATTAAGAATTATTATGACCATTTGCAGGCTGTACTTAAATTGCTTCCATGCCCTCCCCCTTTTTATCCAGGGGAAATTGATTCCTCATTTCCATTTCTGGAATGAACACCAAGTACATTATGTACATATCATCCTTTTACATTTTACTACAATAAGTGCATGCGAGTGACAAAAACTGGAAGCTTTTCTTGTAGAGAAAAAGCATTTCAGAAATCTGCATGTTGCGTTAAACAGAGGAATTCTGAAATGAAGGGAAAATACCTTTGAATCACTGCCTTCTGTGGATATCTAATTAAAGAATATAAGATACCAGCTAAATTTTGTCATTTTATAGTTGTGTATTTTGTTTTCACTATTGGAACATGTGCATTGGTGTATAAAGTTTTCTTGCCTTGGAATTATCGAATAGTTTAATAACTGGTTTGTTTACTATTAACATGATTAAATTTAGGCCAAATAAAATTAAATTTTTAATTCTCATCAACAACTGCCCCTCTCAAAGTGCCCTGTCCAAAATTTTCAATTTTTATATTTTGTTATCAAAAGTATCTACTCAACATGCTCAATATAAATGTTAGATTTGATCTCAAAATCTAAAGTTTATTGGCCTAGTACAAGTAGTACTAAGTTAGAGTACTGGGCTATTTAAAAGTAAATTTCACAGTTTAAATATCAATCAAGTTAGTTTGAATCATCCAAGATATAAATTAATAGCTACAGAACTGTAGGTCTTTAAAAAATTGTATTGACAGACCGGAGAGCTACAGTGCTACCTTTGAATAAAGTGTATATTTATTGCACATAAAAAAAGTGCTGTTTCTCAATTTATTTCTCAATGTTTTTAAAACCCGCTTTCTCAAATTATTACTAACCATCTGTTCCTAACTTATCGGCTTTTTCAATTTCCACAACAAAAACGTATAAATAGCATCCTGTGTTTGAAAAGGAAACTATCAAAAAAGTTTGCCTGTGTTCACTGCCATTTTGGACGACAAGTTAATTAGGTACAATGCGCTTCATGTATATATAAAATGTGAGAGTATTGTTGAAAGGAAAATTTTTTTAAATGGAGTTTATACATGTAGTACACCTACGTAGAGGCTTAGGCCAGACTTTGGAGAAATTAATAAAAAAAAATTAGTGCAACTTTTAGTGTGCACTAAATGTGAAGTTTTTTCTATGGTTGGCACTGTAGCTCTCTGGTCATCCATCCCATTTTTTTCAGACCAGTGAGCTACAGATCTGCAGCTAATAAATTTAGTGAAGTCAGTGCATTCAGTTAGTGGAAACTACTTTTACACAACCCTTGACACTCCCCCTTCCAAATCCTGAGCGCGCAACTTTAATTTTTGTTTATAGTAAACTTCATAGTCATTGTTCATAATCTTGATATACCTTCTCATTTTCCTTTCTATTTAACAACCTTTTAAACATCTTCACTGCATGTGGTTACAAGAAAAAGGTGACTTGCGACAGTTTTACTTTTCCCGGAAGTTGTCAGTCTGTTAAACTGGTTCTCTGCAAGTTAGGAGAGAAACCAATTTATTTGGAAACTGCGCCCTCTCGTGGCAGCTGACGATATTATTCATTTTCAAGGAGAGCAGACATCATCATGCTGGCATCGACAGTTCACAAATTTCGGGTAAATAAGTTTATAAATTTAACATGTAATATGGTTTGCAGATAAAAGTTACTCTGAACTAAAAAGAACAACGCTGTTAGTTCGTTCAGACATCTAACGTTATGCATCCGATCAGACATTTTTGATTTACATGATTTTGTTTGTTGATGTTTAATTAGACAAGTATTAGAGCTTTTTATGAGACTTTTACCTGGTTGAAACACTGTGTCAAAACTTGTAACAGTCTTAGATTACATTGAAGACAAATTTTACATAGTTGGTTCGAATTTCCTCTAAAAGCAGAACTGCGTATGAAGTTATGCAACCTTTTATTTTGTTTTGTTTGTTCCTTTCCTTTCCATCGTCACATTGATTTGACAGATTGGTTCCAGCAGAGATGTGATCAGATGCTTGACAGTGCAGCACAGAAAATACTCAAATGGAGGTAAAAATTAACAGATTTGTCATGGCTATGTCATAAGATTACATTGATGTTATGTTTTCCTAAATTTTTTGAGAGTTTATTGCAGCCCGGAGGACCGGGCTGCTCTATACATATAAGTTTAAGTGTTGGTGTATGGGGATTGGGGTGGGAGTAGTTATTCAGAATTAAAGATTTTCTAAACGTTGAAAAGATTGTTAATCAGAATGTTTTTCCCTTTATAAATTACAAGATACATAATGTATTTACTTCCATAAAGTGAATCTGTAAAAATATATATGTTTTTCATATTTAATATATAAAGTTGCTTATCATTTACTATCATAAAAACGACAGGCCCCTCTTTTTAGAATATCGAATTTTACTTCTCGCATAAAAACGTACTATAGATGTACAGTTCGTGTTTTACATTCTAAAATTGAAAAATTATACACTTTTGAATATAGGTGATGCATGTGTCTAATTTCAATTTATATTTTATGCAGCCAACATTTACTTGAGGAATTAATCAAGTTTTAAATGGTATCGTTTTTGTTTGATTTTTATCCGACTATAAGTTTTCAAAATATTCGTGACTATTGTCTCCATCAATTAGACGCACGTCTTTTCACACATATCGAAGCGGTTTGATGATCAAGACTTATTTGAAGTTATTTCCATTGTTTACTTTATATATTTCCCGGGCGACAATTGATGGTTACATCAATATTTTCTTGTTAATGTATCATAGAACTTTGATAATAAGCTCCTCTTGCAGATTTTGTTTAATGTGCATAACTTCTAATATATTATAAGACTTTCATGGATGAGTAAATCATTTCGTAATTAAAATCTGTTCAGTATCTGGTATGGATAAGCATTCACATATGAAATTTTTAACATCTAACAGACTGTTTTCTTGTTGCAATTTTTTTGCAGGAATAAAATGAAACTTTGATTTCTTTTTGTGTTATCCATTTGAATCTTTTATTCCTGTCTTCAATAATTTTTAGCTGACAATGACTTAGTGGTAATTGGTTCTGGCCCAGGGGGATATGTGGCCGCAATCAAAGCTGCTCAGCTTGGAATGAAGGTATAGTATGTTTTTTGTTTATTACTTAAAAATGAATAAAAACCATATGAACTCTAAGATAAGATTATCAAAAAGTAAGATATTTTAATCAATGTCAAGAAGCAGGAACATTTGCTGAAGAATATTTTAGTTTTAAATCTGTTCATTCATTAAAGATGTATAGAATGCATTTTTATTTCCATCGAAGTCTGAATAACTTGAAGATTTTGTATTACAGACAGTTTGTGTAGAGAAGAATCCAACACTAGGGGGCACTTGTCTGAATGTAGGCTGTATCCCTTCCAAGGCCCTCCTCAACAACTCCCATCTGTACCACCTAGCCACATCTAAAGATCTCGATAACAGAGGAATCGAATGTTAGTGAAGCATATTACTGCAAATAAACAAAGCGCATTATAATGTACATATATATGTCATGCCTCAAAATCACAAAGCAGACTAGGCTTATGCCAAATGTTCAATTACATGTTAAATATTCATAATTTATTGAACTAATCTACAAATTTGCAGAAAACAACACTTTTTTAAAAGAAAGTAGAGAAATATTTTAATTTTGATCTCCTAAACATCTTCAATATTTCTGTGTAACATAAAGGATTTTGATTTAAACTGAACACCTTCATAACCTTGGGGCCTGTTGTCATGAAATCTTTGTCTTTATACATGTATTATGCATTTATAATATGCAGCATACGTATTTTATGTGCAAAAAATGTTTTCAACACTAGCAATATAAACTTGATTGATTTCAAACACCAAAATATTGAACCTGGCCACTTTTACCAAAGTCAGTATTAAGCTTGAACAAAATTTTTTATTTTAATAACTTTTTTTTCAGTTGATGGCATTCGTCTTAATCTTGCAAAATCCATGGCCACCAAAGAAAAGGCTGTCAAAGGTCTTACTGGAGGAATAGCTCACTTATTTAAACAAAACAAAGTAAGAGCTTTCAGAAATAAATATTAATGTCGATAAAATACTCTGTTCTGGATTAATGTTTTGTTAAAGTTCATCGACCCTATGATAAGGGAGATAACTCTCCCTCGGACAAATGACTGTTATAAAATTCTACCCCCGCTTGAAAGCAGGAGGGTATGTAGTAATCGGTCTGTCCGTCTGTCAGTTACGCTTTAAGGTACCCATCTCTTATCCGCAAGTCCTCTCATACCACTGAATGAAATTTGATGAAACTTTCAAAGAATCTCCATTACATATTGCCATTGTGCACCTTCTATTTTACTTTTTGATCCGACGCATATTTATACCCCCCGCAAACAAAGTTTGGGGGGGTATATAGGAATCACCTTGTCCGTCTGTCTGTGCAAACGTGTCCGGTCCATATCTTTCTTACGGAGGGACGTTAGAATCTACTACTCCACACAAAGGTTGCCCATGACCTAAGGGTGTGTCATGACCTTGACCCAAGGTCATTTGGGGAAGTTCAAGGTCACTGGAAGAAAAATTTCATAATTCGTGTCCGGTCCATATCTTTCTTATGGATAAACTTGGTAGGTTCTCATTTCACACAAAGATTGTCCATGACCCAAGGGTGTGTCATGACCTTGACCCAAGGTCATTTGGGGAAGTTCAAGGTCACTGGAAGAAAAATTTAATTATTCGTGTCCGGTCTACATCTTTTTTATGGATAAACTTGGTAGGTTCTCATTTCACGCAAAGATTGCCCTTGACCTTAGGGTGTGTCATGACCTTGACCCAAGGTCATTCAGAGAAGTTTAAGGTCACTGGAAGTAAAATTCATAATTTGTGTCTGGTCCATATCTTTCTTATGGATAAACTTGGTAGGTTCTCATTCTACACAAAGATTGCCCATGACCCAAGGGTGTGTCATGACCTTGACCCAAGGTCATTTTGGGAAGTTCAAGGTCACTGGAAGAAAAAGTTCATAATTCATGTCCTGTCCATATCTTTCTTATTGATAAACTTGGTAGGTTCTCATTTCACACAAAGATTGCCCATGACCCAAGGGTGTGTCATGACCTTGACCCAAGGTCATTTGGGGAACTTCAAGGTCACTGGAAGAAAAATTTCATAATTCATGTGTGATACATATCTTTATTATGGAAAAACTTACTTCTGAAAAACCCAGCGGGGGGTATTTTGTCCTGTTTGGACAGTTCTAGTTTGGGTTTCCCATAGCAAAACATGCACACTCCCATTATATTCATATGGGAGGCGGGGGGTATCTTATTTAGTGAGCTCATTGCTCACAGTACTTCTAGTTTCATTTTAAAATTTTCAATTTAAAAGGCCACTTCTCTCAAATCTTTTGCCTAGAAGGTATGCTGAAAATGTATGCAATTTAATTACAAATTATTAGATTTTGATTTTAGCAAATCAGAAGTTCTAAAGCAAAGTTTTGTTTGAGAGAATAGAGAGATGATGAACCTTTACGACTTCAATATTAAGTTCACCATAATTCGTTACAAACAAACAGAAAAAAAACATTTATTGTAAATGAATCATCTTTCTCTAAACAAGGTTAATTAGTTATGAGGTTTATTTTTTATCACAGGTTACAAGGGTAGATGGATTTGGAAAAGTCACAGGCCCAAATGAAGTAACAGTAACCAAAGCTGATGGGACAGAGGAGAAAATCTCCACTAAAAACATTCTGATAGCCACAGGATCTGAAGTTACCCCATTCCCTGGAGTGGAGGTGAATTATAGTCAAAAGTGGTCGCATTTTGAAAAGGGGGCAGGGGTTAATCTTTAAAGAAAATTCATATTGATGTATTCTCTTAGACAAATTAATTGTCAATAATTATGAATATTTTAGTCAACAGTCAACAAAATAAGATTTTACAAACTTTACATGTACAATATGTAATACATTTATGTATAAGAATGGTAGATATGCATGTAGCTGTCATAGTTCTGCAAGTATACTTGTTAATTTACTATGCTGATGGTAATGGAAATCATAGTTAAAAATATTAGATGATTACTTCCTAACATTGGAAGTACCGGTATATGTACTCATTGAGGAATAATTATTTTTTATCAACAGATTGACGAGAAAACAATAGTATCCTCAACAGGAGCTCTGTCTCTGGAGAAAGTCCCAGAGAAGATGGTGGTCATTGGTGCTGGAGTCATCGGAGTAGAACTGGTCAGTAGCAGCCTGTAATAAGATTAGAGTGAGGCAATTCCTTGTGTTTAGAATTCATTTATGTTAATTCGAGTCAGCTATTATATACAGTAAATTATGCCTATAACCACACGTAAGTCCAATCACAGATGACTCTGCTTCTGTATAAGTGCAATTCATTATATCAGTCTGTTAAGTTCACAATATATAATTAGTCATAGGGAATGAAAATGACTTCACTTATTAAGCATCAGTTTGTTAAATAAGCATGTTTTACTGTACATTAAATTAGATACCATTGAAACCCTGTTCAACTTTCCTGATAATATTTTTCAAATTTCCACTTCTAAAGATATTTATAAAGCATGGTTCGAATTGTCTGAAAAATTCAATTGTTTTTCGCAATTTATGTCACAAAGCAATCATTACTTGTTTGTTTTTCTAGGGTTCAGTGTGGCAGAGATACGGAGCTGAAGTCACCTGTGTGGAGTTTTTATCAAACGTAGGAGGTGTAGGTATCGACTTAGATGTGGCCAAAAACTTCCAACGCATCCTACAGAAGCAGGGACTCAAGTTTAAGATGGACACCAAAGTCACCAGCGCTACTAGAGCCGGGGACAAGATTAAAGTAGCCATTGAGGGAGTGAAAAATCAAAAACAAGATGAGGTAAATTTATTTTGTAATATTGTAGGTCAAAAAACTTTGCACAAGTTTTGTAACTTGTCAAAAAACTTTGCTCAAGTTTTGTAACTTGTCAAAAAACTTTGCACAAGTTTTTTAATTTGTTGCCAAGAAGTCAAGTTACATGCATTAGAATTAGTTTGATAACTCTATCAGGAATGGAAGGGAATTGCAAGGTGTTGGAGTTGTTTTTTTTTAATGTCTCTTTCTTTAAGAATCATGTTGAATATTTTTAACAATTTAATAAATTTCAATAAATGAATTCTTTTGATTACTAGTATATGACTGTTAATACCACAATTTAATATTTTTGAGTTGGCTTGCGTACAAAAATTGACTCCCTGTTAATTTTCAGAGCTGTAAAATTTTTCACGCATTCATCAAGGTGATCCATACGCCAAATATTATAGTTCTAGCAAAAAATGCTTTGGTTTGAGTGATTGTATAAACTTAAGAGGTAAAAACTGTATAAAATTTCATACTGTAACATTATTTATGCCTTCATGCTTTTAAAGAAATATTTGATATAATATCTGTAGTACGATGTACATGCAATTACTGCGTATGAATATATGTTCAAGCATGTTAGGTGGATCTAATCTTCCCATCTGAAGTTTATTTATAATTGACATTAACACAAACACCTGCTGCTCGCATTAGCTGCAGCTAGTTGCTGTTGAAAATCTATTTTTAGAATCCAGATTTGCTGTGGGAATCTTTAACCTAATTATTCCATAACACTGACCACTTCAGCTAATGTGCTTAAATTCATTAAAGAATCCAGTCAAAATAATACGGAAGGCCTTTAGTGCCAACCTGTATATATAAAGGAAAAGCAATATACACTTTATTTATGAACCGAACATGGATCAGACATGTAATATTCAATCTCTTAAGATGCAAAATAAACTGAATATAGTAAGGTATGGTGCCCAGATGTATGAAAAAGCTCAATTGACTCAAGCGAGTCAACTCGCAGGCCCTTCAGGCCTTTTTTACTAAGTTTTTGTAATGCAGCATATATATTTTGAGGCATCACCTCAAATTTTATTAGTGATGAAAATACACCCAGCACTGTATAGTTGAAGAACATATTTGATAACTTACATGTACTATAATGACAATATAATTTGTATTTCAGATAGAGTGTGATGTTTTACTGGTGTGTATAGGCAGGAGACCATATACAGATAACATTGGTTTAGAAGAACTTGGAATTCCTAAGGACAACAGAGGAAGGATCAATGTTAACTCCAGATTCCAGACAGTCGTGCCAAGGTACGCTATGTATACTGCAAAAGCATAAATATTCCTGGGGGATTAAATTTAATTTATTTCGAAACTTAAAACAAAAAAAATTAAATAAGTAAGATTGTAGCTGCAGATCTGTAGCTCTCCGAAAAAATATATATTGATAGACCGGGCGGAGAGCTACAGTGCCACCCATTGAAAAAACTGTATATTTATTGCGCACAAAAAAATTGTTTCTTCCAAATTCTTACCTCAGTTGCAAAAAGGGAAGATTTAAAAAAAATTTCTCTCTCCTCTATCAAGTACTATCATAGTTGACATCTGAACGAAGCATATTGGACCGAATTATCTTTGAAACCAAAATGGCAGCATAAATAAGCGAAATGTTCGATGATTACAATATCAGGGTCAGGAGGACTATTAACAACAATTGTGACGAATGTTTTGTTGTGGAAAGAGTCAAAGAATATGTTAGGAACACACGGTTAGTCATATTTTGAGATAACAGTTTTAGGAACAAGGAGAAATTAATCGAAAACCGAGCGCACTTTTTCGTGCGCAATAAATATACAGTTTTTTCAATGGGTGGCACTGTAAAACTCCGGTCTAAATATATATTTTTTCGGAGAATAAGTGCAGCTAGTAAGATTGGTGAAATTTAATATAACTTTTCTATTTCAATTAATTTGAAATTTCTGTATTTTTTTTGGGGGGGGAGAGGGGGGAGTAAATTAGTTTTTTAGTAAATTTCACCATAATTCAAAATTTACCTTTTGTGTGGTAAATCATGCTTCAGTGTTTTAAATCAATCCATTTTAGTATTTATGCCATTGGTGACTGCATTCAAGGACCAATGCTGGCACATAAAGCAGAGGATGAAGGTAAAATACTCATATTTCTCCAATAATGAGAAATGAGATGTACATGCATCTCTGTTTTAAAAAGCGAAATTAAGTTTCAACTGATGTAGGAATATGCAGATATTTAGACTTCATAAAATAAAGGCAGTTTGGGATTGAATAAAAACATGTGTATATGGTATGAAAATTGTATTAATTTCCACAGGCATTTAGTATGACAATTGTGTTTCCTATTTGAAGGCATTATCTGTGTGGAGGGAATGATGGGTGGGGCTGTCCACATTGACTATAACTGTGTCCCCTCCGTTATCTACACTCACCCCGAGGTAGCCTGGGTCGGCAAAACAGAGGAACAACTCAAGGAGGAGGTAAGCAAAGGAATGGAGTTTAGTTATTATCAAGTTTTATTACGCAGTTGAAATGGGTATATTAATAGTTTTTAATGAAACTATAGCTTTTCATTAAACATAGTTATTTATCCATTCATGTGGAAAGGGGGATGGATTGAAGGTAAAAGAGATAACTAGTTCTAATTTATGCTTTATGCTACATGTAAATGTTTTTAGTATTGATATGAAACTGAATAACTGCTGTATAGTCTACTTTTAGACTCATGAAAACTTGATTGTTGATGTATGAATTTCAGGGTGTGGTGTACAAAGTAGGAAAATTCCCCCTGGTGGCCAACAGCCGAGCCAAGACAAACGATGACACAGACGGATTTGTCAAAGTTTTAGCAGATAAAGACACAGACAGGTTACTGGGATGCCATTTCATCGGATCTGTAAGTGTTTCTTTTAAAGATGGTTCCAGAATTGTAGTATTGTAGCTTCGAGTCTTGTTTGATCTGACAATTCATGCCCATCAACTTGGCGTGATATGCCTCGCTGTTATAATGATATATATACATGTATTGTATATCTATTCATCATACTTTACAATCAGCTCGTTTTCAAAGATGTTTTATCCAACAATCATGCTATAATGCACATTTCTTGGACCTTTTCATAGTTAAATATGTGATTCCTGATTGATTTTCTTCTAATTTTCCCCTATATTTATATTCAGGTGGCTGGAGAACTTATCAACGAGGCTGTATTAGCGATGGAATATGGAGCTTCCTGTGAAGATATTGCCAGAGTTTGTCATGCACATCCAGTAAGTCATTAAAAATTATAACTCTGGTCTCCTTTTATACACTGTACTAAACTGAAAAATGGAAAACTTTCAAATGTATTCAAACACTGAATAATCATTTTAATTTGTGATTAATGTCTATGTGCAACCAAACTTTTACTGGTTTAAGGGCACATCATTTCATGCTTAGCTCCCTTTATAAATGGAAGAATGTTATTAATGGATACTTTCACAGAACACTGGTTCCCATCAAACTGGTTACACTGTATTTTTGCCCCAAAGATTAAATATACATGTACATGTATATAAATTTAACTTACTAAGTTAATAACAATGCTATTTTTTACAGACTGTATCAGAAGCCTTAAGGGAAGCTAACTTAGCAGCATATGCAGGGAAAGCCATCAATTGTTAACATCTCATCACTGAAGATTTTATAATTTATTGACAATTTTTATACATACACCTGGAACATTGAAGAATTATGTTATTGTGGTTCTTGATGAACAGAAGTCGTCTGTTTTCATTGTTTTACAGAGTTCTTCAAAATGAGTTGAAAACCACTCTCTCAAACTGTTAATATTAATAGTGCTTTATATTGTTACACTGAATGCAAAGTTTCGATCGTATCTGCAGTACTTTTTGTTTTTTTCCTCATGTACTAGAAAGGTTTTATGTAGAAACCCATGTTGAGCTCAGAATCTCTTTAATTCCAATTGAAAATATACTGAACTTGCTTGTTAAAATTAAGCTTGGCTGAATTTTTTTAAATATGTTTGTAAATAATGAAGTCTTGAATAGAGAATAAATATTTATGAATATTCCCAACTTTTTATCCTCTTCTTTGACAATTGGAATCTGAAAATTTTGTATGCATTGTCCCTCACTTTCCTATATGGTTATGTCAGTGTCAGAAATGATGCAAATTTTATTGAAAACTAAAAACTCTGTCCCAGTTGACTAGTTTGAGTGTGGCACTTCACTAAATATAAAAGATGAAACAATGATTTTTAAAATTATCTGTTAATAAATTTTTACTGTATTATTTTTTTTTTACATTATCAAAGATTATATTTGAAGTGTTTAAAAAAGTAAAAAAATTATTTCTCTATTAAATGTATTTTTAGCTATTCTGAGCCAAAGGCTCAAAGAACTAATGCTATGGCCATTTGTGTGGTGTGCGTCAACTTTTTAGAATATGGGCCATAACTCAAGAACTCCTTGGTCAATCATTGTCAAATTTGACACAGGGTATCCTTGGTTGAATGGCTACCATTAAAACCGACTGGTTGCTAAAAATTCTTCTTTAAAACCATCAGGCAGATCACCACCAAGGATAAGTATATGTTGAACATAACACATTGTTCAAAGCATCACCCTGGGGCAAAGGGCATAGTCTCAAGGTCGCTTCAAATTTGACCAAAAATTACACTATGAAAACGTTTATATTTTGCTTACTTTAAAGATCATCAAATCTTGTAAGTTGATGCATCTTAGGACTTCACATAATGTTAACTCAAAAAGAGGTCACAGTGACCTACCTTTTGAATTTTGGGGGCATTTGTTTTAAAATTGATTTTGAGGCATACTTTGGACTCATTAAGGCCTATGATCATCAAACGTTTTCAGTTGATGAATCTTGGGTCCTTGAACAATGTCAACTTAAAAGTAGGGACCATGACCTACTTTTTGAATTTTATGGCTTATATCATCTAAAACATTTTTAAAAGGTAATTATTTAGATACTGAGGCATTTAGAAGACTTGTGAATGAAACACTGATGCCCCCATATGGCAGCTTATGGTGAGGATTGACATATCTCAAATGCAAGTTAATGGTCAAGGTCAAAATTGTTGGTACTCAAAGTAAGGTCTTCTCACAAGGAATACACCTGTGAAATATGAGAGACCTATTACTTATGGTTCAAAACTTGGTAAAGATTAAAGGTTTTTAAATGGGTCAAGCTCTTAAGGTCAAGGTCAAAACTGTAAGTATCCAAAGGAAGATCTTGTCACAAGAAATACACCTGTAAAATATGAAAGCGATAGCACTTAACAGTTCAGAAGTTATTGTCAAGTTTAAAGTTTTTATTAAAAGTTTACCAAACTCTAAGGTCAAGGTCAAATATTTTAAACCCAAATAAAAGGTCTTGTCACAGTGAATACTCATGTGAAGTATGAAACCCCTGGCACCAACTATTTGAAAGTGGTCATGTGTAAAGTTTGGGAATTTTTGTTAAAAGTGGGTCAAATTCCAAGGTCAAAAGATCAAATTCAGTGGTACCAAATGAAAGGTCTTGTCAAAAGGAATATACCTGTGAAATATGAAAGCCATAGCCCCATCCATTCAAAAGTTAAGGACATGGTTAAAGTTTTTGTTGACAAACATTAATGGACAGACAGGGCAAAAACTATTTACCCCGGAATTTTCAATTACGGGGGCATAAAAATGTTTACACATAATTTTAACAATGACTATTATTAAGGACATATGATTCAAACAACTAGATGGGTTTGTGAAACACTGATGCCCCAATATGGCATCTTATGGTGAAAATTAAAATTTTTAAAAATGCAAGTCAAAATCCAAAGTTAAGGTCAAAAGGTCGAAATTGTTGGTATCCAGAGAAAGATCTTATCACAAGGAATACACCAATGACATAGGAAAGCCCCAGTACTAACTTTTCAAAAGTTATGGTTTAAATTTTCAAAAAGTATAAAAACCCTAGCACCAAAAGTTATAGCCAAGGTTTAAGTTTGATATCTTTTAAGTTGGTCAAATTCCAAGGTCAAGAGGTCAAATTTGGTGGTACCTGAAGAAAGGTATACACCTGTGAAATATAAAAGCTATACTCCCAACCACTCAAAAGTTATGGACAAGGTTCAAGTTTTTGCGGACATATATACTGACATTTATAGTTTCAACTGAGGACTTTATATCAACCACCAAAAATCCTTGACAAGCCAAAAAAAAGGTCACCAGACGTTTCAACTTAGACACAAAAAGCCCGGAAAACGTCAGATATTTCGGACTTATTCCCGATTTGACACAGATGAATTTTCATAAGTGACAAGTGCAGCTATATATTTGCAGACGACTATATTTATTGACCTTTTAGCATACATACGAAGATAACTGACAACTTATCTACCGAAGAACGAGGACTTGCAGACCTGTTGCAATGGCAAACATAACACTTTGTTCTTTTATTCTGCTTTTTTGTAGTTTAACTGTCTTTGCAGATGAAAATCTCAAAATACAACGTATATTAGAAGAGCTCTCAGAATTAAGGACTCGGGTTGATAAGCAGGATCTCGAGCTGCATCAGTTAAAACAGGTTGTAAAGTCCCAGAGTATGGAAATTCAGCTCCTTAAGGGTGTCCGCCTTACTGATGACGTCAGTCCTGAGTTGGAGAGCAATTCTGCTGACAAAGCTCATGAAACAGTTTCTTCTCAAAAATCGACGTAAGCTTTTAAAAAGTCCTTAAGATAAAAGTTTAAATTACTCTGTCATTGTACTTTAGATCGCTAGTTTGACTGCATATAGACTACCGGGTATTTGAATCTGTGAGCCTAAAAGCTGAACATTCAGTTTACTAAAATTCTATCTAGATGTAAGTTTAAAGGAAAAATAAACTTAGACCCCCCCCCCGGTACCCCCCCCCCCGGTACCCTACCTCAAGGAAACACAGACCTTTGTTATAGTTAAATCGAAAGGGAAAGTCATGCACTAGTATTTGAAGAAAATTGATTTAGAAAGCCACGAGACAAGTTCTTCATTTTTGGACAAATTAATTGGTTTATTGTTGTTTACATTTTATTTTACTTGTTTTATTTTTTTAAATTTTGCTTGTCAAATATCTCTTTAAAAAGAATCTTTAAATTGTATTATTGGGTTGTTCGTTACATTGATGGAACAGAACGCGCTGAAGGGGGGGGGGTTGTTTGGGGAAGTTGAACCCCCTCTTTTGGTTACCCCTTTCCCCTCCACTTCTCAAAACTGTTATTTAAAAAGTCTATTAAATTCATTGAGTTTAATCGTTACATCCTATTTTTTTCTAATTATATATTATACCCTCCTCCCGCTTGAAAAGCGGAGGGTATATATAGTAATCGGGATGTCCGTCTGTCCGTCTTTTACGCTTTAGGGTACCCATCTCTTATCCGCAACTCCTCTCATACCACCGAATGAGGTTTGATGAAACTTTCACAGAATCTTTATTATACATTGCCATTGTGCACCTCCTATCGTACTTTTTGATCCGACGCATATTTTGGGTTTCCCATAGCAAAACATGGACTCTGCTATAATATAAGTATGGGAGGCGGGGGTATCATTTAGTGAGCTCAATGCTCACAGTGCCTCTAGTTTATACATGTATCTTTTTATGCAAGCCTTGTGCCATTCCGTGCAATAAAGTAGATTTATTACAATAACAAAAATGTATAAGGCGTTCTATCAGAAATTAAACAGCATGTTCGTAAAGTTCATCAGAAAAATATATTCCTATCACGTTTTCTTTTACGTATATTTATATCCCCCCACACTTGAAAAGTGGGAGGGTATATAGTAATCGTTATGTCCGTCCGTCCGTCCATCTGTTACGCTTTGGGGTACCCATCTCTTATCCGCAACTCCTCTTATACTACTGAGTGAAATTTAATGAAACTTTTACAGAATCTTTATTACATATTGTCATTGTGCACCTCCTATTTTACTTTTTTGATCCGACACGTATTTTAGGTTTCCCATAGCAAAACATGGACATTGCCATTATATTCTTACCTACGACGTACGTCACATATGCCGGCTTCTGAATAACATTTGATACAACGAGTTATCCCTCTTTACACATTACCGTAAAACAATATATAGCAAAACATGGACATTATGGGAGGCGGGGGTATCATTTAGTGAGCTCATTGCTTACAGTACCTCTAGTTTCCTTTGTTTTAATTTCAGAGAATTGCTGAATGCAAGTGCAAATCTCACAAGAAGAATTCTACGAAAGGATCGTTCAAGTGTATTTGTTACATGTAATCCATTTTTTCTTTCCATATTTTAAAACGATTCTGATTATACAGTGTAGATGCATATATGTAGTTAACTTTCATATTTTTAATTCAATTTAGCTCATCTAAATCAGTGACCGAGCTTTTCTGATCATTTGTTGTACCTGTATGTCTGTTTGTCCGTCTGTCCCTCTGGTAAAATATTTTCGACTTCTCTGGAATCACTGGGCGAAACGCTATAGAAACGTAATTATATGTGCTTCCTTTTTAAAAAAATCAGACTTAGCTAACCTCTACTGTAATTAAGGGCGTTTTCTCTTGCCAGCAAAACCATATAACGTTAATATAAACACAGGAAAATACAAGGGATAGCTTATATAGTGTATTCCTAAAAAAAATCGATCCCGAGTTTTGGGGCAAATTCCAAGGATTTTTATACCCCCCGCTTGAAAAACGGGAGGCTATATAGTAATCGGTATTTCCGTCCGTCTGTACGTCCGTCCGTCTGTCTGTTACGCTTTGGGGTACCCATCTCTTATCCGCAACTCCTCTCATACCACTGAAGGAAATTTAATGACACTTTCACAGAATCTTTATTATACATATTGCCATTGTGCACCTCCTATTTTACTTTTTTGATCTGACATATATTTTGGATTTTCCAGAGCAAAACATGGACACTGCCATTATATTCATATAGGAGGCGGGGGTATCATTTAGTGAGCTCAATGCTCACAGTACCTCTAGTAAATTTTAACAAACACTGTGATATTGTTCTGACAATAAACTTAGATTCTACAATGCCAAGTAAACTATAAATAATTGAAGTCAAAACAATTCAATTCCTAGCTGCAATAATGTAGCCCTTTTTTCCAGAAAATATCCAGATTAAAAAAGTCAGTGAGGGCTACATTGTTGCAGCTATTCCATTCCAAAAAATTAGGCGAAGAACTAAATTTGTGGCCTTTTTCCTCTTTTTCTTTCTTTTTCTTTTTTTTTTTTTTTTGGAGAAAAAAAGATCATTTTTTTCAGACTCCTGTGACATGTGCATGTAGAAAAACAAATACAACTCGGTTTATGAATAAAATTGAATGTTCTTTTCAGTAAGCCCAGGTTCTGTTCAGATGACCCACCGCATTGGTTTGACAGCCTACAGAGATTCGAATGATCCTGTTGTTCCAAGAGAAACCCTGATTTTCAACCACGTTCTTACAAACACCGGGAATCGTTATAATCACTACACTGGGGTATTCAGTGCGGATCAGGATGGTCTTTACGTTTTCTATTTTGGTCTGGAGTGCAAGGGCGCAAAAATACAAGCAGAAATAGTTAATGACAACGTTGCCTTTGGTTTTGTCTACTGTGATGCCACATCAGGTGGTTATCACAACAGCGGAGAAATGGTTGTTAGAGAAATATTTTCTGGTACTTCGGTCTGGGTACGCGTTGTCTCGTCAAGTGATCATAATAAAAACACTCTCGGTGACAAAACCATATTCACAGGTTTTCTGCTTTACTAATTCATTAAATTGTATTGTTGAAAACATGACAGGTTTTTTTTCATATTAAACTGTTAAAATTTATAAATTTTCTTCGATTTGTTAGTCAGCTTGATTTGCCTTTTTAGACGGAGGCTGTATGACAGCCTCCGTGTATAGGGATTGTCTTGCCCATGGAATGTAAACAGGAAAGATTTCCCAAGCACCATCTATCGGTGGAATTGTTTTCATTACCTTGAGAATTCTATTTTTAGAGCGACTCTGCGTTACACCGACCGCAAGGATAGGCATAGTCTAAAACAAAGATCGCGTCACATACAAGTATAAACAAACAGTTCTACTTTTTCTAAATAAACAGGATTTGTCTAATATTTTTTAAAATGACGTGTATATAAATACATTTCCTACGGAATATGTAAAAAAAAAAAGTGATTTACTATTAATTTTTTATCAGACAGAATATTAGGAGATTTTGTTCCAACAGACGATGATAAAGCATGTTTTACAATATGCCGAGCCTTTTCCCGCCGGTTCTCACACCAAAACAAGAACGAGAAGAAATGAAGTGGCGGATCTAGAGAGAGTTGGGGGGGGGGGTTTACATCCGCGGAGAGTGATCGAGGAACCCCACTTATCAATTGCTTCTTTTATTAAAGTAAAAACTATCTCTAGTTACAGATAAGTTTAAACTTTAGTTTTATATTTAATTGTAAAAACTTCCACCAGAATTCGCCTGTGTATCAAACTAAGTGTGGAGACGCAGATGTACCTGTATTATGTATTGAAGAAAATCCTGCTATGTCGCATGCAAATGTTTTATGTCGCAGGTATAAATATAAGATATTTTAATAATAGATCAAGCATTTCAGTTTTAATGGAATTTTTTGTGTTTGATTGTTGTTTGTAATCTCATTTTCATTCCTTTTCTAATTTCTTTTTGAAAGGACCGATAAATTGGTTTGCGGCCGATTTTTGACGCTTGCATCAATAGGTTTCATGGAGTTTTTTAATCTGACAAGGATCGATGAATAAACAAATGCATAGTATTTTTATATGTAGGAATATTAACAGTCTAGTTTTGAATTGTTTATTTGATATTATGTATAATTTCAGGAAACACATGAAAATAGATTTACACTTTCTACAAGCGGTTTGAGTGTTTGGGGTACCCTCACATTAGATAAGAGAGAAACAAACGGCAACTCTGATATTGAGATCAAAATGCATTTGTAACGTTTGACCCTTGGGTACAACCCAAATCTTGGTTCATAGGATTTACTTGATTTATCACATAATATCCTAATTAATAAATAAAAGTCATATCTTCTGAAATAAGTTGTCTTATTGACATATCGTTGATCCTTATTTGCATTTGATACTTGTGTTTTACCTCTTTCACATCCCAAACTTTAATTATTTTTTATATACAAGATTACATGTATTTCTGATCATTGGTATTCATGTCAATTTTTTTAACCTACATCATTGGTAAAGTGATTGTTTTAACAGAGTTACTGAAAAGCAGAAATCATAGTTATATATTTATAACTTTTCTCTACGTAATTTGTAATCATGTCTCATTGTTAATGATTGTTTTAAACAGATAAACTGAAAAGGACAACCATTTCCACTGGTATACGAGTAAAGAAAGACATTTTTTGGGTTAATCTGTCATATGATAAAATACTACATTTAATAATTCCAGAAATATTGGTTGTCAAATTTGTCAAGATATATCTTTGTTATTGTAAGCAATACTCCAGTTCTCCAAAAACAATTTAAACTTGTGAAATAGCAAGTCTTAGGAACTTGATTGTTCTGTTTACATAAAGTAAGAAAGTATATTTTATTCCACTCAAAAAATTGTGTTCTGGCAAGAACATTTATTGCATGTTAATGAAGTTGTATTACTTAAAGAAAATTCTGTGTTGCTTTCAAGCTAGGTCACCCCATTTTGTATCACAAAGGTTTAAGACAAACTGTACTATATTATGTTGTTCATGTCCAATTACCTGGCTGCTTCTTTTTCCATGTTAGCTCATATCATAACATTATAACAATAAGGCCGACAAATTTTGATTTTGGTAGCTGTTACATGTCATAATTATGTTAACAGTAGATCTCTGTGACCTATAAATAAGATATCTTGAAATATGGAGACTGCTGACAGGCTGAGGCCTAGTGCTGAATCCAGAAATTCTGAAATAGGGGGACCAGTTTGAGGTCAGGGAAGGGGCCCACAGCCACAATTAAAACACTCATTTATCAAATATTGCGTATTTTTTGGACTCAAAAGGGAGGGGGCCAGGGGCCCCTTTTAATTCCGCCAGTGGGCTCATGACTAGAACATATTAAACCTACATTCATCAAACTGGGCCTGGGGGCATACAACTTAGACAAGCTCACTTTTGATCTCAGTCTCACTTTTCCACTATATATTCCTTAAGTGAGACTGGGATAAAAAGTTAGCCCGTCTAAGTTTTATGTCAACCAGGCCTAGTCAATTACTGTTTCTTACTTTGAAAGGTTTAATATTGAAAGTATCTCATCTAAATAACAGTGAACTTTAATCAAGCCGAAGTTTACATTACAAAGATGAAATTATAATATCCCAAAAACCTCATGAATATTGGAGTATCTTTTGAAAAAAATGTTGAATTGAAAAAAAACCTACACATTATTTCTCATAATATTCTTTACAGCAATGTATGACATATATATTTCTTTTGTGTTCTCTCATACATGAAGCCTCCGTCTAACAGTACTTTCAGTACTTTGATTTTGTATAAACTTTGTTTATTTCATGGTCAAAATGGGCAGCAACAAGCTGCAGAACCATGCAGAAAGCACACGTATCTAAAAGAAATATTGAATGTACTACTGGATCAAAGAAACAAAAAACAAAACAATTTTGGAATATTTTTCTGTTTGAAAAAAAAATCACTTTATGTTTTGGATTTGATAAATCTGCTTATTTTAATATGTTGCATCATAACAAAAAAATTATACTTTTTTAGTTTATAACAAATTTGATAAAATTGAAAAGATTAGATGCCATTTAAAGCATTTTCAGAAAGAAAAATCCACTAATCATTATAAAAGAGAATAATGATAAAATATTAGAGCTTTCATATTTCATATGTGTATTCCTCATGAAAAGACCTTGACCTCTTGATACCAACAATTTTGACCTGTTGACCTTGGATTTTGATTTGCATTTGAGAAACTTTACCCTCGCCATAAGCTGTCATACAGGGGGTACATGTCAGTTATTCTCACACACATCTCGTTCTACGTGTAAAATAATGGCCAGGTATGTTGCTTTGTCACAAAAGTTACCTGTTTGCAAATAAGTTTGAGGGGATATAGTTACATGCTTGTGTGTGGGTTAGTTTGTTTTTGTGTGCATAACAGAAGTGAGTAATTTGCATTGGAATAGACCTGAATTTACTTATATCCTCTTTTGTAAGTGGATGGTCTGCTTTGTGGTGCCCTGTTGTTTCAATAGTTATAATGGAGATTATTTAATGGAGTCTGGTAAATAAAAATGTACATGCAAGTATTCAGTAATTACGTATATTTTATCAGCACACTTATTTCTCAGTTGAAATAAAAATGACCTGAGAAAAGAGACCATTTTATTTGAATTAGGTATTAAATATAATATAATCTGTAAAAAAAAAACATAAACAAAAACAAAGGAATGGACACATAATTATACATTTATATAAATAAACTCAAATCATAAACAAGAGACCCACTATGGGAGGCACTTTCTAGCTTTTAACATCTAAGAAATTCTCATAAGTTTACAAGCATCCCATGAATTGCTGAATATCAAAATGACATGCACCTTTGATTTTCTGACATTTAAAGATGATAATAGAGTAAAACTAGAAAACTGACCAGTCAGCAAGGGCCCCGCCATGGGGTAGAATTACTAGGGTGCAGCTTACGGAATGATTGAAAAATGTACGAAGAATAAGCAACAGCAACTGTATTCTTAAAATTTCAAGATAATTCTTGAATATTAAAAAAACCCTGAAAATAATATCCTTGTATTTACATTAGGCAGTAAAGCACAACTTAAAATTGAATGTATATTTAAACAATTATGAAGCTTGTGTTATATAAAATGCCAGCCTTCAATGAATGCAAATATCATGAAGGCTTGACCTTAACTTCAAACAAACAGCAGTTGCAGACAAAGGTTTTCATTAATCTTAAAGTGACAGATAAAGAAAAGCCTACTAAATTTTCTGCAGCAGGCTAGATAATTAATCCCAAGGGATTAATTGTACCTCTCTCATCATTTTCTTCTTAAGTTACAATAAGAACTTTTTCAGTATTAATGATAGAATGGGGTTTTTATACAACTATCCTAAAAATTAGTAATATTCTTGAATTAACATAAAGTGAAAAAAGTAAATCAAAAAATCTTCTTTAATCTATTTCTTGTTATTAGAATTCAATGAAATCATAACTATTAAACAAAAATAAATTATAAAAATTTATATTTAAATCCACATTTCAGAGTGTTCATAGCATTCCAAATTTACAGACTTAACTTCAAAACAAACTTCATTTGCAGACAGAGGTGGCAATTCATCTCAATCTGACAGATAAAGATAATGCTCTGGATTTTCTTCAGGAGGAAAGCTAATTAATCCCAAGGGACTCATAGCAGCATTCAGTTTACAATGGGAACATCTTCAGCAGTTATCTCTCTTTGCCAAATTAATGCTTTTGTATATAAAGTTAAGGAATCTACCCCACCACCCCAGCTCCAAACCAGGGGACATAGAGAACCAAACTTAGCATCAAAATATGTATTTCTGCCTACTGAACTAACATACCAAATTTGTACTTGATTGGGCAACCATAAAAAAAGTTGCCCATTCATTCTTATGCATAGTTAAGGAATCTACCCCACCACCCCATCTCCAAACCAGAAGACATAGAGAACCAAACTTAGCATCAAAATATGTATTTCTGCCTACTGAACTACCATACCAAATTTGAACTTGATTGGGCAACCATAAAAAAAGTTATTAGAAAAAAACAGAAAATTTGTGGACGGAAGAGTGACAGACGGACAGACAGACAGACAGACAGACGGACAGACGGACGGACAGAGTGATTACTATAGGGCACCCGCAAATCCTTGCTGGGCCCTAATTACTTATTTTTGTGAGTCTAATTTTTAATGTTTAGGAACAATTTCTATCTTTCGTAATCTATAAAAAAAAAACCCATAGAAACTTACCCCCCAACAAACTCTATCAATCTTTTATCCTTAGTATTGACATTATACATGTAAATGTATTTTAGAAGCATTTAAGAGTTATGGTTCATGCTACATTAATAATCAAGTACACGAACTGTACAAGGAGATTTAAATTTAACGACACCTAAATCTACTATCAATAGCTATTTTGGAAAAATTCTTGGTATTCTTCGAGACTTAAGATGTGATACAACAAAATAAATATAACACTATTATCAAATACAATCAAAGAATATTTTTCCACCTCTTTAGATTCAAGTACATGTATAACTTGAACTGACTTTTCAACTGCTTTCAAAAAATGATGTCTGATATTTAAAAAAAAAATGCATGTAATCGGTTTGCTTAAAAAAAATAATAATAAGATGTTAGAAAGAAAAGTGAAATTAGCATTACAAATTGTTTTCCTTACAACGTTTATTTTTTTATCCTTCTCAAAAAGACATTTAACAAACAATTATTGACTATAAGATTATATTATACTTGTATAACATGTAAAATATATATTTCTTCTCAAAAGGGCTGTAAAATTCAACATTTGATTAACTTTTATATAACATGCACCATGTATATCATAACAAAAACAAAAACATGTATCATTCAACATCAAATACAAAACAATAACTGCTATTTCTCGAAAGCTGAGAGCTTTTGTTAAAGTAGTCCAATTTTTCAATTTTTTTTTTTTTATTGAAGATTAGGGGAAGGGTAGCAAAAACTCGAAAGTCAACATATTTAGTTCTGCAATGATGGGTTTCACATAACTTTTTCAAAGTAAATGTAAATCAAGCTTTAAATACCCGTTAAATATTTCCCCCTAAAATTTGAGCCATTAAATATAAAATACCTTCATGGTACAAAATGTACTCATTTGAACAATGCTGAAAGTACATGGATAAAAAGATACAATTTACTTGCGTTTGGCAATTTGAAATTAAACAACATGAATTTCTCAAATATGCTTTAAACAGACTAATTGTATAACAATTAATATAAGATTTGACCAAAAAAAGATGATAAAAGAGTGTCAAATCTAAAGTACATAATGCAAATGGCACATAAACGATTAGATATTATACAATACAATACAATACACATAAAATAACAAATTAATATAAATGATTGTTGGCAATATGTTAAATGAAAGAGTGAAGATGGAGGAAGGGGGTTAAAATTTTGAAAGGACATAAGGCCACTTGAATAATTTCAACATAATCTATCATAAATATCTAGATAATCTTCATACAGGTTTGTTTCTTAGCAGTTCAATTTTTACAAGATATATATATTCTGAACACTAGTATATTTCTTAAATAGCAACATAATTAAAACATTTTCATATTACAATTTATGTTGAAAAAAATTGGAAAAAAAATACAACCTAATTTTAAAGAGAATGGTAAACTTTGCAGGAATGATAATTACACGTTCAATGCATGTAGATCGAATCAATTCAGATCACGATTGCTAGCAGTTTATGACAGCTTATTCAATAATCATATAAAATGACCATTACACTTACAGCTACACAAAACATTCCCCCTCACTGGGTTCCAGCCTCTGTTTCTGCCAGTGGGGAGGGGGAGAGACTTGCTGTAGTTTGATGTCCCTTTCTGTTCCAGCTGATGAGATTGGTGAGCTGTTTTTACTGTCTTTGACGTCTGTTGTAGAGGCACCTCCTGAAATCACACAGTTACTTTTCTGGCCGAATATGCACGAGTTAGAATCACGTTTCTCACCGAATAACCTTGAGTTGGATGTTTCTTGCTCATTGAAAAGCTGTGAATCTGACACAAAATCGTCAGACACCAAATGAGACGTAGAATGTGTGTTATAACCTTGTGTGAGAATGTCAGAGTCTAGACTACCACTGTCGTCTGCAAAGAGCCTGGAGTCGTTTTCTCCACAGTCTTCCTCTGTGGTTTCTGTTGGGCTGGAGGGAGCGTAATGGACAATGCTGGGGGTCTGATGATGGGGAACATCTGGCACAGGGGGTAAAACTTCAGGGGTCACCAAATCACTTTCTCCTCCATCCACCTCCTCCACAAGGGTATCATCATCCTCCTCTTCCTCATCTTGTTGCCCATAGCAACTATCTTGTCCATAGTAACCATCTTGTTGTCCATAGCAACCGCCTTGTCCATAGTAACCATCTTCTCCTTCCTCCTCAACTCCATTCACCAATTCATCCTCGTACTCTACCGATTCTCCAGTGTCATATTCTTCATCCTCTTCTCCCTCCATTTCTAGAGCCTCCTTGTATTTCTCAAAGAGTGACATTGCACCAAAAGACTTCTTGCCAACAGCTGCTATTTCCTGGGCCAATCTTTCCTGATTTCCCCCTGGAAGATCATTAATCCCCTCAGCATTTTCAGGAGTGATTTCAGATTCAGATGGATTTTGTACGACAGTGGCAGATTCAGTGTATTCCTGTGCAGGGGTATCAGTGAGTGTCATTTCCTGCATACCAGAAACAGTTATCTCCACTTCTGTGGGATCAACACCACTAGATGGCTCTGCACTCACACATTCCTGCTGCACTGTTTGTGCAGGTTGTGCCTCGGGCGGAATGTGTAAACTCTCCTCAAAGGCTTGTATTTCCTCTAGTTTATGCATGTCTGATTGATAAATATCACCCTGACCCAGAGTTGGCATCTCGTGTGAGGTAAGTGAATCCGGCTGCTGTATCTCCTCCTCTTCTAACTTCTGAAGTTTCTGGGGATCTGATGGATACTCAGATTCTAAGTCCTGCAGTTTCTGTGGGTCAGATTCATAGGTAGGATGTGTATTTAAATACCCAGGTATCTCATCTGATTTTAATCCTGAATCGTAGCCCATCTGTAACCTCATGGCCTCTGTCATTGGCTGGCCTGCCATGCCTCCTACAAAGGCCTGCTGGTAAATAATGCCTTGTGGAGGCACCCCTGTCATATACACCTGCTGAGGCATGCCTTGTGGGAAGCCTTGCTGAGAGATCATTGAGGCAGGTTGTTGTGGGACAGCCATTAGACCAGGCTGGTGGTATCCATTGCTTGTGTAGGAGAATTCATCCATTCTGGTGTCCCCCTGGTCTGAAACAGGTCCAAATGGAGGGCATCCATTGTACATCTCTGCATTTTCTACAGAATAATGAAATAAAGTTTTTAGCATTCCTCACAAGTCAATATTTACAGAGTACTCTACAGAAGAAATTATCTCAAGGTGCAAATGCAAAAATTAAGGAACTTTTTTCCACGAGAGGGGGGTGGGGTTCAACTAAACTCAAATTCTATCCAATCCCACCCAAGATTTGTGCACATATACAGTCAATTCTCGAATTATCGCCATTCGATTCATCGCCATTTTCGCAATACCGCCATGATTTCCCAAGAACGTTTTTCCTGCTATATAAAATTCTCTTTATAACGCCAAATTCGCATACCGCCATCTGCCACCCTGTTTTCACAACAAACGTCCATTTTTAAGTGTCAATTATCTCGATATACCGCCACAGGTGCGTGCGGTCAGTGAAGCGGGGCTAATTGGTTGACACTATCCCTGTTGTAAAGCATGCAAACACAGACAAGGTACATGCAATTAAGTAATTAAACAAGAACTAAATAAACAATAATTTTAACATGAACTGTTATAATAATTTTGTTTTCTGTTAAAAAAAAAATTCATTTAGTCACGGCTTTGCCACAAAAACGGTCGTTGTTAAAGTACGCTGATAACTATATTATTTAGATGATCTCTGCTTTAAACAATGCAAAGGTTGCTGAAAAAATAATTATACTGTATAAATTGTGAATGTTAAATTAACAATGTTGCCATAAACAATTAATTTATTCAAGAATTCATTTTACTTACTATCGGAAATGTATATCACGACGATCGACCCACCATGTTTTTTTTTTCAACAGCAGACGTGCAGATTTAAATGCACACCCATGTACTTGTCTTTATTTCAAAACTGCACATTTTGTTTTTGCGAATTTGTACATAAAAAAATTACTTGAAGTATTTTCAATCAGAAATATGTTTTTATATACATGTACATGTAATAATAAGAATCGAAACGCTAAATGGTATTTCTAAGAACGGTAACTCTACTTCTTGTTTTCCAGAAGATGGGAAATTCAATTCATCGCCAAATTCGTTATACCGCCAAGATTTCTAAATTACAAAAGGTGGTGGTTTATTGAGAATTAACTGTATAACAACATATGGAATTCCCTATATGGTAGTATTGGTACTTTACGCTGTACATGTATACTGTAAACCAACTTTTATTCGTGTGCGAGTAATATTCGCCAGTTTCGTGACCTACTTTAAGTCGTGAATATTAATCACCGCGAACCATTTATTTTGCTTTGTTTTTGTAGAAAGTGCTTCCTATTTCGTGAAAATGAACTGTCGTGGATTGATTTCTAACTGACAAATCAAGAATAAAAGATGACGCAAATAATAGTTGGTTTACAGTATGCAATTTAGTGCATTCTGACGATTTTATCATTTTTATGCATTTATTAACAATTATTTACTGATTCATATATCCTTTCTGAAATTAATTTCTGTCTGCAAACCATGAAAACTGACCTTGGCATTTTGTGGTGTATTTTTGACTAAGGGCTGCCTCCATTTCACTCAATTCTGTATGGACCTTCAAAAAAAATTAAGCAAATGTAAAGAATTCAAAAGCTTTTTATACCCGTAACTTTGAATATCTGTCTTTGAACTAAACGAATTTAACTGTATTAAGTTAAATAATCAATTTATACCTGAACCATATCAGGCCTCTCCCTCTTCAGTTGAGATGTACACCTCATGGCGGTACGGAAGAAATGTTTAGCTACATCATCTGCGACAAACCCCGCCTTCTTGTCTCTCAGCTCCATACATTTCTCCTCAGAATCACTGAAGTCTTTAATGTAGTCCTTCTACAAAGACAAAATTCATCTCTGTTATAATACAGTCAAACACTGATATCTGGAACTCAGTGGTGCCAAGAAAAAAACTTAAAGATATTTAGGGATTTGGGATTCTGAGACTAAAAATTAAAATACAATCCAGTAAATAAAAGTTTTCAAGCTCACTTCAGTGTATGGTATTCTAGACATCAGTGTAAATACAATGCATCTAAAAAAGGACTGATTTATGAATTTTACCTTGATTTTTTTTTTCAATAACTACATGTATTCTATTGACAAGTACACTAACAGAAAAAAATACAGGAATGATGAATGAGAGGTACATAAATACAACACAGAACACGAAACACTGAATACTGGATAAATGTCTTACCAGAAACTGACCGCCTTCCCTCTTTTCATCATAAGCTCCCTCTCCTGTGAACACCTCCAACATAACCTGCAGACAAAATAAGTTCTTATTACAAACCTGATTTGCATGTGAAGCATTACAATTTTAAATTCTCTTTATCTCTTTCTTTGTTCATCAAACTTGTTTCTATATTTATAGGTGTTTGACATACAGTTCCTACAAGCAGGTGATGACTTGCAATTGTGGATAAACCATTTATACAAGAATTACCTCTGACAGTATTGGCTATATGCAATGATATTACACTCCAAGGTTGGTTATCACCTTTAAATTATGGACCCTAACAAAAGGCACTTATTCCAGATTTAAAATGGCTTGGGATCTACTTACCACACCAAAAGAGAATGTGTCCCCTTTGATTGACATGGCGTTCCCTCTTATGACCTCAGGTGGGAGGTAGGCCTTGGTCTGGTACTGTTTTGTGCCTGTCTGTTTCTTGGTGATATGTGTCAGCTTTCCTGATTGGCCACTTCCACCTGTTGCATGCTTAGCCAATCCCAGGTCTCCTATTTTGGCTTCCATGTGTTTGTCCAACAGAATGTTTGAACTACAATATAATAATAATAACAGTTTCAAAAAATCAATTTTTTGGTGTACATACTGTAAACAAGGAAATTTTTACCCCCATTTTATTTTTGCCTAATTCAAAATGGACAAAATTATTTGCAAATTTAAAGGGGGGGGGGAAGTATGAGGTGGAAAAACCCTGTATACAGTATGCATTCTAATGTATTCAGTAAGCATGATCTACCTAACCTTTTTCTAAACTCTAAAACTGAGTAGTTTTTCTGTTAATTAACAAACTGCCTCTACACTAGCCACCCACCATTTAATATCTCCATGTATGAGAGGTTTCTGGTCCAATGTATGGAGGTACTGTAATCCACAGGCAGCCCCCTTCATTATGTCTATCCTCTGCGTCCACGTCAATGACGGGGTGTTATTCTGTAAAGTCAGGTAATCATAAAAATTCAAGTTCAGAGAAAACTGCCTAATTTGACACCTGTGCAATCTCTTTCACTGAAATCTGATCCATTTTCTTTGCACTGTATAATCTGACATCCTCTATATTCCGACACCAAATTTGTCTCAAAGTGCATGTCAGACAAGTTTCACTGTACAAACACTTATAGCTTTAAACAAAAGCCTGAAGCATAATCAACAAAATTACAAATGTTAGCTACATCTTTGATGTTCACTTTAAACAAATTTGAGATATAACAATCAGTTGGAAAGCTCCAACAGGAACCACTACCTGTAGAGCTCTCCTCCCCTTTTCTGGAATTTGATACTTTACCTTACACTTGAGTCGGTCATCCAGAGAGCCACTCTGCATGAACTGGTACACCAGACAGGTCTCCCCCTCCTCCAACGTGTAACCATACAGAGGTACAATGTTCTCATGTCTGTATCTATATAGATATGATCAACTATGATTGCTCAAAACTGTTAAAATTCAGGAATACATTTCATGGTATGCAAATAGTTTTATAGATGAGCAAAATATTAACTGCTGTTCCTTTCCAGAAATATAATTATGCTTTAAAAGACAACTTACTTTATGAGTGATTTCAGTTCTGACGTCAAATGCTCCTGATAATTTAAACTTTCATCCTGTTTCTGTGTAAGATAAACAGTATAAATGTAAACTTCTATCATACACATGTAATACAACATACTTCTTTTTTTAATAAATGTAGCATAATAAAGAAAATTGTAATCTAACTTCACAGTAAGTTTTAATCAGAACTAGATGGCAGTGGACTCACAGGAAACAGTCTCTTGATTGCACAGGAGGATCTTTTAAGGAATCCCTTGAACACCTCCCCGAATGCCCCCTCCCCAATCTTGTATTCCTCGCTGAAGCCATTGGTGGCATGGTTCAGTTCCTTGTTGGTAAAACTCTGGGTTCCCACCAGGGCCACTGCTACGTCAAAGTCACATTTTCCTTCCTTTGCTAGAGAGGAGTAACCCTCTTTATTTCTGTCAAGATCGATGAAAAAATTCAAATGCGAGTCATTTGATATAATATATAATATATTCTTTTTTAGAAGGAAGACAATTGTTAAACAATACCATCGAAGAATTTTGTTAAATTTTTATATTTTCTGTTTAAAAAATTAAAGTATAACCCTGAAGAAAAAAATAATACATCCCCTCCAAAAAAAATTTAAATAAACAGAGAAAAACCACAACCCAAAAAATAATAAAATAAAATTTTAAAATAAAATGTAAATCAAATGTTTCACAAAATACACCTAAATACAGTGCCCACTGTCCAATCCGACAACTGTGCAATCCGGCACACTGGCACTTCCGACGCAAATCTTTATTCCCAAAAAAATCTTTATATAACTTATATAGAAAAATACTTTACAATCCGACCACTGTACATTCCGAATTCCGACACCTCTTTGTAAACACGGCCTATTAATTGCATTGCAGTTTCACCTGTGTTATCCGACATAATTACACGGCTGGTTAAACCCCAGGTAGGTATATCATAATTAGCCGCTGGCCAATTACGGGTCCCAGCTGTGATTTTAAAGTCCCGTTTGGTCAATTGGTCAGCTGAGAATGTAGTCAGTGATTCATGTTGAAGTTTGCAGGTGTTTTGTTTATGTACACAATAATTGATTAAAACTCAAATTAAAAAAAGACAAATCCATTCTCTTTGTTGGTATTATTCTTACACGAAAATGGCGTCAACGCCTCAGAAAAGAAAACTTTTATGTGAAATGTCGCCGTCTCCTAAAAGGAAAAGAATTGATTTGGGACTGGAAAAAAAATTGAATTAATAAAAAAATCAGAGTCGTTTCCAAAACCAACACAAGAACAGCTTGCAAAAGAATTCGGAGTTGGACGTACCACTGTATCTGACATTTTGAAACGTAAGACTTTTTTAATGGAACAATATGAAGGAAATATTTCATCCAAGAGAAAACGATTTACATCTGGGTCAAAGTTTTTTGAATTAAATGAATTGGTGTTCAAATGGTTTGGACAAGCTAGGGCAAAAAATATACCGCTAAGTGGCCCGTTAATACAGGCAAAGGCTATTGAATTCGCCGCCGAGCTTGGGCTGGATGAATTCAAAGCATCTAACGGTTGGCTCGAGAGTTGGAAAAATAAATACTCTATAGGTTTTTTTAAAATCTGTGGTGAAAGTGCAAATGTCAATATTGAGTGTGTTAACGAATATCAGTCTAGAATTCCGGATCTCGTGCGTGGTTATTCAGCTCAAAATATTTTCAACTGTGATGAAACCGGTTTATTTTTCAGAGCGATGCCTGATAAAACATTTGCCGAAAAAGGGAAAGAATGCAAAGGGGGAAATTAGCTAAAGAAAGAGTTACAGTCATGATGTGTTGTAGTTGTACTGGAGAAAAACTAAAACCGTTAGTTATTGGTAAAGCCCGCAAGCCCCGTTGTTTTGGCAGTCTTGACCCGCCAAAACTTCCCGTTATTTGGCGCTCAAACAAAAAATCATGGATGACCGGGGAAACATTGAAGGACTGGATATTCGGTGTAAATAAAGAAATGAAAAGACAAAACAGAAAAATTCTTCTTTTTCTGGATAATGCCACATCTCACCCACATGATTTAAAATTAAGAAATGTTAGTGTTCTTGATGCAATTCACTGGATCAACAAGGCATGGGATGAGACAAAACAAACCACAATTGAAAGTTGTTTCCGCGACGCAGGTTTCCCGGTTGAAATTACCGAATCTTTATCATCTGAGATTTCTGACGATGACGACGACAATGATCTACCTTTAAGCATCTTAAAAATGAAATATGAAATGGCGGACGAAAACAACTTGGACATAATAACAGACACGGAAAATGACTTGGAAACAGAAGAGACGTATGATGGAGACTGGGAAATAAAGATATTGTCTGAATATAAAAACGACAATACGAAAAATGCAAGCAGTGATTCTGAAGATTCCGGTGATGAAATTATTCAGAGTGATCTGACCTATAATAATGTTCTTGACATGCTCAGAGAAATGGGCAAATTTGCAATTGCTAAGGACGCCCGATATTTCGAAAGCATCCAGTATCTTACAACTCTGACGGAAGAGACTTTAATTAAACAGCGACTTAACAAAAAACAGACAACAATTGACACTTTTTTCACCAAACCTCAGGAGCTGTAAATATACGTTGCATTGTTTATTGTCTGAAACTGTAAATAGAAATGTACCATGTCATTTAATTATTTATTGAAATAAAATCACATCTTCATGTATAAATCTTTTATATGAAATAAATATGGAGGCCATAATCAAAGATGTACCTTTTACTGATAATGTTGGATCTAATGCCATACTTGACAATGTGACAGAAATAGCCAACACTGAGTAATCCGACACACTGTTTAATCCGACATAAATTTAATTTCCCATGGCATGTCGGATAAGACAGGTTTCACTGTACAACTGCATATTTTCCTTCACAATTAAAGCCCCCCCCCCCAAAAAAAAAAATAATAAGCATTAGCCTTCACTAGCTAATGCACTGAAAGTTAAAACTGTCTTTTGCATATTATATCATTGCATATCATTTAGGAGATAAGTAAAATCTCAGTTCCACTTACTTGAGGGTCTCCATCCAGCTTGACTCCAGTGACCTCTCCCCCAGGTCCCCCTTCCCCTGGGGCGGGCCGCCCATCTCACACTTGTCCACCTTGACAGAAGACATGGACTTCCCCACACAACAAGAAGAGGAAGTGCTGGAGAGGCCTGATGTCTCTTTCATGATTCCCTGGCAACCAATCAAATCAATCCTTTCATATTATACAACCAATCAAATATCAAACCTTCTATATTATGCAATCTATTAAAATTAATCCTTATGCAACCAAATAAAATTATAAACATATTAATATTAACACTATGGAGAACAAATGTCAGTCTTTTAATTGTATTGTACCATAACATTTTACAGTTTTGGTATTTATAGGAAAATTAATTTAAATAAAACATGATGTGTTCAACAGATTCATATCTCTTCACAGGTAGGCTCAACTCCAAATTCAAAGCAAGATATACATGGACCTTGCTGTAGACATTAATTACAAGCACTCCCACTCACTCACACAAAGTCAAATGTTACATGTTGTGTAGTATGGTAATCCTATTTGAAATAATCCATTGCATATTCCATTGTGAAGTCCCTAAATAATTGCATAAATTTACAGTAAAAAACAACATTTAAGGAACTTGTATGAAAGGAAGTCTTGGTGAAAAGGAAATTATGTCTTTTTCCTAATGGCTATCCCTTTCTTGCATGAATATAAAGAATTCTGATTTTTAAGGAACTTTAAGAAATCATGTCCTAAGAACTTCCTTATCATCATGCAGGTTCACCACTATGGTATTTTAAATGCCCCATTCCCAAATAAATGAGGACCACTCAGTTAACACGTCATCTCTAAAGTTCCTTGATAATTTGATAATACAGTCATTTATAAATCACTATATTTACCAGGTAGTCATGCTTCTTCTGCGGGTAGAACCTCTCGTCCGTCAGTGACGGAATAGCCTTGTACTCGGCGTGTTTCTTCGTGGCTTTGTCTTTCGGGTTCTCTGGAGTGTTTAGATTGACGTTCTTGTCCGACATAGATGTGGAACCATTCATGGATGACGTACTCCACGCTCCACTGCTCACTTTTGTGCTATTCTTACTTGGAGGGGCTGGGAGGTCTAAAAAAAGAAACATAACAATTTTTATTGTAGATACATACAAATCCTTTTGATTGGTCAGTCATTCTTAACAAATACGTCAAAAGACTTGATTTTAAAATAACTTATTGGGTATGAAATATACAGTGTGCAAGCAGTAACATGATCGGGAATGGTTAACTTTGAATCTTCTATCATTCACTGCTTAATATTGTAATAATACATGGATCAGAGTTTAATATCAATGAAAGTTTAACATAAAGCAACAAGTGCATTTGATGTATATATTAAGTAGGCTGGAAATTTTCATATCCCCGTGTATTTGAAGTACTTGATACATGTACATCTGCATTTTACATAAATCCAGTCAAATAAACTATTATTCACTATATGAAATAACACAGAAAAACCAATCATTCAACATTTGGTCAATGATTTGATTGAACTAAGAATAAAACCATAAAATTTTTCCTTAATTGTGTGGGTGAGTAATGGACTTTTTAACAGGTGACAGTTATTAATTCTGGGAATCGTTGACACAGGGAAATAATATTACTCAATGAGGCTAAGCATAATTTGGAAATGATTCATCTCAAATTGTTTAACATGAAGGGATATAAAATAAATCAAATTCACTCCTCTTTGTCATGACTTCATTATAGTGCAAAAAACAAAAACAAAAAAAAAAACAGAGGGGTGGATCAATCTACTTTTCAAATTTCAAAAATTGAAAAGTTGGTTTTAAACTTCTGAATATATTTTTTTACCTTAAAAGTTCAAGCACAAATATTTCATAAAATGCTAGTGATTTTATAACATTCAGCATCTACGTACAATACAGAACTGTGACATAGCCAATCAAGTCAATATATATGTCATGTGTCCTGACTCCCTTATTTATATATGGACACACATCTAAATAGGTAAATACACACTTGCTGAACTGCTTTACTTATTTGTTGAAAAAATCTCATATACTGCAAACATATTCCCCCCCCCCCCCACCGTTCCCCAATTTTGCAAAATTTTTTTTTTTTTTAATTGTTTGATTCGCAGGTAGAAAATCATGTAGATTTCTTAGACTGTCTTTATAGTTCCTTCACTAATAAAATTTCAGTAAACTGTGATCAATTTTCTTGGACAAAGCATAAACGCCCTCAGAAAAAAGTATGACTAAAGTATGTGTACTCCATAGGGTTGTCTGAGTGCGAGCGTACTTACTGGTACTGTCTAGTGCCCGGAGGATCATAGAGGGCGTGTCTGTCCCGTTACAGGGCGGGTCATCACGACTCGGAAACGGAACCTTGTTCTGCTTGCTGTCACAGTTAACTGAAAAAGGAAAGCCAAAGGTGTACATGTATGGTTAGTGTTCAAGCCTTCACTAAAATCTGGCATATTAACATGATTTAAAACTGAAAATGAAATTTTACACAGTCAAGGATATGTCAAAGTGAGCTTGCAGTCTTTCACCATTTATTCTTAACTCTTTTTCCCTTAGATCATTCCCTCCTTTACCCCTTAATGACAACTTTTGACGCCTAGCCCCCAACCCTTAATGACGACTTTTGACGCACGTGTATTTATTTGTTGATTTGACTTGAAATTACAGCTTGTTTACAAATTATCAGAGCACAGGTGGCCACCTGCAGGTTAACAATAGATGATTGCATCATACTACAGTTAGAAATCACGTGATTTACCTGTGTAAACAAACAAAAGAATCTTGGAAAGTCCCACCAAAATTCAAAATGGTGAAAAAAATAACTCAGTCAGTATGCAATATTTTCTCATCCAGTAAAGCATTACATGAAATTCAAGCTATGAACTACCTATTTTTCGAAAATTTTGAAAATAATAATGATCTAATAGTATAATTAACTTTGAAATAAGATATGCAGTGCCGATTTCGTTACCTGTTTCTCAGAAATTCAGAAGATACCTTCCATTTTACACATACTGTAAAAGTACTTTTTTCCGCGTGGTATTAATTTACGCTATGTACGCGGCCACAAATTTTCCGTGGAAATTTGTCCAAGCGTACTTAATATAAATATAAGGCATAAAAAGACAGTCTAAGAAATCCGCATAATTTTCTACCCGCGGATTAAACGGAAATTGAGATTCCGTGGAATTATGACCCCGCGGAAAAAAGTACTTCTACAGTATATATAAATAAGAAGATGTAGAAAATAATTATTTTATTAGAATTTGATCATTCAAGTAAACAAAAACATTCAGAAATCAAGTTTTATCACCCAAGTCTGAAAATTTGTTGGCGAGATTGACATTGAGGTAGCAAAACAATTTATTGATTTCTGAGATTTTAAACTTATTAATTTGATAATAAATTATAATTAAACCATCAATCATATTATCACACATAATTTTTATTACTTATACAGATGATTTTGGCTTATAAAAAGCCGTTTTACATGTTGAAAATATCAAATTTGTGATTTACACCTGATTTCACCTGAATTAATTATTTACAGAAAATTTCGATCAAAATTATGCCGATACATTTGAAAAATTTAATTTATTACGAATCCAATGATATATTATACATAACATAAATTAAATAATTTGACCCTTATTAGTTCAGTTTTAAACTGCACTCCAATTCATCTAAAACGGTCCAAGGGGCAGCCAGGCAAACACTCTAAGGATATGGCCAGTGCGTCAAATCGTGGCATTAAGGGGTAAAGAGTTAATTAATGTTCTCTTTTTCCCCTGGTAATCATCCCATATCAAGTTTGAGATTGTTAGGTTTGATTGTACAAGTTGTCGCAAATTGGATTCAAACTTACAAATCACACAGAAAAGGTAGAGCAAACAATTATGATAATACAATGTAGCTCATTTACAGTGCTTAAAAAATGTCACTCACAATATGACTCCAGTAGCTGCATCTCTCTCCTCCTGCCGATCCTCTGTAATATAAGATACAGGTCCCTGGCCGTGGCGTTCTTAGATCCCCAGTCACTCAGTACCTCCTTACAAGGGCTGCCGTGATGGTGCTGGAAAGCCATCTCAAAAATTCTCACATCCTGAATTGTGTACCCTATCTCTGAAGCTGTAAAACATTCAAATGAAACAATGACTTACAAGTGTACACCTGTGATGGTCAGATGAGTTCGATTGCCAGTGACCAGACTAAGCTCAGTCGGTAGAGTACCTGAGTGGAGATTCAAGGGACCCAGGTTCAAATCCCGGTCCGGTCCGCTACATATTTCTCATCTCCCTTTACAAACCATTTTAAAAAGTTCACATAAAAAAAACCACTTTACTAAATTTTTTCAGACAACACTCAACATGCTCAAAAGTAAGTGTTTAAAGTCATACTGTAACCAAATCTTTACTGTGATTCTTGATCAAATTTCCTTAATAGAAACCCGAAGTCACGATCATGCATTTTGTTTACTTGTAACTACTCTAAGAAACATTTTCAAAAGTAGAATAATGTACAGCTAATAAACGCAATACACAGAAAATATTGAGGTCACCATTTCAGTATCATCTTTGATAGATAGTTCTCTGATTGATTCTGATATTTACCTAATTTTTCCCATGCTTTATCCAGATCTAGATTACAACATATTTGTCGAGTAATACTGAATGGAAGGTCGTAAATAAAATGACTCTCTCGACTTCGGTGATGTTTTTTCCCCGACGCCATGTTTACATCTCTGTCATCGGGAGAAGGAAGTAAAAAACAAGCTCGATTGGTCGATTGAACAGGTGTATAGTCTAATCGTCTCCCGTGTAAATTTGTCCAGGTGTGTCTGATATCCACTAAAAGTTTTCAAACGTACACTCTTAACTTTGGGATAGACACTTTTTTCTTCCTCTCTTTGATTCAAAATAATTTAACAGAAGAATTCAGGTAACGAACTAATAGCAGGTAGAGAAAAATATGGATTTAAAATACGGGTAGTTTTGAAGTGGGGAATTCCCTTTTCTGAATCACTCATGAGTGACGGGGGATACCCTGGTATTTATTACATGAAAAAAAAACCCTTTTGCTATTTATAAATGATGTAATTTTGACAAACTCATAGACCAATTTAGGTCTATAAAAAACTCAAAATGGGTTTACACACACACATTCATGACATTGGCTTAATATATGGATGGTAAACACTTGGTAAAGCCTGATGAATCTAATTTAAAAAATTGTAATTTTGACAATTAAAAAATTAATAATGCAGTAACATTTACATTTTAAATATATCTAAAGGGTCTTTTTTTAAACTGAACTTTATATTATTTCTCTCTTGATTCCAGCATTGAAAGACTGATAAGCTCCTTTAAATTAGATTTTTCTTCTCTTTTTTTGGGGGGGGGGGTTGAGTTGGGTTATACATGTTATATTTTTAGAGAAAATGACATTATTAATTTAGTTATTCAATTCTGTTGTAAATATTAAATTCCACTGTTAAAGGTTTGAGAATAAAAAATGCTGAATTAATGCATAATTTTTTTTAATATTCCAAATAAAACTTGCCAAGAATTAGACACTACATATACAAGTCATGTATATTTTAAAAAAATATTTGGAGAAAAAATGTGTACGAAATTAGGAGATTTTTTGTGAACATTTTTTTTTATGCGTGGGTAAATATTAATAATTAATATCAATAATCACTCTTGATTCGATATGCAAGAGCATTATAAACTATGTACCAACCATTATTAAATTCAAAAACGAGACAAGTTATCGACAAACAAGTTGATAAAACAGAGGTATAGACAGTTTTGTTTAAAAATTCTGTGGTCGATGCAATGACCTTGTCTGCAAATATTATGATGGAATCGAATGTTGACTGACGTTTTTCAAATTGTTAGGCCATTACCGATCGGAGAAAAGTGGCTCAAAAGGGGATGTAACTGGCCGAAAGGGGATGCGTTCTCCCCCATGGTACCTCAAATTATGTTATACGTCTTTCAATTAAAAAAAAAAAAAAAGAACCGCCATAGATTCATTTACCAGTATTAGTCATCTACTGGTGAAACAGGAGGGGACTGCAGGTTTCCTGCGCGTCTGTCCGTACCTCTTGCACATGTATCAAACGTTTCTCGATTTTTTTAAACACTTGCACATATTGAGCTGATCATTTCAGTGTTAAACGATATAACATTACTACCTTTTTGATGGAGGTGACGCTGAGAAATACCCAGTCATAGTGTTTATTAATTTTAACAATAATTTTGGACCCCCCCCCCCCAACACACACATACACACACCATGCAACCATTATTTAGGGGGTCCTGTCCACAAATAACCAGGCTTGGTTGGGGTGACCCTTCTTTCCATCAGATTGGTCGATGACTAAACAAATTGTCTGTCTGTTTGTCTGCAAAAACTTTAACCTTCCTCATACCTTTTGAGTTGGCGTGCCTAAGACGTTCATATTTCACAGGTGTATTCCTTGTGACAAGACCTCTTTCTGGGTATCACCAAATTTGACCTCTTGACCATGAAGTTTGAAGAAATTTCGCAAAAAATATCGCACTTTACCTCTGGTCATAATTTCTGAACAGTTGGTTCTAAGACTTTCATACTTCAGTGTATTCATTCATTGGGACAAGACCTTTTAGTGTGTATTTAATATTTTTTACCTTTTAACCTTGGTCTCAGAGTTTGACCCGCTTTTTAAAAACTTTAACCCTTGACATTATTATGTTACTTTTGAACAGTTAGAACTAGGTCACAGGCACCTGACGTATCTTATTTTTCTTTCAATAAAAAAAATATACGCATACCTAATAATAAACGTTTATTATTAGGTATGTGTATATTTTTTTTTATTAAAAGAAAAATAAGTTACGTCAGGTGCCTGTGAACTAGGTGTTTTATGATATTTCACGTGTGTATTTCCTGTGACAAGATCTTCCTTTGGGTACCAAAAATTATTACCTTTTTACCTTGACCTTGGAGTTTAACTTGCATTTGAGAAAATTCAACCCTCGCCATCATAAAGGAGCATCAGTGTTTCACAATCACATCTTGTTTTTTCATGTGTATTTTATTTTGTATTGTTCCCAGTTGTTAACCAAGAGTTAGTTGTTATAGCTAACAGTTGTCAAAATATTGTTTAAATACATTTTTGCTTCATAAAATCATGGAGAAAGTACCCACTTTACCTTAATTAAGAGCTTATTTTTACGTAACAGAATTAGTGTCTTTACAAGTACATAACTTCCAAGTCCCCTTCAAAGATCATATCACAACAATATACAAAATTGTAGGCCATATTGAAAGCACCGTCTCAAGTCGTGGTCTAACTCCGATATAGCTCTGTTACAACGCAAAAGGTAATAACGATGCAAAATGTAATAAACCGGGATTATTGCATTTTGCGTTATTACATTTTGCGTGGACATCAACGCAGAATGTAATATCGCAAAATGTAACAGCACACGTTTTAGGATTATTACATTTTGAGTCGAGATCAACGCAAAATGTAATAACGCAATATGTAATAACACGATTTTTGGATTATTACATTTTGCATTGTTATTACATTTCGCGTTGTAACATAGCTCTCTCCTTTATGAGGAATAGTTCATTTTGGCCAGTTTGCGACGATGATCTATGAATGACTTACATTATCATTTTATCATTTGAACTATGTGGCATAATGGTTAGCTAGTCAGTCTTATGGTTTGGGTTCAATTTCCAATAAATGCTATTCTCTCTCTTCACTATTTAAAAAAACGGTATGTCTTCTTGTAATATAACCATTTGGAAAAACGTATAACACATATATACATATTGAATTTTTTTTTTTTTAAAAGTCAATTCTATTTTTCTTATTTTATGGCCAAGGGACTTGATACGTTGCGGAAACATGTGTTATTTACATGAATGTATGATCCTGCGACAACGTAACAAAACGTGCATTAAAAAAAATTATTAATATGCAGAAACAGTGGTGGATATGGGGAATATATCCTCCAAGAGTCCAAAATATTTCTTAGAATAGTTTTTCTATAGAAATGGTCAGCTAAAGGTATGAAGAAAATTCGAATGAACACAAACCAACCCACCCAACCCCTCCTCAATGACACAGATTTTTTCCCCGGTTCGGAGACATTTATCTCTTTTGTAACAATTTTTTTAGGTAATCCAAAAAAAAAAAATTCCTAGCTGGTTTCCACTTTCAAAAACAATACTACGCCCCTGTATTATTCTTATCAGTTTTCACATACTAGTGTCTACTGTGTAAACCTGCGTATTAATGCTCTTCAATACACATTTTGAAAAAAATCTAGATCCGCGCCCGAGAAATATTGGAAAAAGTTTCAAACTGTTAAAGATAAGTTTAACTTGATAAACTCTAAACTTTTTAATGCATGTAATAATGAAATTAATGCAATCAGCATTTTCAGGTAGTAAGTGGTCCTTATAAATTCACACGAAAATGAGGTTCTCGCTACTAAAAAGTGAACAACAGTATTAACATTCATCTAACAATTAAAAATTTTAATATATTCATAAATATATATACATGAAAGTATAATAAATATAAGTTCTTGTAAAATGTTTTTTGTATACTCGTAAATACCATAAAAATATTTTTTCATCTTTATTGAATGATGAAATATAGGAACTGTTTTCAGTCTCTATAGAAACTGTTGAGCTTCTTCAGGAACTATTCAGTCTCTTCCCGGGCCAGTACTAGAAGTGGATCTTACTTTCCATGCCGAGAAGTCTATTCCGGGAAGCTGATCACATCTCCTCCAATCATTTCTAGAAATTTAGAATATAAATATGTTTTAATAAAATCCTTGAAGTACTTCATTCAAGCAATAAATACCATTACTCGTTATACATGTCCAGCAATTTAAATGTCCGGAAAAGTCTAGTAATATGTTAGCAACTTTCACACCATTTGATTTCATTGAATTGACACCATTATTAGGACGGCACTCACAACAGAATGATGCAACTGTCGTTCTTAATAAGCCATTCCTTTTATTTATTTCATGTTTATTATTTATTCCATATCTTGCAAGCCAGCCAATATGGTAAATGTTATTTATCAGGCACTGACAGTACTATATAGGTTAGGTACACTGAACTTAGTTGGAAGGGGTAAAATTATACTGAATATAGATTGACATTTCTTTGGTTGTTCTAATCTAGAATAATTTAATTATGGTTGTAAAAAATTACTTTATATCGTATAAAATGGTTGCCTACATCACAATGACTTGTGTCAAAAATGTATCAATCCGCCTGACGTTACATTCAAATTTTGCACAAATTGAAGTCATTTTGTTGGAACAATAATCTTTTTTTCTTACATCAGATGAATGAAAATTAAATTATAAGCAATGAATTAAATAGCTACCCATTTTATACGGTATAAACTGGGTTGGAACAGTTTACGCTTTTTTATAAACCGCTTCGCAGTTTATAAAGCGTAAACTGCCCCAACCCAATTAATACCGTATGAAATGGGTAGCTATTAAATTCATTCCTTAACGACGTTCGATCCTGATATTTAAAGTCTTAAACTTTTTTTGCCAAGTAAATTTTTAGTTTTTACATAAATAGCTTAATTAAAATTCAAATTAAAAAATGGGGGTCAATACGCTTCTTTTGGCGCTACAGTACATTTAATATGACATTTTTGCACTGAAATTTGTGTCTTAATTAAAAATTATATTTTTGACGTTTTCCCTCCAATATTTTTATCCAATTAAAGCATGAAACAAAATGAACTCTAAGTTTGTTAAAAAAAAAGACACTTAAAAATTGTGACTAAGAAAAAGTTTTAAATTGCTTCGCATAATCAATTATTTGACCTTTCTGCACAAATAAAAAGTGATTTTTCTGGCATTGAAAATTTAATAAGCAATAAAATTATTAAAGTCTTAAACTTTTTCTGATTTTAAGCAAATAGGCCAAATTTATCTTGAATATTTAGAAAAGAACATAAAAAACGGGGGTATATGATGTAAATTTTCAGATATTACTAAAAAAGTGTCAATTTTACGTTAAAATTGGCTCAATTTTTTCCCGGATTTTCAGAATATATTTACTATATTTGTCACACTTTGTTGATAGAATTCATAAGAAATAATTTAATAGATATTTCAGAACCAGCATAACACATTTAACTGCAAAAAACAGCTTTTTGTGCAACTAGGATGGAAAAATAGGAATCCAAAATTAACAGTACTGTTATAGTTCAAAATGGAAAAACTGTTCATTTTCGTCTAAAAAACCTTCCGCCACAAAATATAGTCCCTATCTTAATTCTACTTGAATGGAATTTAATCGCTGTTTTTTCATTGAATATAGTTACATTTGCACTGTAGAATTCAGATTTAATGTTAGAACTTAAAAATGATGCAGAAAGGAGATGGGTGAACATGACGACTCACGAGAGATAAGCCCATAGCGCGACAAACATGATGGTGAAAAATTAAATCTCAATTTTATCAAAATTTTCCTTAATATTTCATCTAACATTAAAGTATACTTTATGTAATTCTCAACAACTTGCACAAATCTAATGAGAATTGAAGTTATTTGCCTATGAAATATTATACACACACGAAAGAGGACAAAACGAGTCATTTTTTTCACACTATAACACTATTTTTCGTTATGAGTGGGTCTTCTCTCCATTTTTTTGAAAGGTAATCCTCAAAGTTTGCATAAAAACATACATATTTTGGTTTCCAAAATTATGGAGCAATGACCCACTATACCTTAAAAATATAAGTTTATGACATAACTTTCGTATCTTTTCGAAAAATACTTGAAGTCCCTTTAGTCAATGGTCATATCACAAACATGATTTAAATGCCACACTTCATCAGGACTTGTGTAGCGTAGTGGTTAGCGTGCTAGTCTCAAAAGAGAATGCAACTCAGGATTTTTATTGCCAGGGTTCGAACCCAATGGATACCAGATTATTTTTCTTTATAATAGAATAAATTTTAATGAAAAATTTTCCTCAAAGCTGTTTGTTTATCATGATTTTACAAAAATCAATGATGAGAACTTTACTCTAAATACTAACATCACAATTTGAATATGACTTTTATATATCTAAAGCTTGTGGGTTTTTTGCACGCTAAGTTCCCCCCTCTCCTTTATAAATAAAGGACCTGACCAAATTATGCTCAAAATCTCAGGATCGAACGTCCTTAATTAAACGCTATAAATTCTCACATTATAATTCTAATTGATTCAGAAATTAAATATTTGCGGTACAATACCTTGGAGTTGGAACATGGAATACGTCTGGTTGGATTGGATCCACGCCGATATTATCACACAGAATTTTAGACAGCTTCACTTTGCGGATTTCTCGCAACTGAGCTGAAATTTGAAATGACAATTATAATAATTTCTTGTTTCATCACTCTGCATTAGGAACATTGGTTTAATGAAATACATGTAGACGTGCTAGTTAAATTTTCAAAAAGGCAACAGAAGGGGTATGGAAAAAGAATAATGATTTATTTCAAGAATAATTATTTATTTGATAAACTGACGGAAGCAACTCGTAAATCAGTCAATTACCGGGATGTTAACTTTTTTTAAGTTCAAAGTCCTCGTATATTTATTGAAAAAAAAAACGGTCGTCCATGTATCAGATACAGTACAGATGCATGCTAATGGAATCCATTGGTACTGGTAATAAAATAGCCTTTTCCGTCCTTTCCTTTTTAACGGAAACTTTTATAGCGTCAAGTTGAAACATCACACCAATACGGCTATGGCAGAGGATTTAGTCTATACTGAAAAAAAATCACATGTATTACCTGCACTGAATCCCTCTTTCCCTTGCCTCTCGTACCAGTATCTGTCGCCGTCTTTCAGATCTTTGAACTGGTTACCGATAAGGCACGAGAACAGGGGCCCTACACTAGCCCCGGGCACCGGTATCTCGGCCATCCCGCCGGCATAAACGTCAATATCATCTACGTCACTGTTGGGAAGATTGGAAGAAAACAGATTTATATTGCTTGTAATGAACTGTTTTAGGTAAAATTAATTCATTACATCATTTAACAGTTTAAAGAATATAGGTCGCCGACTTATCGATTTTTCGGAATAATTAAATTATCATTGATGTGCAAAATTAAGAATTTACTCCCAGCAATTAATCCTTGTTGATTCACATTGAATATAAAAAAGTTTAATAAAAAAAAAAACGTGTATATGTGTGGTCCTAAGGATTTATTTCTATAAGACTGCATTCAGAGCACCAGACACTCAGGGGAATAGGTTGTTGGAGGAAAAATTATCCAAAAAAATAATGGAGAAAAAAATTAATTATCTTGAGGTTTCGGGTGGGGTGTGTGTGCAAAAATAAACTTTGTACCTTCATAATCATAAATTCTTAAATACTATTACTTGTTTTTGACTCACCTATACACCTCTGCAAGATTTTGTTTGTTGCTTTCACTAAGATCAGGCAAATCACTGAATGAGGTACCAACAGGAAGTCCACACCACCTCCGCCAGGAGTTATACGGCGGAAGTCCATGATCGCGACCTCTCTGCATGTTTAATGCGGCGAGGTCTAAAGCTATTTGCGTTCGAATTAAACCGCTGGTTCAAAAATAAAACATTTTTTGCTACTTACTGGTTTGTACTGATCAAAAACCGATGCACAGAATTATGTATCTTAGTGTAGTGTACTTGTGATAAGTTATATTGAATTCAGAAATCAGACCAAAACTGTAGAAGGAGTAGCATTTGAAAGGAATTCCACAGAAAATTCTACTTTTAGTAACCATGGCAACATCGTTCATCGAAATCAAAAACCGATGCACTATCATATGTAAATTAGTGTAGTTTACTTGTGTGCCAAGTGATAAAGAAATCAGACCAAAACTGTAGAAGGAGTAGCGTTTTAAAGGAATTTCTCAGAAAATTCTATTTTTAGTAACCATTGCAACACCGCTCATTGAAATCAAAAACCGATGCACTATTTTATGTATCTTAGTGTAGTCTACTTGTGTGCCAAGTGATATTGAAATGAGACTAAAACTGTAGAAGAAGTGGCGTTTTAAAGGAATTTCACAGAAAATTCTATTTTTAGTAACCATGGCAACATCGTTCATCGAAATCAAAAACCGATGCAATATTTTATGTATCTTAGTGTAGTCTACTTGTGTGCCAAGTGATATTGAAATGAGACTAAAACTGTAGAAATTATGTTTTAAATATTTCTAAAAAATATTTTTAGTAACCATTGCAACACCGCTCATCGAAATCAAAAACCGATGCACTATTTTATGTATCTTAGTGTAGTCTACTTGTGTGCCAAGTGATATTGAAATGAGACTAAAACTGTAGAAGAAGTGACCACAGAAAATTCTATTTTTAGTAACCATGGCAACATCGTTCATCGAAATCAAAAACCGATGCACCATTTTATGTATATTAGTGTAGTCTACTTGTATGCCAAGTGATATTGAAATGAAGACTAAAACTGTAGAAGGAGTAGCGTTTTAAAGAAGTTTCTCAGAAAATTCTATTTTTAGTAACCATTGCAACACCGCTCATCGAAATCAAAAACCGATGCACTATTTTATGCATCTTAGTGTAGTCTACTTGTGTGCTAAGTGATACTGAAATGAGACTAAAACTGTAGAAGGAGTAGCGTTTTAAAGGAATTTCTCAGAAAATTCTATTTTTAGTAACCATGGCAACATCGTTCATCGAAATTTTTGCAAATTTTATGTATCTTAGTGTAGTCTACTTGTGTGCTAAGTGATATTGAAATGAGACTAAAACTGCAGAAGGAACCGTTTTAAAGGAATTTCTGAAAAATTATTTTTAGTAACCATTGCAACACCGCTCATCGAAATCAAAAACCGATGCACTATTTTATGCATCTTAGTGTAGTCTACTTGTGTGCCAAGTGATAATGAAATGAGACTAAAACTGTAGAAGGAGTAGCGTTTTAAAGGAATTTCACAGAAAATTCTATTTTTAGTAACCATGGCAACATCGTTCATCGAAATCAAAAACCGATGCACTATTTTATGTATCTTAGTGTAGTCTACTTGTGTGCTAAGTGATATTGAAATGAGACTAAAACTGCAGAAGGAGTAGCGTTTTAAAGGAATTTCTCAGAAAATTCTATTTTTAGTAACCATTGCAACACCGCTCATCGAAATCAAAAACCGATGCACTATTTTATGCATCTTAGTGTAGTCTACTTGTGTGCCAAGTGATACTGAAATGAGACTAAAACTGTAGAAGGAGTAGCGTTTTAAAGGAATTTCACAGAAAATTCTATTTTTAGTAACCATGGCAACATCGTTCATCGAAATCAAAAACCGATGCACTATTTTATGTATCTTAGTGTAGTCTACTTGTGTGCTAAGTGATATTGAAATGAGACTAAAACTGCAGAAGGAGTAGAGTTTTAAAGGAATTTCTCAGAAAATTCTATTTTTAGTAACCATGGCAACATCGTTCATCGAAATCAAAAACCGATGCACTATTTTATGTATCTTAGTGTAGTCTACTTATGTGCCAAGTTATATTGAAATCAGACTAAAATTGTAGGAGGAGTAGCGTTTCTGAAAAATTGTTTACATGACGGACAGACAGACAGACGGACAGACAGACAGACAGACAGATGGACGGACGCCGGACGCATTACTATGGCATCAACTCTTCTGGTTCAAAATAGAGCTAAAAAAATTAACAGAAAAAAATAATTACTAGAATGTAAGATAAAATGTTGTTAAATATAGAACTTGGAAAAGTTAACAAATTTCCTGACTTATTTTGGACACCTACTTGTCTGCTTTCATTCCGTTGGAAGTAACGATAAACCGCGTGAGATCGTCCACCCTTTTACCACTCTGTGTGGTTAACATTTCTGGATCAAGGAATGTGGATTCGATGGGAGCAGCCTGAACACGAGTCATGTAGTCACGAAGAACGTATGCCATTGTTGGAGGAATCTACAATGAATTACAAATCGAAGTTTAAGTACAAACAGTTTTAAAAGTGTATTACCAATACTTACAAAACAACACAACAAATCTGTTAATTACATCACGTTAATTAACTTAATTAACGTGAGGTAATTAACATATTTGCTGTGTTGGTTTGTTACAACAAGAGTGCGCCAAATAATATTGCTTGGGATTATTTATTTGTGGGGCTTTCTTTGTATTCATACAATGTAATTATTTTAACCGTGAATTTAATGTTTTCAACATAGACGAATCGAATCGTCGATTATATAGATCTCACAAACAAAAGTGTATTCATATTGCAATAATAAATAAATACACATCGACTTTTCTTAAAATATTATTTTAAGCAATCATATATATAATTATACGAAATTTAATCAAAACGAAGTTAACTCACTTGCGAATGTCCAAATCTAAATGCGGCTGCGTTGAAAACATTTTTAGCAGCTGGGTTTAAACTGGCATTGTAGCTATTGCTAAAGCCCCTCTTCTTTAATTTAAGGTTATATTTTACGAGATCGCTCTCTGCAAGAATTGCAGGTAGATATTCTCCATAAGTAATTTGCTGTAGAAGAGCTCCTATAATTTTCCTGGCTTCTTGATATATTTTCCATGCGCTCCAGTCCGGCCGAACTTTCCGAAGTTCCTCTGCTATTCTGTTGTGTTCACGTGCAAAAACCAGATGGCTTCCTCCCAATGACGGCACGACATTGACACGATGATCGCCTAGAATGAAAGATTAAATTTTAAAAGAAGTTGTTTTGAATACGTTCTGAGTAAACATGTGACCAAAATGCTCAGAATTTTACAGGTATAGTGATCACTGCACGTAAGCAAGAACTGAGTATACTTAATGACCTAGACGGCTGCTTTACACTGCAGATTTGCAAATAAATTTATTGAAATCGTCTAAAATAAATGGACAACTATGATCTAAAGGTATGGTAAGCTTATATACCGGCCAGTTGGCACTGAGTTATTGTGTTACTAGGTCTACAGGTTCCTCCCACCGGTAGCATGTTACCATCCGACATCATCATGCTTCCTGTAAATTAATTGCAGGGAATGAAATACTAAAGAAATTACACTTTACATTTGTACATCTACATTTATTATTGTCTGTTACAGGTAAAATGTAAGAGAGAGAGAGAGGGAGGGGGATATTTTGATTACTATTGAAAATGTTCATTAATTCTAAGTTCCCCTTTTTGTTACAGTATAATCAAAAACAGGGTTATGTGTTATAGTGTATGAATAAAATTTGGTTTTAATAAAAAATAAATTCTTTGATTATGAATAAACAAAATACATATAACGACTTCATCATGATGTAAAAAATTGTATTCAAAGACTCATTTTAAAAGTTTATTGTTTTTTTTTAAAAATCAGATTTGTATTTGAAACATTTATGTTAAATTTCTCTCAGAAGTTAACATATTAAGCAGTGACAATGTAATTTAAGTCAAGATCTAGTAAATGAAAGATGCCTATACATACATGTATTTATCAAATCTGAGAAATATAACTTTTAATGATGTTTTAAATCTTTCGCTTGGCCAAATTAGGACTTTTGGGTCATAGATTGTTGGTAAACAAGATGAAAAACCATATTTTAAACTGTCACTTTCAATGAAAAATTAAGAAAACCAGTCATGAAGTTGGGAGGTTTTTTTTTTATATATATATTCACATGATACATGTATTATACACAAAGGAAATGTATCCAGATTGCCTACAGTGTCTCAGAAAACGTATGTTCATGACCTTTTCTTTAAAATAATAGTAAATATTTAAACTAGGCACCGAGATTATTTTTCATATGTTTTCAATTTGAATTCCATGAAAATACCCAATTTTCTACATACATGTAATTCTGTAAAAGCCGAAAAGCACGGGAAAAAGAAAGTTGAAATTGATTGTGACGTCATAATTGATCTTGCACCAAAAATAATTGAATGATTAGTCTAAAAGTCATTGTGACGTCATAATGCTTCGCCATTTTGAAGCGAGTGTATTGTGACGTCATAATACAAGACGTCACAATATTATTCAACAACAATTTGAGGGAAGACGTATACATATCGTTCACAAAAATGAGGATCAATCATATGCTTTGGGGAGCGTCTCTAGCTTTTCCGTTGATTTCATGTGCACCTGTGATACCTGCTAATTACGAGGCTACCGACGTCGAACTAAATTCCATGTACGATTTTAGACTGGAAGATTTCGGCTTTGAAAATTTACAGAACATAGAAAATAACGGGATCGAAGGAAAGACGTCTCTACTTCCACCGCTAAACAATAACTATGACCATGCAGATGTCATGAAATCCCCAAACATTTCTCTAGGGAAAGTGTTTTTAATCGTCGGAATAGTCCTTTTCTTCCTCGTCATTAGTGGAATCAAGTCTTTAAGACTCAGACAATCCCGAAAAGAGATGAAAGACAGGGGGAATCTGGCCATGGAATATCTGAATGAACATAAACAGGCCAGAACCCTCAGTGTGTCGAAGATAGAGCAAGAGAAGGCCGTCAGGTTTATCGTGGAGTCAGAAGGAGGAATGGAGGATATACAAGAATGCCCAGGGCTGTACGGCATGGTCTTAGAAAGACAGGAACCCGGGGAGGAGGAAATCGTATTCGACAATCCATTGTTCGTCGAGGAGTAGACCGATACATGCGGAATTCACGGTCACCATGGAATTTATGTATAATTCAATCGGAAGAAAAATGCTTCTTTATTAAACGTTCAAGAACTCCAAAGAGGGACCGAGTCACCTACTAAATGCCGTAAACCGAGTTTGCCAAAAAGCGAATAAATTATCAATGAACTATTATTTCAAGTATTTTTTAATTGTGTCAAAATATAGTGAACAGACTAAAGTTTATTAAAAATTGTCTTCATTGCAACCTATTCTGTAAAATAAATAATTTTTCATACTCTAAAATGTGTTGTAAATTTTTTTAGGTAGAATACGCTTTACGGCGTACCGGTATGTTTATACCACAGGCCTTCAGATCGCTTTTTTCTGACCGACATGTTTAAAAATATTTTATACATGTCGGTCAGATCGCTTTGATCTGGCCGACATTCATGAAAAAAATATTTCGATTTATAGCTTACCTGTACTCGTGTCTGCTAGATCAAGCCAAGCCTTCCTCGAATCCCCATATACAACCCCTCCATCAATGAAAGACGTTATCTGGTTAATATGTTCCCTAGCACCTAATTAACAAGTTTTAAGAAAAAAATGCATTTTTTTATGAATTTAGGGAAAATGATAGAGCCAATCATGGTTTTATTTTAAGAATTTTTTTTTCTCAGAAGTTGATACCTGGTTGGCAGCCATCGAATGGTGGTGCGGGTGCGGATCTAACAAACTGCATACAGTCCGTAGTAAAATGAGCATCATCCACCGGTATCGAGATGGGGAAACAATCTGCTCTACATAACAAAACAAACATAAAACATTTTTCTGTGAAAATTCTTACATGAACATCGTCATGTTTATATGCGGGACATAATTCAGGCTACAACCAAAGAGCTTAAATCCGATGCGTGTAAAGGCAAAAATCTACAAAATCTTGGACGTTTTCTTTTTAATATGGTATACATGTATTTACACATTTTGATTGTATAAGTTAACTTTTATTGGGTAGGAGGTGATACAGTTAAAAATACGTATGAGTGCAACTATTTGCTTTGATTTAATATTTTTTAAAAAGTTAATTCTCCTTTTTTTCGGACTTGCAAGTCAGATTAATACTAGCATATACAAAGCAGGCACGTAGCAACAGGGATTCAAGGGGGGACTGGCCCTCCATTTTTTCCCCCTATTACTTATACTGTAGTAAAAGTGCATTGAAAGGCTGGTTGCCCCCCCCCCCCCCCCCCCCAACTTTTCGTGGTACATGTATAAGGCAAATGTAGTATTGTTGGTCAAAAAATTGGTACTGGAAGAAGTTAACATTAAAAAAAAAGTCTTTTATTTTTAGTAACCATGGCAACACCAGTCATCGATACAAAACTGATGCACTAAATTATGTATCTTAGTGTAGTCTACTTGTGTGCCAAGTCATATTCAAATCTAACCAAAACTGTAGGCGGGGTAGCGTTTTAAAGGAATTTCACAGAAATTTAATTTTTAGTAACCATGGCAACACCGTTCATTGAAATCAAAAACCGATGCAATAAATTATGTATCTTAGTGTAGTGTACTTGTGTACCAAGTTATATTGAAATCAAACCAAAACTGTAGGAGGAGTAGCATTTTGAAAAAAAAAATTACAGACAGACGGACAGCTACACAGACAGACAGACAGCTAGACGGACGACGGACACCTTACTATCGCAAAGCTCTTCTGGTCTCTGACCAGTAGAGCTAAAAAATAATTTTTGTGTCGTTCGCAGCTGTAGGATATTCAAAAGAATTTTTATTTGTTGAACACCTTTTTTAATTTTTATTAACCATGGACTTTTTCCACGTCATTATTATCCGGAAAATCATTACAATTTCCATTCATATCTTACCCACTCCCAGGCTGGGGAGTATCTATTGTAAGCTCTTCTATATGACCACAAGTTAAATTGATGCAAAGCATCAAATCGGCCGCAAACGAAATTAAGCATTAAAGAAATTTCTTTCACAATTTTCAAAGTGTCCATGCAAGGAAAGCGCGGAAAGATATTAAAAGGTAAAATAGTTGAATCGTTTTTATTTTAGGCTGTCTTCAAAGCAAAATAAACAAGCAAATTCAAAAAATTGTGGTCCCCCGCTTTCGGTGTCTTTTTGGGTGCAATGTCATATTTTTATGACATTTTGTGTCTAATATGAATGCCCTATCATAAGTCATCTATTCAAAAATTATCACTGAACTCCAAGGTCAAGGTCAAAGGGTTAACGTTCTTGGTATCTAATGAAAAGTCTTTACAAAAGGATTACATATGTGAAGTATGAAAGCCCTAGTTCTTACCATTCAAAAGTTATGGTCAAGGTTAAAGTTTTCTCATAAGTACAAAATATCCTAGGTCAAGGTCAAAAGGTCAAGGTTGTTGGTATCAAATGAATGGTCTTGCCACAAAGAATACATATGTGAAGTATGAAAGCCCTGGTATCTACTGTTCAAAAGTTGTGGCCAAGGTCAAAGTTTTTGAAAAGTAGGTCAAACTCCAAGGTCAATCGCAATGTTCTTGGTATTCAGTGAAAGGACTTCTCAAAAGAATTATATATATGAAGTATGAAAGCCCTAGCCCTTACCATTCAAAAGTTATGGTTAAGGTTAAAGTTTCCTCATAAGTACAAAAAATATCCAAGGTCAAGGTCAAAAAGTCAAGGATGTTGGTATCAAATTAAAGGTCTTGCCACAAAGAAAACATATCTGAGATATGAAAATCCTGGTATCTACTGTTCAAATGTTGTAGCCAAGGTAAAAGTTTTTGAAAAGTAGGTCAAACTCCAAGGTCAGTGTCCAAGAGGCAAAGTTCTTGGTACTAGTATTCAATGAAAGGTCTTCTTACAAGAATTATATATATGAAGTATGAAAGCCCTAGCTCTTACCATTCAAAAGTTATGGTCAATGTTAAAGTTTTTTCATAAGTACGGAAAACTCCAAGGTCAAGGTCAAAAGGTCAAAGTTGTTGGTATCCAATAAAAGATCTTGCTACAAAAAATACATATGTGAAATATGAAAGTCCTAGTACCTACCATTCAAAAGTTATGGTCAAGGTTAAAGTTTTTTCATAAGTACTGAAAACTTTAAGGTCAAGATCAAAAGGTCAAAGTTGTTGGTATACAATAAAAGGTCTTGCTACAAAGAATACATATGTGAAATATGAAAGTCCTAGTACCTACCATTCAAAAGTTATGGCCAAAGTAAAAGTATGGAATTTTTGTGTAAAAGTGGGTCATACTCCAAGGTCAAGGTCAAAAGGTCAAATTTGGTGGTACCCAAAGAAAGGTCTTGTCACAAGAAATACACATATGAAATATGAAAGTCATAGCTCCACTGAATCAAAAGTTATGGGCAAGGTTAAAGTTTTTGTGACGGAGGAATTTCGGACAGAAAACGAATGAGATTCAATTTTTAGTTTCACAAAAGCGGGGGACAATAGTCAAATAAAATTAAAACAGACATTTTACCGCATTTGCTTATAAATAGATTCTTCGATGCAAAAAAGGTCAGCAATAAATGATAAGAATTTATTGTCATCAAAATGAAGTTGAAGGTCTCTCAAGATGAACCGCGTTGATACCCTGGAAATTGGTCACGTGATAATGCCCATGGCTATGCTGCAAGGCGCAGTGCAAAATGTAGAAAAAATTGTGTTATTTACAGTTGTAGAGCATGTTCAAAACAATTTTTACTGGTTGAATTTTTTTTTTTAATTTTTACTCACCATGCGCTTTTACACGTCATTATTATCCGGAAAATCATGACGATTTCCTTTCATGTCTTATACACTCCCAGGCTGGGGAGTATTTATTGTAAACTCTTTTTACATAACAAAAAATTATCAATTATCTGATGAGAAATGATAATTAAATTGAAGCATAGTAGCAGCAATTAATACTAAGTTTAAAGCAATTTTTAAAAATATTTCACTCATGATTTTTACTTGTTATCATTTGAGAAATATTTTCCTGACCTAATGAAAAATAACGTCTCATTTCCCCATGTGCGCTTTCTAACACAATCACAAAAATAGATCGGCCGCTGCTGCGGCCGATAATAAATAATCAGTTATCTGATGAGAAATGAAAATGAAATTGAAACATAATAACAACACTTATTATTAGTTCAAAACAATTTAAAAAAAATATTTTGACTGTGTTTTTATTTAGCTGAACGAATAAAAAACTAGCTGCAATAATGTAGCCCTCTCCCTTTTTTGGGGGGGAAAACAGATAAAAAAAATCGGAGAGGGCTATTTTATTGCAGATAAAAAAAAGCCTCATTTCCCCATGTGCACTTTCTAATACAAATAGATCGACCGCTGCTGCGGTTCGAGATGTATACTCGTTTTATGATTAAGTGACACCAAAAACCTTTTTTTCGTGCTAGATACTGATAAAATATAAGCATACATTTCAATTTAACAGGCTTCGCTTATTTCTTTATAACTAACGAGTCATATTTTAAAATGATTCACTTGAAATATATATTACAAAAATAACTTATGTAGTCCTATAATTCATTAAATACACAATGGAATCAGTATACAGATGTTATAGAACGCAAGATACTGACACACAATTTTAATCTGAATCAATTTCACAGCATGAATGTAGTCCTATAATTCATTAAATACACAATGGAATCAGTAAACAGATGTTACAGAACGTAAGAACTGACACACTATAAAATTTAAATTTTTAATTTGAATCAATTTCATAGCTATACATGTATTATTTTTGCAGAATCCGAGAGCTACAACAAATACACGCAGTTAATTGAATGATGATATAAACTTCACTCTGTTTGTAAAAATATTTTTTTTAAGAAGGTGAATATTAAAATGTCCATTGTAGTACATTGCTTCAAAACATCCTCTTTATTCATGCCAGAAAGGTTAATATTATCTCCCTTATTTAGAAATTCTTAATAGCCGAAACACATTCGTGCAGATTTTTTTAAAACAAACTCTTTCCCTGTAGTAGGATAAATAATAAATTACTCCAAGATATTTTTAACGCCCCCTTTTCATTCGATTGTTTTCACTATAATATATATATAAATTTTAAATTATACGTTGATCGGACGTATGAAAAGGTCATGCAAGTGCATTTTCTTGCTTAAAAACACTATGTGCTCTAAAAATACCTGCATACCTGGAATGAAATTTTTTACATGATCTGCAAAAATAAAAACAAATTTTGGTGAAATTTTGTGCCGATATAAAGAGTTTTAGCATTTGCAGTGTCGTCAGAAGAAACCCGAAGCTTCTCTCTAATCAAATTAGGGGTGCGTTTATTTTGGGCACATGTATTTATTCAGTGACTTATCATCCTATATATATGTACAGGTTGATTTTTTTTAGCGCTTTCTCGATTTCTTTCCCATAAGCTTTCTTCATTTGGAACATGGTTCATTCTCTTCACACAGGTTGCACATATTGAAATGAAATTTGGCATACAGATTTATCATAAAAATATCTAGGTCAAGTTGTGTTTTGGGTACGATCGGCCCATTTGGGACAGATTTATGCCCCTTGGACTTTGAAAAATCCCAATAATTTGCAGTTTCCGTTCATTTCCTTCGCAAAGGTTGCATATATCGAAATGAAATTTGATATACATTAGAATATCTAGGTCAAGTTGTGTTTTGGATAGGATCGGCCTATTTTGGACAGAATTACGCCCACTTGGACTTAGAAACATTCCAATTACTAGTATTTGGGGAGGGGGGCATAAGTGTTTTACAAACATCTCTTGTATACAAAAACGGAAACTGATGGTGGACCGACAGACAGACAGACCGACAAACAGCAGCAAAGGAATATGCCTTCCCTTTTTCGAAGGGGACATGATTATCCGGGGCCAGATTTGGATGTTTAAACGATTCATTAGATGATTCTTAAAAAAAAAAAACTTTCAGAATTTTTAGAGGAGACATCAGGAACAAAAATTTGTCTACCCTACGTTCCGATGTTAATAATAACCAGATCCAATCTATCGGTATTCTTGATTACCGGGTATTTTTCTTTTAGAGGGGGGGGGGGGGGCTTGATTACATATGACTGGGAATAATCTGAAAAGTCTTGTTCTCTCATCAACCGTCTGTAACAGAATCAATCATTAAATCTATCGGAGGATTGATAGAACTTTGTCAAGTGTATTATATTTTGCATACCTGTTTTGCACATCGTCTCCACAACACGTGATTGGAGCACCATCAATTCCTGTAAGAAACGAGATTTTAATACTTCAATGCAAACTGTGTGTATAACTAAAAAAGATTTGTTTTTAAGTCAAATTAACAATCTTAGCCAAAAAGAGGCAATGAGAATACACTGAAACTGTTATTTATCTATAATCCGGAACATAGGCGTCGGAACCGGGGGGGGGGGGGGGGGGGCTTGGGGGGGGTTAGCCCCCCCCCCACTATTTTTTTGCAAAAATAGCCATTATATAGGCATTGAAAATTGGGACTTACCTTTTTTTGTTGGTTTAGCCCCCCCCTCCTACTTTCGATTAGAACTCCCCCTTTCAATTTGCTTCCGACGCCCATGCGAAATAAACAATAACTTACACATCTTGCAGTGCACTTCAAATCTTATTACCTTGTGTGACAGGTGTGGATACTATATCATGGTCAATAAACTGACCCCACACCATCACCATCAGGGTCTGGGTGTAATCAGTCTCGGTACAATTCCCATTCCCCCGAAATAGTTTATTACTGACCAATCGCGTGCTTGGGAGAGGGCTTCCGTCTATACTGGTTGTTCGTGGGGAAGAGATTCCTGAAATAAAAATGCAAAAATATATATTTAAGGTTGTTAAACCTTTCCAAAGAGAGATAACTCTTATTGGGAAAAATGGTTATAATCCTAAAGATATAAAACTGTCATGTCTGTTTAAATTTGGCTCGCAAGGCATGCCGAAATGTTGTGCATTTTAATTATGAAGTAGGCTTTATTTTAACTATCAAAGGGATTAAAATCAAATTTACTCCTAGATATCACGTATCTGCACATGCTAGATACAGTGCTGTCTTTAATGGTTTAATCGCGTATAAAAATAGGATGCGGGTTTACCCAATGGCGAAAAAAGGATTCTTAAAATATACTTACCATCGTCATACTCTGCGGGTTGATAACGAGGCTGAGGTGTAATGGCGGCGCCCCAGTCGGGGTGATCCACATTATTACAGCCTCCATCCACCGATCTATAGGCGCTCTGTCTGGCTTTGTCACAGTTTTGCTGTTTTACATCCGGACAAAATTCTGCCTCGAATTCCTGACGAAGTTCAGGATGTGATGCCAATTCTGATGGTGTCATTCCTGTTCTGAATGAGATAAACAATGAAAATGTAATCACTATTTGAATTACCCCCCCCCCCCGTGTAACTCCATCCCTCTCTCACTAAAGAGACGTACTAGAATAATTCAAAATTGTAATTCTGTGATTGCATATTTTTATAGCTATATTTTTGGACTTACTGCTCTACCAACGTACGGGTGACCTCTATGGAAATGATGCCGTTTAGTGACATTTTCTCGGCCTCTCTTTTCCTTTTAGTGATCATGTCCAGTTCGTCCTTTGAAGAATCTCCGACCTTGTCGACGCCTACATTGGACAAAGAAATCGTCTGTATGATAAGTTTATTTCAGCATAATTTTCATTGAACCGTTGCTACATTTACTCTTTTTATGTGATATACTTTATTTTATGTAGTACAAGTCATGCATTTAAACTTTTATTTAAAGAGACGGGATGTCAACAAATTAACCATCAGATAAAACTTAAAAGTTTTAGATATGGTATCTTCAAAATCTGTCAACTATCATTTGGCAAAGAAAAAGTTCATACATTTTAGTTTTAAATTTGATCATTTTTGTATAAATGGAGCTCTTCTTCTAAAGGAGATCAAAAATACTAGTAGTCTAAAATTGGCCACAACCATCCAGCCCTCTTAAAAATGCCACCTTTGTGGACATTCAAAGAGCCGTTTATAGCACCCACCTGTAGCCCCCTTTTCGTCATAATTAGACGTTTTCTAGGCTTTTTTACGATTATGAGTTTTCCTGGCATGTATATTAAAACCGATGGAAAAGCTGGAAAACATCGGATATATATTTAGGACAAATATGTAATCATGGGCAAGTCCTTGGATTTTTCTTCTGGTAGGGGGGTCCACAAACTCTCATGGATGTCATAATTGTAATATTTTAGACAAGCAAAACTAAATAAATAAATAAAATAAATAAATATAAATAGATTTTCCCAGACTTGAAAACCCTATTTTACAGAGGGGAGTTTTCACAAATTCAGTTTTCTTACTTGGTACATCACTACGGTACCCATACCATTTTAAGAGGGGTCCGTGTTCCTGGGGGGGGGGGGCAAATCTTTAGTGTACTTTTTCCATACATGTACAAAGCTATCAGATCCGTCCAGGGAGTCCTAAACACCCCCTCTAAACCCCACCAATACAGTGGCCAGGTATATGTTATGGGTAAAAATGACCAACTTGTTCCATGCCAACTTCATAGTGGAAGTAATTTACAGGTATAAACTTCGTTATCTCGACATCGACGAGACAATCGGAAAATGTCGAGATATCCGAGGTGTCGAGATATCAGAGTTGAGACACGGCGTCCTTAATCTACTGTATAGCAAAACAGACGTGTAACTGTATATACATGTAAAAGGAAATCCAAGAAGAGTGGCACAAATTTTCACATTTCTGGTTATTGGTATATACCTTTGTCTTTATATTTCCGTAGCTCTTTTCTGTAATCTTTGAGGGTTTTCTCCCCTGCTTTGATTGCTTTCTTAACATATTCTCTAACTTCATCGCTTGTGAGAGCATTAGATGATTCTAGTACCGTTGACAGGAAAACTGCCAGAAGGCATAAAAAAGACGAAATACGTTTGAAATCTGAAAAGAAAAAGATATTTCAATGGTTTAAAAAAAACTTATTGCGTCTTGGAAATTATGATCATGACAATTCAAGTCTTTTATTCAACTATTATCTAATATAAAATTATTAACAAAATATGAAATATCTATTAAAGTCTCAATATTGTAACCAAGACAACGTATATTGTAACCACGACAACCTAACAACGTATATATAACAGTATACCGAAACATATCCACCAGATGTTTGGATAGACATCATCTTAGTTTATTTGAAAAGTATTTTATTCATAATATACATAGAAGTACATGCATATACAATGAATATGGATTGAACAGCAGGCAAAAGTAACCTTTAGGATATTAGTTCTCTCCATTAGCTGTAGATCTGTAGCTCGCTGGTTGGAATTTTTTTTTTTTTTCGAAAAGCTGCAGAATGTAATAATTGCATACATTTGAAGTTTTACCAAGACGTGTATTTTAATCTATCTTTTTAAAAAGGATATAGAGTACAAAATTGAAGAAAATGAAAAAAAAAAAGAGGGGAAATAGAATAACAGAAAAGAAAAGAAAGAAAAAAGAAGGGAGAAACTAGACATCAGTGCATAAAAACAATTGAAATTGAATGTGAATTTTTTTTCTAGGTCTCCTTCCCAAGACTGAACATAAAAAAAATCATTTTAGACCAATTTATCATTAAACTCAGATTTAGATAGAATTTTATCAACACTAATCTATAAATGAAATAAAATAACACTTAGAGACATGCAGTCGCACATGCCATAGATTTGTCTCCAAGTTGTTACGAGTTACATGCTTTTTTCCCTCAAAAGCACAAACATTAGTCATAGGTAAAAGATTTTCATCCGATTAAATGCATCAGTTGTTGATTTCAGTTTAAAATCAAGATTTCGTTTGTGACAAGAATAACGTTTAAAATGTAATTGTAAAAGCTAAATCTCGCGTACTTTCTTACATATAAATTAACGATACAATATAAAAGGCGGAAAACCGTGTTTGTCTTTTCCTTTTGGCTATTTTTACATCGAAGTCAGTGGAGTAAGTGGAATAGATAGAATTATCTTTTTCCTAAATAAGATTATAATCTGTCCGTGATGTTTATGTGACGTATATGGGTCCTTCTCGCGAATGCTTCAATGATCAATTATACAGCTTATTGAATTACTTTAAAATTTGTTTACACGCGGGTTCAGAAGATCGGATTGTAATTGAAACTTTCTATCCTCAACCTTTTAAGATTTACTTGATAAAAAATAATGGTCACTCGTTCATTTCAGATGTTTCTTGACACGATTCTTGACACTATTATTTCTTCGGACAATAAATTTATGATACCCCCACCCCACATCTTTTGCGCCCAACATGCCCAATGCATTTTAAAAATATACTGACATTTAATTTATAAACAAATTTGATTTACATAATTAAAAGAATATATCAAACAAAAAAATATTGACGTATGCTTTAGTTTTTTCAAGTGTCGTATAACAAGAAACAAGTAACATTTTTCTTATACCTCAGTGATCTGACGAAAAATTGTGTTTTCAAATAAAAAAAAAAAGACTTACAACGCATAATCAGTTCACTCAGGCCCCCGAACAGAAATACATTTATAGATCAAGATGCTTGACACGAAAATAGCACTTAATTATAGTTCTACATGGCATTGTGGCATATTTGAGTTTTTATGAAAATCTTGAATGGCCCCAATTAGCAATTAATGGCAGATGTTATTTAAGCTATGAATTTTTTTTTTGTTTTGATTATATAATCATAACAAACAGAGATAATACTTTTTTAAAAAGCTTCATGTTGTTATAAATACTAAGTACTAATCTGGGATTTGAGAATATTTTCTTCTTTGAACTTCTTTGAAGTTAATTGAATTAAAAGCGCCAGTGTACTTATTTACATTTAGCTTATCCTTTAAAGGGGCATGGACACAGTTTCCACTGATTTTTTAAAAACCAAGTGTAATGTTTACTACAGTATGCCTACCTAAGGCATCATCTAATGATTGGCAAAAAATTTGAACATTATTTGTTGATTAACAAACAAGATACAGAACTTGAAGTTCTTCATAATGTAAACAAGGCCTTGTTTTTGTTTACATATAGAAAATATATTTGTAATAAAATGAAATTTAGCAAATCAATAGAAACTGTCGAATCGTACTTAAAAGTAACTTTTTTATGGAAGTTATCTACTTTGAACGAACATATATTAGTACATTAAACTATGTAAACAAAAACATGACATGGACCTTGTTTACATAACAAAGGTTTGGAGCTCTAAATCTGTCTTGCATCTCGACAACTGACGTTCAAATTTTTGATGATCATTAGAAAGACCCTAGTTAAATATTTGTAAAAATTGAAAAATAAAATTTGAAAATTGAACTGAAACTGTGTCTATGCCCCTTTAACAGAAGTAGTAGTAGTATTTACATGTATTTGGTATGTCACCCTACATAAAACTAATACACATAATTACACAAATTAATGATAATAAAGTAAAATTTTAAAAGAAGTTTTTGAGGAGACAAAAATGGTATTTATTATTAAAGAACATTTATTTTCATCGCATATTGCATAGTATAGTGTGTATATTGTAATTATTTAAATTACTATAGTAATTTACAAGTAATAAGCCTCAACAGTCCGAAACAAAAAAAAGGGGTTTTTTTCACCTCGATCAATATCAGCTAAATTTCATTTCTGAATAAAAAGATCTATTTCTAAAAGACTCTTTGCAATCAGTCAATTAATCAGTTTATTTGCTCAAACCATACAACATGGTACATGATGAACATTAATGGATATATGTACATGTATCTATTTATCTTGATTCAAATTTTCAATTTCCGTTTCATTTTATTGGTACAAATAATAAATTTGTTCAATTTTGAGCAATTTTCGCTTACATATATATTAAATAGAAAATAGATTTCGCTAAGATATATACTCTCGTAATTATTTCAAATTATATTGATAATTCTGATATCAAAGTTAACTTCCTAGTACCTGAGCTTAGAGGCAGTGGATTTTAATTTTATACAGAATAACTTGACAATGTTATGAAGAAATAGCTTTGCAAAATTTTCCCACCCACAGAAGTGAATGTTGTTTCTTCATTTTATATCTCAAATAGCGTTTTTATTGCCAAAATGGTTGGATTAAACTTTTAAAAAGAACAATTTTAAGAATTAAAAAAGATTTCAGATTTTATCGAAATACTTTCTTCAATACCCCATGGTTGCAACACCCCATCTTCAAGAACGTCGTAAAAGTTTTATTTATTTTTTTTTAATAACGATCTTCTCACAAATAGAAACGATATAAAACAAAACTTGACATTGTAAAGATAGTGACATTCATATGTTGGAAAGAGAGAAAAAATATCGAGATAAACTATAAATCAAACAATCAAAATATTGCAAGATTGCAATTTAAGGTAGGTCACTCGTCAGCTTTTTGGAAAAGTTCACGCAGAACCTCTTAATTCAAAACTATTTATCAATATTCAATTTTTATAACATATTAAATATGTTATTCACAATGTTAATGTTTTAACATTCAACGAAAAAACTGCTTAAAAGGCTACAAAGAAGCAAGATTTGTGAGGGACTATTTTTTGTGGTGGAAGGATTTTATAAAAGTTCTGCAAATCTTCACAGTTATTAAATTTAATATCGTGGAACTTTAGCCTCACATAATTTTACTCAAAGAATATTTTCCATTATGATATTGCTAGGAACATTTAATATAGGTCTTAATATATATTTTTTAAAACAAGTTTTACACCTTCTTTCAACAAACTTTGCCAAAAAATGAAGATATGTCAAAATAAGTCAATATTAAATGTACACCATTTTTTGCCTGAAAATCACATATTTGACCAATATTTCAAATTTGACATCACTGACCCCAACTTTTTCTTTCATTATTTTAAAGTACTCGATACTTGTGACTGATCAGCACTTGAATCATGAAAAGCTTGATTTAAGAAAATGTTTTATTGTCTATTTAGTTTTTTAGTACCCCAAATATGTTACTTTTTAGTGCAAAAAGGTCACACAATAATTTACGCGCTTGAATTTGCAAGATTTTTTCAATGATAAATATTATTCAAACTATTTTACGTAAAATAAGAATATTTTTTGCCATGGTTACATCTGATAAAATATAATTAAGGTTTAAGTAATTAACCAAATAGTTAAAGTTTAAGTGCAAAAAGGTCAACTTCATTGTACCGTAGATCAGTAAGATGAACACTGACTACCTATTTTCTCTGCGATTTTGAGTCACTCTATATGAGTACTTATCCAAAAAATACTTCTCAATAAATCCCTAATTTAACAAATTTCACGAGTGACATACCTTAAAATGTGAATAATAAAATAAGGTAAACGGGGAGGTGGGGGGGGGGGGGTTAAATGGAGGGAAAAAAAGGAATAATGACTGTCAAAAGTATGTAACCATCATCTTCACTAGAGCCTATATAAAAAAAAACCTTTCCTCTATTTTAGTGTTTATGTGCTGTATTCTGACAATTAAACAAAGTTTAAATAATTTACAACATAACTAAAAGAATGCAACCAGAAAAATTCAAAGATGCGAAATCTCCACATGTTAGTTTAATTTCACACATTGCACACCTGTACACATCAATACATTACAATATTTGTTACAGTACACATTCGAAAATAATGCCAAAATAGATAAAATAAAATAGATAAACTAAAGCCACGCTTTCACACTCACCCATGCTTCTTCCTATATGCTTGGTTTCCTCTTTTCTGAATACTGATCCGAGAATCTGAGGTTTAAATATCCGAGAACTTCTCGGGCTCAGACAAGCGTGTTACACGCAGCCGTGACCGCGATAATTCAAAACAAAACCGTTATAAATGTTTTCATTGACGGTATATATTTAATTTATAATTGAACAGTAGTTCGGATAGCAATCCTGAAAGATTCCTATCAAACATTAGCCTATTGGCCTAGAGAAATAAACGTCAATATCAATTTACATGTAGCACGCTAGTATCTGATTATTATATACAGGTCCGGTACAATCACTAGATTTAGCTACGTAGGTAGAATTACCTACGTAGCTTTATTTACCTACCTCAGGTAGCTTTATTTAGCTATTTCAATGCAACTTTTCAAAATAATTTTTTTATCAACGAATGACAAAAAATCGCAATTAAATGACTATTAATCTTTATACTAGGGAGGTTGTAAAAAACAATCCAAAGCAGAGATAGTTTATACATTGCTGCGTTTGGACAAATTAGAGCAAAACATGTAATTTCATTGTTTGGCTAACTTTCCGCACCCTTTTTTCTCTCAACTTGACTATGCTTTTAATTAAATATAAATTAGTATAAATTTAAATTATACTTCGTCAATTTCAAGTTCATGTATTCACTCAAAACCATTTAAAATACTGGCTATATGGTACTGGAGAACATTGAAAAATATTTACAGCATATAAATTCAGGTCAGAGGTACAAGTATATAATATACATAATCAGAAAAGAGGCCCACGGGCCTTATAGGTCACCTGAGTATCAAATAACCGAGTATCATGTAACAAATTTCCAACAATTGAATTGGTTCGTGTTTTAAATCAAAGGTCATGAAATTCAAAATTTTGAAAGAGGCACTATTGCTTATCATATAAACTATACACTTAGCTTGCTTACTTTGGATACTTAATATCCAGAGGTAGATCAGAGTAACAAAGAGAAAATGCATTTCCACTTTATAACCAGTTATGCACCCTACCATTCAGGAACCACTACCCTGGGGGGCATACATTTCAAAATTCTGGAAATTTTATCATAAATTTCATTTCATCATAAATGGTTGATTAATATCAAAAGCAGATTTCAAAGTATTAATTTATTTTTTAGACTATGTAACCCCCCCCCCCCCCCATCCCAGGTACCCTGATCGAGGATCCTGAAATTAACCATTTTGGAAGAGGCACCTTTCATTATTAATATGTAGTTAGAACATTGGCATAATTCCCCCGCCCGAACTCCAAACCCCTGTACCTGGGGCCCTGAAATTCACAAATCTGAAAAAGGCATCCTTCCTCATCATAACTATATACATAGTTCATTGATTTAATACTCAGGAGCAGAGGAGAAGGTTTTTAAAGAATTAATGTATTTTCACTATGTAATCAATAAAGCATGAATTTCACAATTTTTGAAGAGGCAGGTTTATTCAAATAACTATGTACTTATTTAGATTATTAATGCCCAGAAGCAGAGAGGATGATTTTCAAAGAAAAAATGCATTTTCACTTTATAATCTATTTAGCCCCACCCTAGCACTAGAACCCTGGACCCATGGCCATGAATTTCACAATTTTGGTAAAGGACCCAATGATGATTACAATCATGCAAAGAGTTTGACTGCTTGATGTCCAGGAGTAAATCACTAAAGAAGAAAATTTTTAAAAATTGCATTAATTTTAGTGGTTTTGGCCCCATCCCTCAGGCACCAAGGGGCAGGGACCATGAAATTCACGATTTTTGTTTCCCTTCACCCATAGATGCCTTATGTCAAATTTGATTGAAATTGACTGAGTGGTTGCAGAAAAGAAGCTGAAAATGTTCAAATGTTAACGCACGACGCTCGACGACGGACGAAAATGGATATAGCAAGTCAACTGAGTTTACGCAATGAAGGCCAGACTGAATCATATTTTTCTAATATAAAATACATATTCCTTTTTAATGTCTTTAGTTTGCATTTTGTTTTGTCGTCAGCTGAGAAATTTTAAGAATATTTGGTCTAGTGAAGTGGTATTCATTTATATACTTTTTCCTAATGTTTTACAATGCAGTACATTCAAGATTAAAATGGAATTCCATACATTACACACTTCTTTACTTTACCCTTATTTCAGTGTACTGTGACAAAAGGGGGGAGGGCAACCGTTCTTACAATAAACATTTTAAATAGTAAAAATTTATGTTGGGAAAAATTGCCCCCCCCCCCCCTCCTCCGTTGCTATACGTGCCTGTACATGCCAATCTTCACAGCTCAACTGGTAGGCGGTGATTTGTAGTACGGAATTTGACAAATATTTTTCTAAATTTTAATGGCAAAATACTTAAATAATTTTCACAGTCAAAATTTGTTTTAAAAAGTTTATACTCAATACCTTTAGTTGAACTATTAGTTTCAGAGTGCCATTTTTGTATAAATTGATCCTGTAATCTTTGCTTAACAGCAGTACTGTAGTAACCTAATTTTGATTAAGATTATAAAAAAAACTGTTCCTTCTAAATATAATACCGGAACCGACTATATAAGAAATACTTTTTTTTAAATATGATTCACTTATTTATTTATTTGTTTTTAAATTCGTGGGTTTTTTTGCGCGCGCAACTTTTTTTTTGGGGGTGGGGGGTGGGGTTCTAGTATATTTTTGCAGCAATGCCTAATTAAAAAACAGAATAAGGTGTTATGTAATTTTCACTCTTAATTTTATTGATTTTAATGAATTGAAAAACAAAAAAACAAGAGCTGGAAGTAAAAGTATGTTAATCTTTAAAATCAATAAAGTTGTATACATTGGTGTGCTAGCTTCATGTCCCGAGGTATTTTCTTAATCACCTCTTAGGCATAAGTGATGTAATGGTTGATAATTTAAATTGGAAAGGCACACATGTCGTGCAATCTTGAATAATGTCATTTAGAAGATTTATACATCAACATATCTTTCGATAACGATTTTATTATTATGTTTAAAAACATTTTTTGTCTTCAAATTTCCACTTAAAGAAAAGAAAATCATTTTTGTTGAATTATTTATTCATTATCAAGTTCTCTATAACATACAGAAAAAGGTAGTGGGATAACTATGGGACCAAATCAAATAATTACATGTAACATTAAACAAGTCAAAACGAAAGCCTACATAGCATAAACTGCCAGCATAGCATTGATACAGACACATAGCATCACCGGAGGGGGGGGCTATCCCCTCACTTCTTTCCAAACTCCAAATATAACTTTTTTTTACTGGAGAAAATGTCCGTTGAAAGTTCGGCTGCCCCCTTTCCCGTTTCGCAGTATAAAAACAAGATAAATCTATAGCATGTGTGAGTTTGATAATAATATTGATAGAAGTTGGAAACCACCTAACCCCCTTTATAAAACGTTCAAGCTATTTCAAAATTTCTATTTTTAGTAGCAATGGCAGCACTGTTTACCACTATATATATATATATATATATATATATATATATATATATATATATATATATATATATATATATATATATATATATATATATATCATGCATCCTCCCTAAGAAAAAATTACTATTATAGTTAACTATACTTAACAGACACCTTACTATCGCAGTGACGTAGCGTCGTTTTTTAAAGTGAGGGGGAGAGGGGGGCAGAGAATTTTTTTTACCTTTCCTGAAAAAAAAATTGACAAGCAATTAGGAAAAAGAAGGAAGTTACCCAAACTCGAAAATCCTCTTTGGTGACCCACTTCTTTCAAGACCAATTTTTTTCATACAATACTACATTTCCCTTATTTTCCTTCACTGTAGTAAAAAAGTGGTTGGGGCAACCAGTCTATCAATGAACATTTTCAATAGTAATAGTTAGGTTTGGAAAAAGGGGGCTGGCCCCCTGTTGCTACGTGTCGATCTGTATCGTATAGCTCTTCTGGTCTTTATAACAAAGCTGGTCATGAATGCTAATTCACAGAATTTGTGTCTCCCGCTAAGGAAAGATGAAGAGCATGCACGGATCTAGAATAGAGGGGGTATGGAGGTAGAATTTGGGCCCGGACCTATGCAGTGTTATTGAATGTTTATTCCGATTTAAAACTTCATTGTTAAAGCTCATTAACATCTTGAAATATCGCAAAAGAAAGTGTAACACAATGTATAAATTAACGACCTTGATCTTTAACTTTTTCAACTCTTAAATAATTGTGGTCGTAATTCTTGAGCTCACCGATTTGCGATTTAAAATTTCATTGCAAAATCTCAAAGGCTTCTCAAGATATTACCGGGAAACAAAAGTATTTTCCGCATCCAGCAACGAATTTAAGTATTTCATTAAAAATAGAATTAATGAATTTATGACCTTGACCTTTGAAGTTTTTGCTCATAAAAATCCATAGGGGTCCCAAATTCATAGAAAGTTGTCATGTAAAATTTAATTTCAAAAGCTCAAAGGCTTCTCGAGATGTCGCGCGGGAACAAAAGCGTTAGAGACAGAAGGACAGACAGATCCAAATTATTATCACCCACTTTCAACGAGAGACAAACCAAAGGGGCTTGTTGGACCTTTTGTGAATTCATCAAAATCAAATAGCAATCTAATTTAGAACTTAACCATCTTTTTTTCATTGGCTGATCCAAAGCTCTAAACCAATTGATTTTTTTTCCTTTCTTACCTCACATTCTTTTTAGATCTAGCCTCTGATAACATGAAAATGAGGGTAATGTTGCACAATGATACAGTTATGCGGTGGAGTTTGACAAATTGAAAATCAAACAGATCTAGAGCAGAATCATTGAGAGAAAAGTTGTCAAAAATCTAGATCATTGATCAGTTTTTACGGAAGCTTATTAGGGCCGCAGCAGTATCTATTTTTAATTTGTTTAAACAAATTATTAATTTGTTTAATTAATTTGTTTAAACAAATTACTAATTAATAATTTGCTTAAACAAATTAGTAATTTGTTGTTAAAGAATATTAATTGTTATAACAAATTACTAATTTGTTATATCAGATTAATAATTTGTTATAAAAAATAAATAATTTGTTAAAACAAATCAGCAATTTGTTAAAACAAATTAGTAACAAATTACTATTTTGAC